TTCGGTAATGTCGTATTAGAGTTATTCCTCTCGATTTTAAATATAAACGGGGATATACGTAATCTCTTTATTTACAAGTCCGTTATTATAAATAACGAATTCTTTATCTACCGTCCTAAGTGTATAAGGCGTCGTTTTCTGCTTTTAATCGATTTAAAGCCTATTAACAATTTATAGCGAGATAAAATTTCCTTAAGCACCCGTGTTTATTAAGGCCTTAATATCGTGTCTTATAATTCGAACCTTTATCGTAAGGTGATTATATATATTAGTTGTAACATTATATAAGGACCTTTCTTTTAACCGTTATTATCCCGTTATAGACGGTTAAGTTCTTTTCCCGATCCTTTCTTAATAAGTCGGCGTCGCTCTCGGCGGTTTATAACTTCTTATATAGCCTGAGCGTACCCGCGTTATTTACTAGCTTTATAATCCTCTTCTTAAGTTCCTAGGGTATTGGCTCGTCGTCTTATCGCGGTTATCGCGAGGATTACGTAGTTCCGTAATGTTTCGACTTAAAGTGGAATGACTCCGTCTTATTTCAACTCGTGTTATCGATCTCGTATCTATCTCTAGATTCTATTATTAGGCAGATTATCGGGGGTTAGTGCTCGTCCGTAAATCGTAACTTAATTTACTAGTTCGACGCTAATTCTCTAGCGATATAACTCCAGACTAAGTTATCCCCATTATTAGTAAACATCCCGATATATTTCCTTAAATGACGGCTAGCCATTATTATCGTCGTATTCTTAATACATTTTTCGCTCGACTTCCTCGAGTAAATATTTGTAATTGTTATATCCTTCCTAAAGTGGCGATTTACTTAAGAGGTCTCTCTTAATAATCTCGATTCCCGTTAGTCTTTCATCGGGGTCTTTATTTATAGTATCGCTATCGCTATTATTATCGTCGATATTAAGGGTTTTCTTATTTTATCGTTCCTTAAGTCGTTAGCTTAACGTATAAGCTTCCTTTCTTTCTTACTTATTAATGTTAAGTCGTTAAGTAAGATACTAGATTAATCGTTCTAGTTTAAGGCTCTTTCCGTTTATAATAACGCGGATTACGTATTATTAGTAGTATTATTATAAGCCTTTCCACGCGCGGCACTTTATATCGGCGTGTTTTATATAAGTGTCCTCGTAGTATTAATCCCAGTTAACCTGTCCCTTAAGGCAAGCGAAGTATTAGCGAGGGTTTATAATGAAGATAACGTATCTTTACGGGTCTCGGTATCGTATTACTACTTCTCTAATCTTATCGGCTAAGTAAGGTTTGTTAATAAACCATAATACGATTTTGTTTAAAAAGAATTCATGCTTTAATTTTTCTTCGAAGTGGAACGTATAGTTCTTATCGATATATAAGGTTTAAGCGAGTGTTTTATATCCTTTACTATTTTTATATAATATTTAATTATCTCCGAAGATGGCTCTTAGTGTCCATTTCTCCCATCTTGTAATGCTAAGGTCTTGTACGTCGTTTAGGGCTTAATATAACTCTTAAGGGGTATGAAATAATTGTTTTACGAAGACCATAACTCCTATTTCTTCGAGGGTGTTTTTAATGAGTACTCGTAAAAACTCTTAGGTGCGAATAGCTCGATCCATAAGGTATCGAAGCTTCGTAACTTAGTTGTCTTAATAAACATTTTCTTAGTGTCGATTATTATCTACTCTAATGTTAAAACCACTTCGGTTATTTACGGAATCTTTCTTTAATTCGTACTTTAATTCGTTCTCTAAACGGGTGGGTCCGTCGTATTCCTAGGTAGCTAGTACGTGCTCCTCTAAATTACTATACGTGTCTTTTGCTTATGTTATTAGTTGTTTACGAACCATGTAAAAGTTACGTGGTTTGGAAGGGTACTAGCCTTAGTCCCTTTTGCTAAAGGCGTGCGTATTATAGCCATCGTCATAGCAAAATGTCTAGTGTAAGTCCTTATATAGTGGTTCGATACGGGTGGTCACGTTAACCTGTCGTTCTTCCGTATTACTAGTTTTAGTGGCTACTTAAGCCTGTCTTCCTTCCGGAACGGGTTTAAAGCCTCCCTTTTTAGGCTATCGGCATTCGTTAGCGAAGTAACCCTTTCTATTATAGTTATAACATATAACATCTTTCTTGTCCTTCTTAGGTCCTCTTCGTTTAGTGGCGTCGAGGTCTATAAGTCCGCTATGTTATCTATATAACGTCTTGTTACGCCAGCTATTATTACGTGGTTAATTATTATTACGGCTTTTCCCCATGTTCATTCTAAGCTTCTAGTAATTGTCGCGGTTACTATTTCCGGATCCTCGCTTTTCTAGCCTTCTCTTATATAGGCGATTGTCGATCTTGACAATCCTTTCGACGTAGTCGTCGAATTCTTCCGGTCGATCTTCCTTAGCGACTTTATCCTTAACATCTTCGCGTAGTCTTACGTAAAAAAGTGTTATAAGGGCGTCGTCGTCGCTTTATATGGTTCTAGAGGAGATTTACTTAAACTCGGAAGTATACTTAGATATAAAGCCTTTTTATTTAAGTTATATAAGGCGTCTTTTTACGGTTCGTATCTTATTTAGGTTACCAAATGTTACCTTAAGTTTGTCTTCGAATTTAGCGTAGTTAGCGAACATTTCGTTAATACTATCTTCTCGACTAACTTCGGTATTATTATTAAGGTAGTCTCTTATAATTGGTTCGAACCATTCGAGTGCGTCTCCTCGGAGGAATCTTATAATACAAAGGATCTTATCGGATGGCGTGATAATTTTGTCGCGGTAAAATCGTAGATAAGCCTTACATTAAGTAAGGAATCCTTAAACGTTCCTATCCTTACCGTCGTATGCTTACGGTACTAGCATCTTATATCCGTTACTCCTATACGCGATCGCCGGCGCTAAAGTAATAAGGGGTATAATAACAAGCTGCTCGTTTAGCTACTTATTATCGTTTTTAACGCTAATGTAAGCGGCTTAGAGTTCGTTATTCTAAACCTAAAGAGCTACTATCTATTCCTAAAGAGCTCGTATTATCGATAATACGTCGGCTCCTCCCGTAAGGTTATTAACAATGCTCCCGTTACGAGACATCGTGTATTATTCCTATATAAAGTATTACTTAGTACTTTTCGCGGATAACGTACCTAAACAAGAGTGATTAAAATGTAACGATTATATTATCGGGTTATATAACTACAAATAATATAATACAAGGGGGTTTATATTAACAAGATATACTAACCGCGAATAAAAGACTATAAAGATAAACTTTCGAATATATTAAGTAAAGAGATTTATAAGTGTAGTCGTTAAAGCGTAAGCTTTACTTATAAGTAAAATAAATGCTTAAATTAATCACTAAAGTAATGACTGTCTATATAGAGTAAGAAACCTAATCCTTATTATATTTATTCATTCCTTTACTAATGTTATTAACTTACCTCTAGCTCACTATTAGCTCACTACCGAGTTAATAATCTAGGAGTGATCCTTTGTTCGTGCTCACCTTTGGCTCACTAATCCAAAGGTGATCCTATCACGTGACCCTTCCTTATTAGGCCAGCCGTTAAGCGCCCTACCGGCTATACATATATAGGGCCCCTGGCCTGCCTTCCGGCTAAGTTCGTAACAATTAATTACATCGTTTTTAGTAATACTTTAAGTAATAATACGTCAAATTCCTAAGATATTAATGGTTATAAAATAATCTTTATAATATTTATATATTTCGATTTTAAGAACATTTTCATTAAATACGGCATTATTATTACTTAATATATTAAGTTGTAATCTTATTTTTTATTAGCTTAAGTTTTATCTGGTTATTTATGTTGTTTAGAAATTTCTAAATTAATTTAACCTTTTTTTTAAAATAACTATAAATTCCTCGCGAAACTTAAAAGCAAAAGACACCTTATAATAAAATGCCTTTACTTATATCTTATACTTATTTAAAGCGTATAAATTAGCGATTATACGTATACTTACGCGGTCTTTATTATTACGTCGAGAAGTGATTTATATTATATAACGGGTGTTAAGACTTTAATCTCTATGGAATAGAATTTTAATTAGGCTTTTTAGTAAGGAGGACTTCCCCGAGCTTTGATTTTTAAATACGACAAGTGTTGGAATATATAATTCGCGGTCTCGTACGACGGTTGACTACGTAGTATAGGTAGTCACCGGCGTGCTAGCAGTAAGTTACCACAGCCACGATGTGGCTGTCGGCAGCCAGCAGCCGTACGGGTGAACCCCAAACCCCTATCTATAGACCACGTACGAGGGGAAGAATCCCTTCTTCTCCTTCGTATGACAGCGCTAAATAGATCTATTTGTCGCCCACACTGTACGGAAAGAATTGAATGGAGAAGCCATTCCATAACAAGCTATAATATATGCGAGATTGCATAAGAACATGTTAGATGCTAGTCTTCTGATTATACCCAAGGTAAAGAGGTACATGTTGACCAATGTTTAAGTCGCGAAGCTTGTCAACCTTTTCAAGTAATACAAGGTCCGATAAGAGGGTATCATTCTAGTTAAAGGTCATATTAATCTTATAGAAAATAACATTTAGTATAATGTTAATGTGTAAATTATTAGAAGAAAATGGATAAGGCTATTATTTTAATTAGGTAACGAAGAATTGAGATAGAACAAATCATGGAGAACTTAGATATCATGCCGAAGATCTGTCTGTACATTTTATAGGTGAAGGAGAGTTATTCGCCCTGCCAAACTTCCGACAGGTAATAAAGGACTAACAGTTTTATAACGAGATCAGGCTGCTACTCGACTTGTGCTATAACAGTCCAATATGTTTGGCAAAATGGATGTACCCGTATAATAGATTAGGTAGTCGATGGTGTTCCTTCCCCGCTTTCGAGAAGAATGAAAACGAGATGCCATTATTGTCGACGGGGGGACAGGCAGAGACTCTGAAAAGACGATGACTCAAAAGAAAAATACCCACTTTTAGGAGTCGAATCCGCTTTCACAAGCTAAAAAACATGGGTAAGTTATGTCTGACAAAAGATTTATTTTAGCCGATTGGCCCAACGTATTATCTTACTCGGTAAGCTCCGATAGGTTCTTTGAATATAAATAATACTGAATTTCTTAATGCTCTGGAAGCAAAATATCTCTACCCGTTGTGCTGTACGTTTCTTGCATTCCCGCTTCTTACCAGTTTACTTATCTATCTCCTCATCTTTATATTTACTTAAACACGGAAGTCTACCCAACCATGTCTTCAACCCTTAAAGTAGACATACTGGTAGTCCCGGGTATTCCTGCCGTAACTGCACCACTACCATATGGCCTCAGTCCAGTATGGTCGCCAATGACAGCAACACTCATATCGGGTGCAGAAGACGCAGTCTTGGTAGACGCATTCATGACGATTGCTCAAGCTACCGAACTCGCAGACTGGGTTGAATCCTTCGGCAAAAACCTTACTCATATTTATATTACTCATTCCCACGGAGATCACTTTTATGGATTGCCAATCCTGCTAAAACGATTTCCCAAAGCTCGAGCAGTGGCTACTGCTCAAGTCGTCGAGAATATGAAGAATGTGGTTGGACCCAACGTGTTTGGCGCTGTTTGGGAGAAAATGTTTCCAGGGCAGCTCGAGAAGCAGCAGGTCCTGACGGAGCCTTTAGGTTCTAGCAACACCATCCTTCTCGAAGGGCATGTGTTGAGAGCCATTGAAGTAGGACAGTCTGATATGAATGACACCACGGTTCTACACATCCCGGATCTGAAATTGGTGGTAGCAGGCGACGTCGTGTACAATGATGTACACCCGTCGCTAGCAGCAGTGAATACCAAACAATTACAAGACGCTTGGATCGCCAGTATTGACAAGGTAGCCGCCTTGAATCCAGAGACTGTTATCGCAGGGCATAAGAGAATTGGAGCGTCGGATGGAGTGGATAATTTGGCTGCGACTCGAGATTACATTCGGGATTTTAGTCACTGTATGGCTGAGTCAAAAAGTCCCGACGAGCTGTACCATGCGATGATGGAGAAGTATCCGCATCGTGTAAATCCCCTCGTTGCTTGGAGGAATGGCCTTGGAGTTTTTGGAAGAGGTGCTGAAATCCTACGCAAGTAGGCAAGTCATTACCTCCGTACGTTACATAGAGATGCGTCGAACAGTCACACTAACCTAACCTAAGCAATGTCAACAGAATCGGCAAAAGTCTGTACCCATCCCCACTTAATTTACCCCAACGAAACGAAACCCCCGCGCTGCCTTTTTTCATATAATTCTTTATTTCTACATCAATTCAAGATGGATTTGAATGAGTATAGTCGAATTTCAAGCGCAAACCGTCAAACTAATGGAGAGTTTAGTTCTAAAGCTCGAATGAGCATTTTGGGGTTACGCGTGGCTGGTATTCGAAAGGTTGATATCGCAAAAGCTATAGAAGCAAAAAGTGTTAATAGTATGAACCATATTTGTAACGCAATTAAAACACGTGGTATTAACAAATCAGCTTTTCAGAAACGGCCACCTAGGAAGCTTAGTTGACGCTCAGAGAGACGACGTGTTTTAATTGCAAAAGGGAACCCTCGTTTTACCTACGCTGAGCTTACAAGGCGCTTACAAGCCAATGCGAGTGTCAGACGTTAGTGTTACAAAGGAGTGCTAGGGTGCTAGTATTGACTGAGCCCTACTTTATATTATATATGGAGGATTCTAGCCCTTACATACCCTATTGTAATCCGATACCGGATAAGCTCTGATATATCCCTCCCCCTTATTAGGCTTCGTCCCGAAGCTATCGTCGACCTCGTTGTCGTTAACCTCGTCGTCGTTTCTCCTAAGCCCTGTTATCGCCTTCTTCGAGGCTATCGTCAATAACGCTACTTTTACGTTATTGCCATAGCTGCCACGTTATTGCCATAGCTGCCACGTTGTTGCCTTATACGGCTACTTAAGCGTTATCGATTAACCTAGGTTGCTTAAGCGTTACCATCCTCGATCGGCTGTCCGCTACCCGTTGCCACGCTAGCACGTTATCACGCTGCCACGCTGCCACGCTACCACGCTATTTCTGCGCTAAAGTCGTCATCTGTTCCGGAATCCAGGGTCCTAAGCGCACGGTCTAATCTGACGATCCAACGGTTCCGGGGTCCGAGGTTCACGTTCCAAGCTAAAACCGGGTACCGGCAACTCTGACAATACGCGTATTAGACGCTATGGTATCGGCGCTTTTGCACTTCAATTCTCGCTTCCACGAAGCTCCAGCTCGAATAAGCTGTTTAAGCGCGTAGTATTATAATATTCGTCGCCCTTAAGGTCGCTAGTTATAGCCAGCTCCTTACGCCGTCGACTTATTCCACATCGAAACCCGACTAGGCTACGGGATCCTCTTGTCTTCGGCGACTCTCTCTCTCTCTCTCTCTCTTTGTATCTCGTACGATTCCGCGGCGTCGACGATACTCTCTCTCTCTCGCTCTCGCGCGCGCATAACGAAGCTAGTGCTTTTACGCAGCTCTGACACGAGGAATACGCACCCTATCTTCTGCCCTAGCGGTCCCTACGTCGTTAAGGGCTTAGTATGTCAGACGTTAGTGTTGCAAGAGAGTGCTACGGTGCTAGTATTATCGCGCTAAGCCATACTCTCTATTATATATAGAGAATTCCAGCCCTTATATACCTTATTACAATCCGATACCTGATACGCTCTACGCTCTGATAGTAAGCTCCAACACCACTAAGAGAATATTGGCTCATCATCACCTAAAGAAATGGCGCGCCGTAAAGAGAATGAGCTCTCAGAAAAGTCGGCAAAAGAACATCTTGCTTTTTGCCGAGAATACGCAACGCCGGCTAAGTTACAAAAATGATCCGGAAAATCAGGGCTTTAGGTTATCAGATACTAAAAAGAAAGGTACCGGGCTGATCTCGTAAACCCACAGGTTCATGTGAAATCTAGGATTTCTCTTATGGTATGGGGGATGACCTGTTACGTAAGGGAGAAGGTGGTATGTCACCTTTAGTGTTTTGCGAAGGCGATCTGGACGCTCCTCATAAAGGAGTATCATCAAAGTCATACCAAACAGTTCTAGAGAAAGTTCTTCTCCCTCTCTACGAACCTGGTGATCCCTTTATGCAAGATAATGCGAAGATTCATGTTAAAGGGGGGTCCCCAGAGTGGCTTGAGGATCACGGTATATGGACTATTAAGTGGCCAACCCATAGCCCTGATCTAGACCCAATCGGACACGTTCCGTTGGTATGGAATATCCATCAGTCATTTCGGTGAAAATCCCTGGCAGTTTTGATGTAAATACTTTGATCCAACACTAACTGGAACGTGTATTACCTGCTATGACAGTTTCTACAGTTGATATAGAACACTGTTGCAGTGAAAGTCTGGTATGACGCACTTGAAAGGAAGAGCCTGAATCTACTCGAGCATAGGATGGTGAATACGGTGCTCGCATGAGCGTGGGACCGCAAGTGTAACGCTCTAAGCGTGAAATGATAGTATAGGTACTGTCAAGTAGTATATAGAAGTCTAAGTTTACAAAAGAGAATATCGGTGTACAGAAAGTGGGCATACACCGACTGGCTAAGTCACGTGATCACCACTTCCCAAGTTCGGTGATCCGCGAGCTCGTCGCCTTAGTGTGCGGAGTGCTCCCCGTACACTGTGGCCATCTATAGTCATCCATATTGCCACACTATCCTTCAAGGAAAGCTTACTAACTTGCTACCAGTACCATAATCGCCTGTTAGTTGGTCATTTTGGGTTGCGACCGCCCAATATCGACGGGAAGCCGGTTTTAAACGTGGACTCTTTACGGGTCATCTTAATATTCAACGTAGCATATGATACCAACATCTTTCCTCTCGAGCTACATGGTCTCAACTTGTCCGGCTGTTATATGATTCTTTGTTATACTGGAGCACGGCCGGCGGAGCTTGTAAACAACGAGAGGAAGAAACCTACAGACGGTTTCCTTGAGAGCTTCATGGTGCGAAAGCGGTCATGTCAGCTGGGTGCGCCGGTATCGAGGCTGAAGAGGACGATGACACTCTGGAGGAAGATTCCAGTGAACTCTGCAAGCTTCTTTTGCGAGAGACGATCGGGCGTGATCGTCCAAAGGCGCTCTGCTATGAGGACATCCTCATGATCTCGTCAGGCGAACAAAACTTCTTGTCAGGCAAAGGGTCTGCAGGCTACACGGCTCCTATTGACCGTAATGTCCCACTAGAGCTTGCGCCTGAATTATCGTCAAGGATGGCGCAAGCAGCCATGACAGTCATAAACGTGTGCGAGGACTTCATTTATGATGGGAGACCTAAGGAATAGGCAGGAATAATACTCAATTTTGCGCAACAAGCACATGTTCTACTTTTACCAGATTTCTTGTCACCATGATATATCTTTACGGCGATACTATTTCGCTCCAAACGATCGATGCTTTCAACAAAGTTATATTGACGTTGTATCTAGCGAGACGACACAGCAATAACCCAGACAGCAGGACTGTAGAAATAAATCATAAAACCACAAGTGCCATGTAAAGCATTATAAGCTCATAAGCCGCGCTTTGATTCGTCCCATACGGGATGAAGCAAAAGAATCCATTGCATTTCGCAATACATGAGGTTCATAACACGGTTGATATGATGCCTAATCTTTAGCAAGCCGAGACTATCGTGCATCAACGTTTTTGTATGGAAAAATGGAAAAAGTGGCACGGGCCTTGGCAATTTTGGCGAAGGAAATGCATTCCATTCGCCTTGGAGTCCGAATGAGTTTAATTTTTGACACGCTGATCTGGAGAGTTGGAGCTATTGGGGCTTTTTCGTACTTGGCCATGAGGCTTCAAGAGTTTTCGGCTAGCTGAATGCCTCTGCCCTTGTCCTGAACCTGCCACTCTCTATGCCATCCTACCATTCCGCTGCCAAGGCACTATAAATTCCCTCGAACACTACAGTAGAGAATCCACCTCGCCTTGGCAACTGACTAACAACAATGTCTGCGCCATATGACGCGGCGTTTCTAAAATGTGTTATTGAACCGTATTTAACACTACCGTGAGGGTCTTCGTAGCTTCTTGGTATGCTCAGCTTCATCTTAGTCTCAGAACCCGCCACCTCTGAATACTGGCTTTCAGTCGTCAGTTGAATATCCCATACTGCAACCATATCAACCGTTCCGTTAATACCATGAACTCTACATTTCAACCTACATGCACGCCAACATACATTGACTTGATAAGTCCATAGTCCTAGACGCCATACTTGGCCCAAATCACAATATTGTCGGAATTAGCCATGGCAGCAGCAGTCTGCCAAACGAGGTCTTTCGGCATGCGTATGAAATCTCCGAATGCAGATATGAGATTGATTCAGCCGACATCAATGGCCAATAGAGTCCTTTCCACAGTCTACGTTGTATAGAGCTCCGCATGTTATCGCATGCTTGAAAGATACTGGGACTAGAGGGGACCAAAGAGACACCTTCCCAGGGGTAACTGCCTATACCTACGTGCCCTTCCTATCCTTACCGCAATTATTTGGTCGTCCGACGGAAGCCGAGAAAAGATATACGACATCCTCCATGATTTAGAGACCGTCTCCTCAAACATAAATGTGTACGCGGGGTACCTTATCAGCTTGCTCACTGAGTAACGAACTGCGGAAGAACAGATTGGAATATCTGTTAATTTATAGTGATCGTGTTTGAGCGTGCATCGGGAGGTAGGGCTTTTGGTCGCATCTGTGAAGATGTGCATCTGGGAGGATCAGCTTGCGACCGGACATAACTTGCATAATGTTGAACAAAAGTCCCATAGATGCTAGTACATGTCAACGGGAACCTGCTAATATTGGCGCTAGCCACTACAGTAGCTTGCTATTGACTTGTGCCTGCTTCTATGCCAACATATGCAGACTGTATAGGCTGAAGCTCTGCAGCAAGCTGAGCATACAATTGAACAGTAATATTCGGACATCATTCTCTGCTTATCCTTGGCTCCATGAGTGCGACGGGCCGTGCTCACAGTGTGTGACACCGAGGTGATGGTTCTCTGTCGTCACGATCGAGTCAACTACGTATTTGAGCTGTCAGAGTACCTGCAGCCAATAAGCTCGCGTTGATTTGTAGCCACCACGTCAGCACCCTTGGCATTTCGACCGTTTTATGAAACCGACGCTTTTTTTCCAGTCAACTCCAACAGCACGATCGCGGCGATAAAACTTCACGTAACAAGGTATAGAGCCTACAACGTTTAGTCGACAATATGGGCATCGTCAGCGACATTTATAACGCCGTTGAGCTAGGCAATTTCCAATGGCCAATTCGCAATAGGTGCGTTCCTCCATAGTAAAGGCCTCTAACATTTACTAATCTCCATCCTCCAGTCATCCAGTGCATCCCTCAATCGTGCACTTTCCTCTCACATTTCTCACCACCGCCTACTCTCTGGACATGGTCTACGGCCTTGCGTCCCACTATAGCAAATCCATAACGCTTGCGACGCGTCTGGCTCCGTACCTTCCTGGAATCGCCCAGTTTGCCTACGCCAGCCATGTCGTCGCAGTGATTACGTCTATCCCGGCTATGACAAGCGGGTCGGCTGAGTTCTGGGAGCTGTACAAGAAGGATGGACTCAACTATAAGGATAAAAAGCTCACGAACCCGGGCAGGAGTGGAGACGATATCATCAACCGCAGCATCAATGTAGGAGCAGCTCACGGTATCTTGAACGCTGTGGCGTTCGGAGTAAGCATGTATGCCATAATCTCGAGGTGGAAGGTTCCGGGTTGCATTCCAGGACGGGCTAGTATCTGGTTATCTGCATTGACCTTTCCCGGTTTGGCGCTAAGTGCTGCTCTTGGCGGAGAACTTGTGTACGGAAAGGGTGTAGGTGTTCAGAGAATGGGTAATGCAAGAGATGAGAAGATTGCCGGCTTGGAGGCGTATAAGGAGAAGAGGGCATTATAAGTGGGATCTTTGTCCGGAACGTATCTGGCAGAACAGATACCAGTAAGCGTGACTACGTCGACTATGAAATGCAACGGATATGCAAACTCTTAGCACTGTAGAAAAGTTATTATCAATGCGACTTGAATTCATTCATGGGCCAGCAGGCGTTGTATATGAGAGCGCTCCACATGTATTTCTCATAGGCCCAGTAAATATAGTAGTAAATAACACAATTGCTCATCATTGTCTATTCTGCTTTCTGCTTTCGTCTCCTGTCTCGTGGCACTCCTGGTCCATCGTGGGCAGTCGAGCACAGTAGGGGCAGTCAGGCACGGTGGAGATGAATAGGAAAGACGAGGAAAGGATACAAGGCATACGACACGGCGATGAAGGACCGATCGAAGAGCGTTGATCGAGCATTGGGGTCCCAAGCGTCTACGACTTCGTGTGGAGCAGATAGATCGGAGGGCATGCCGACACCTGGGGCGGTAAAATTGGTGTCACTACACGCAGAATCTTGCTAATAACCACAGATAATTTGCGAAGGATGCGTCGATACAAATATATCTGGAATGCATTGCAAGAATTTAGATCACAATTCGAAATGGCCAGACCAAATGTTGCGTCGCCTCCATTATGAAAGTGAGTGTCCAATCTGTCCTGCGTCTGCTGTAGAGCTCACTGTTTTCAAAGCCTGTGGTAAGTCGATCTACAGCTTTTTGATTGTTTTTTCTTTTTAGCTGAATTTCCTGAAGTCATTGTTCTGCGTTCCCTGCACCGATAACTAGATGAAGGCTCAGGCGGAGATGGCAAAAGGAGACAAAATATAGATGAAGTTTACTTGCCCTCAATGCCGTGCTAAAGTTTCTAATGAGCCAAAGAAAGCGCTTTAAGACTTGTAATTATATAATATAAGGAGAGAGGTAGTAGAGGAGATATAGGTTTATAACTATATTTAGCTTAGTAGTCGTGTTAGTAATTCTGTTTATAGCCTGGTATCGCGCATTCTTGTCTTATAGCTAGATTTCCAACTTTAATATCTTAGTTATAAGACAAAATTCGGACTAACGTTATATCTAATTTTGCTATATTCTACTATATAACCACTTACGGTCTAATCTTACTTGTCTATATTACGCTTATTGTCATCCCAAGCCTCTTTTAGGATAGTTAAAGCCCCGTCGCTATGTTTATTATAATATAGTCTTCCTCACTATTATTTCTCTTATTTATGTTCTTACTATAATCCTAGGTATTGTCTTAATCATTCTTGGGATAGACTTCCTCTACTTTTATTACATTATAGTTCTTCTTGTTATTTAAGGCACCTTTAGGTATAGTAAAGCTTTTGGTAGTATTAGCTACATATGCTAAAGCAGAGAACGTTATTGTAATGATAAGAAAGAGCGAAGCCAGAACTGATCTCATTTTATAATAGCACCGTTTTGATACAAAGAAAATCAAAATCGGCTTCCTCTCTCTGTCTCTTCTCTCTTGTCTTTGAGCACGGACAGTCCAGTTCTAGCGCTAACCTCTATGTACCCATCTTAGACCTACGCAGTACAACCAGTCGCTGATCTGAAGGTATTCACAAAGATCCTTAGCTGATCGTACAACGTTTTTGACAATCAGATTAGCTAAATCTGGCGGTCAGCCATGGAATTTCCCTAGGCACTGCAAGTTCCCTCATTTGATTAAATTCATCACTCCTAGATCAATTTCACGTGACTCTTTTCGATCTTGCGCAGTCCGCCTTCTTGATATCTGGGTTTATAATTCTCTCGATGATCCAGGAGGTTCTCGAAAACAGGGAAGTATTCCCAGAAGCCGCCGGACGTTGACCGTGAACTAATTACGATAACGCCATCGCCCTGAAGCTGCTTCGAGGCTATTTTGAAAGGGTAAAGGATCTTTTGGAGCATCCTCGCGATTATGCCGTGGATTTAAATTCCAAGACCTTGGGCTTCTTGTGGGGAACAGCACCAGCATCTAACTATCGAGCTTCGAGATTCGACATTAGCCGCGTGATGATCGGCTCTTCTTCAATAGCACACGCTAGCATTGCTTCGTCTGATTCCCACCTCGTAGACACGTTCAACAGATAAGCACGCGACAGCCGACTTGTGCCTGGGCATGGTACCATTCGACTACAAGCTGACTACTTCGGTTTAGGCACACGCCGAGGTTGTCACATTTACCGCTGGGTCTACGTTTACGTTGCCTTTCCCGTACATCAAGCCTGAGTACAGAGGTTGATCGTTTGTGGAGCACACTTCAATCGGCGCTCAGTTGGATCGAATTCAAGCAGTTCGCCGAGGGCTGCCATACACTTGTTATTGCTGGAGGCTTTATCTAGGGTACAGTATCCTATCCTAGGCGATTGATGTCGGCTCTTTACTCTTTATCGGCCGGACAGATATCTTACGATTGCGTGACTCCGAATGTCTCAGCCAGCTGATAAAACTCATCAGCAATATCGTTACCGGTGTGCGTGGGCTGCATGCCTAGGAGAATCTGTCACTATTTCCATTTCTTATCGAGGAACTATGCGTCAACGCCAAGGAAGGACTGGTTTCAACGAGAAGTCCATCCATCGAACGCAAGATGAACCATCCCCTCTAGCAGTCTTAATAATACGTTGCACGATAGGAACGGCGGGGTTGTATTCATCTACCAACAGACGGGCCCTTCTGTAAATAGTGTATTCAATGGTGTCCTTCGAGATGCTTCATGACCGCCGACTTCATAATCCTAGCGGCCCTTCCTTCTCGTATCGGCGGCGAGCATTGGGGGTTTAAACACCTGACTTGGTGGTTAATCGTGTCAGGAGTCAATCTTCTCGGCCGATCCGGCATGTCCTCATCCCCTTTGCACTTTTGGAAGCAAGGATCCCTAGATATACAATGGTTGTGGTGTAGCTGCGGGTAGCTTAGCACCAAAGCGTCCTAGTTCCTTGATGCCATTATTAGAATGGTGGCAGGATATTCTCTGCGGTTGCGACTAATCATGCTCGCGAGATATATATATATATATGCGCCCGAGGAGGTTTAGTCAGTGTCCAAACACGTGATCCGGGAGGTTGTGTACTATAACTTAGGGCTTTTACTCTCAGCTTTTTATTTCAACCTTGGCCCAACCGCGACAAATTAATAGTTCTTATAGTGAACCCCAACGATTCAAAAGCGTACAGCAGCAATGATATGGTGGCCCCATAATCTTCAGCCATGGATCGATGCAGGGCCCACAGACTTAGTGTCCCAACTCTAATATTACGCCTCGAGACGCGGCTTGCACTAACACGAGTTTAACAATTCACTTAATTTTGGCCGTGGCGCCTTTCAGCTGGGTTTAAGCCGGGGTTGAAATGGCCCCAGTGTCATGATCCCTACAGGAAAAAGGCACTCTGGCGCTTAAAAAATCAGAATACTGAAAGAAATTCAGACAGCTAGACCTCTCTAGTAACACCATTAGTTTCTACAATTGACATAATTCTTCATCTAAGGTCACGCACTCACAGCCGGTAAGGATCCTGTTTCTGCACGGGTGATTGTAAGACACTCTCTACAAAGCACTCTACTGAGCTCCCCAGAGGATTTATGGACATAGTGGTTCCCGATCTCTTCTGAGCGCCCGCCAGCTCAGATACAAAGTGGGCAATAGCCAAGTATGATTATATATCGTTCACGAGGGCTTTTCGTACAGGAGTCTTTGCGCCTGCCGTCCACCGACATGGGAAAGAAAGTGCCCCAGGATCCACACAGTACGCATACACATAATAATGCCTTGTGTACTCACACATACCCGCTTTTGATGCTGTCAAGATCTTGGGGTTGCTTTGGTACGTATAGCTAGAAACGCCTGAAAGGACGGCAAACGGTAATAGCACAAGGTACTTTACTAAGTATGGCATGGAGAGGCTACGAGGGCTTATGTTAGGTCTGGTCGGATTATCGTGAGGACGGAATCAAGTCTCGATAATCTATGAGGAAGGAATTTATCGGGTCACGGTTGAGGAGGTCATCAATACATATGTCGTGAGCATACTGCGCGAAAGAACTTCGAGCATAGCGAGCCAGAGAGCGGTTCTTACACCTCCACAAACCCAATATAAAGATTCCATTCTGTGCGTAATTAAGCCAGTACGTCAAAATGGAGCGTTATCTTAGGTGGAGGAGCTGTTAATTATCGCGTCGTATGTCGGAACGTCTCCAAGACTTGCTAATTTGTCGTAACGCTTTTATTTGGTGAACAAGCCAACCTAGGATTCATAGGTACAAACTAACAATAGACATTGGTGTAACTGAACAGACAAACGACTATGAATTATTTGGCGCTATTATTACTTAATGTCTAGCTCAGTCATAGTTCATATTATTAGTCCGTTAGGCATATATAATTCAGCCTTTACAGGAACAGATGATAGTCCTGATCCGGCCATCGCCAGCCACCGACACTAATCCATTGGCCAGTGTCGAGACACAATACACTATGACTGACTCGCTCATACATTAGTTCCTCTAAGTTTCGCACAATAGCGCAGCTGCAGAGAGTCAGCGAGTCAGTTGCCGACCTCGACGCTGAATATCGCTTGCGCCCGGGCGGTATTCTTTATAATGGTGTTTTGACTATGGACAAGCTCTTTCATCCTCTGCATATACCCCTCCACGAGAGTGTTGTGCAGAGCTTAAAGACGGATTTTTTCCTGCGGGGATGTTTGTTATATTAGATGATGAAGAGACGATGGCCCGGCGAGAATGATGGCAGATCGCCGTACGAGATCAAGTATCTAGTCACTGAGCGCCAATGGCCAATTTTGGAGAGAGATGCCTCGGAGAAATCGTAAGGGATGTTGGACGTATGAATACGAGAATCCTTAGGTTGTGCGAAAGTGTTTTGTAAGCAGTAGCCTTGTTGTTTCGATCTGCTAAGGGTAAGCCTTCCTTCGCCTAGATTTGTCAGTTTATCTTCCTTTGAGGATGATTTGAGGAGTTTTTCTTTTCCTTTTTTGCGAAGTCAACTGGTTGCAACCCTTAAAGACGGAGAACGGCAGATAGTCGGAGACGTTAAACGCATAGCCTACGCCGTACAATTGCGAGACTATCTGGGCAGTGCAGTCGGTACAGTCACTAGCATTAAAAGATGCCGTCCACGAGGGTAAAATCAACGATCCTTTCATCCAGCCGGAGCATCCAGCTCCATCTATTTGGTGGTATCAGGAAGAACCCAGGTTTGGTACTATCAATGCTGTATACTTAAAGTATCGAAAACGAAAAACGATCAATTAGTGGTACAAACCTTGGTCCCTCAATTCTCAAAGCATCCTCCCTTGGGAAGAGGTTCATAAACGAACCATGAGCTCACTACCACCGAGCTATTTCTGCATAGTTAATCCAATCGTCCAAGACGGGCAATCCACCACGCTGCCCCGGAACGCATCTGCTCGGACGGAGCATAGACTTCCGCCACCCGTTTTCGAGGAAAATACGCATTAATAAAAAGCGAAAGATTTACAACAATAAAATCAAAGTTTCCTAGCCATAATCTTAATAGCTGTTGCAATCAATTACGATGCGATTCCTCCATCTTGCCGCCATTGTCCTGATGGGATGTTCTTGTTTCGCAAAAGTGATTTTCAATAAAGACCTGAACAAACGAGTATGGATGAGCTACAACAACATTGACCCAAACGCAAACCCTCAAGCTAAGGCGCTTCTCAAGTTCATCCAGTACCAATTCGGCTGGCACTACCTGTCCGGCCAACAAGATATCACGAGCTTCAACTGGGTGAAATCTCAGATCGGCAAGACCCCTGCCATCCTTGGCAATGACTTCATCAACTACTCCCCGTCCGCGGTGGCCAACGGCGCGACCGGGACCGACGTTGACACCGCGATCCAGAACGATAAATCCGGGGCCATCAACGCCTTTGTCTGGCACTGGATCGCTCCCACCAACCTCGGTAAGGACGGGCAGCCCTGGTACTCAGGCTTCTATACCAAGGCGACGTTCTTCAATCTTGCTGGCGCGCTGAGTGAGGGCACCGGTGGCACCAACTATAAGCTGCTTCTGCGCGATATTGACGCCATAGCCATACAGATCAAGAAGCTGCAGGACGCCGGGGTGCCGATCCTCTTCCGGCCGCTGCATGAACCAGACGGGGCCTGGTTCTGGTGGGGCGCCCAGGGCTCCGGGTCCTTCAAGCAACTTTGGAAAATTTTGTATACTCGGTTGACGTCATATCATGGACTGCACAACATGGTGTGGGTGTGCAACACCGATAAATCGGACTGGTATCCCGGAAACGAGTTCTGTGACGTGGCAACAGTGGACATTTACGCTTCAGCGGGGGATCACAACCCGCAGGCCGCCGCGTGGGCTACAATGTACGAGTTGACAGGAGGGACTCGCGTACTTGCTCTTGCTGAGGTTGGGGTTATTCCGGATCCAGAGCTGCAAGCCAGCCAGGATATTCCTTGGGCTTACTGGATGACTTGGTCGGGCGACTTCATTTCTGGTGGGAGCCAGAACTCGAAGCAATTTCTGTTTGATGTATATTCTAATACTCATGTTGCAACTGTCGACGGGGTTACCCAGATTGGGAATTGGAAGAGCACAACTTAACGCGATGTTCAGGCGAGAAGAGGTAGTGCTTTCAGCGTGGCACAGCTTGATTATAGCTTGAGCAGAATCCAACTGTTTGATTTGCAATTCTCTTTTCCCGTACTGTATATAGTTTGTATACTTGTAACATGTGAGACCATTATCTCTTCAACATTTTTTCCTCCGTCGCCACAAGTAGCGATAAGGGGATTTGTCCGGATGGTAAGGTTCCTATCCTCTGCGAATCTGGTCTCGGTAGATTACTCGGCGCAGTCATGGCTTGGCTGAATTCTCAGGGCCAAGATTGGAGTTAAACCGTCCGGCAATGGCCGGTTCTGACCAAGCCAGCTCGCTTGGTCCAAGAAGGATGCATAGTGGATGAGACTAGCCTAAAGATCCTCTCTCGCATCATCCAGGTCATGCAGCCGGGATATAGCATATGATTAGATCTATTCTGCCACATTTGTGGAAGCCGGAGCGAATGTGGTCACAACTTCTAATCCTCTCGTGAGTTATGGATCAACACAATCTGGGGTTTTGTTACGGGACAAACAAACATTATGAAAAGCCAATGCCATAGAATGGAGTGGAAACCGGTAGGATTATATTTTCGAGTATAATAACATTTTCTTTTATAATTTTCTGACGCAAGCATGATTAAAAATGATAATATTCTTTTAACTGACAACACACCGCGATCATTTCGGTGTCATGAACTGTTTTAGGTTTTCACCTTCCTTGCCTGTCTTGTACCTCATATGTAGTGTATAGGATAGCAATATCAGTGTCATTTTCCGCAAGCCAACGTTTTCGTCCTAACAGTTTCGATCTTGGAGTAGTGCATATATGGGCACATCTCATGTGAGGGTGTCGTGTCGTGATCATGCACTGTACTTTATATGACCTAAACTACATATAACAATATCTTCGTCAGTGAAGTACACGATGATTTCCTTTTGAGACGTTTTTTATCTGTTGATCTCCCATAGGATGGATAACTAGTTACTATATGGTCCTGGGCCCATTTTATTGCATATATATATGAGGGTTTTCGGCATGGCGATGTCCAAGACTAGAGGTTTGGGGATCAAGAAATGGCAGACCTTATGCTAAATAGAGCGCCAAAAGGGGCTTAGCAGGCTGGCGGCAGTCCCAACACTGCGTTTCCCGTTAAAACAGAGGCGTGCTGAAAATGACTCTCGTTCCATTTCCAAACGGATTCTCAAAGTAGGTCCGTAATTAAGCTGTTTCATTCCACACGCACAGAGGTGTACATCTAGATCAATATCAACTCTTCGAAGCGCCGTCACTCACATTCTAAAAAGAGCTCACCTCTTATGCGAAAGAACCAACAAAACTGGCTCTTTCAACATCACTCGCTATGGCCTTCCCATAATTCAAAGTAAAATCAGCTTTGAAAGGTATATATCGCCATTGTTTCAATATTAGAAGCGGAGAACTGATATTCTACTTTACGGAGAAATTGTTTTCATCGGAGCATGTAGGAATCAATTGTCATAATAGCTTCGGTTTGACTATGTACACCTTTATTACGGGTCGGATCCAGATATGCAACTGACGCTTTCGATCGAAATTGATGTGCTTGCCTACTTGATTGGAGAATCTCTCAGAGGTTGCAATGCAGATCCGCGATATGCTGAGGAAGACAAGGCACGCTCGCAGCGCTTGAAGTTTCTGGCAAGCTAATCCACGATTTCTTCGGCCCTTGTTCCGAGGGACTCCTGCCTCGTTGGTACTGTTCCTGCCTGAACGAGCATCAACGGAATTCCAGGATCGCATATTTTTAAGTTGCACTAGAGTCGGTGCCGGCATACCGTCAAACTTAGGATCAGGAATGAGCCATCGACAACACCAAAGGCTGGCGCCCACTAGGGTGCTTGAACAACCCCATCTTCGCTTGGAGCGCCGGCCTTTGCCCATTAGTGAAATTTAACATTCGTTCTGGTGTTGGGACGTTAACGAGGTATGAGATCGAGTGACATCGGCGCAGTTGCTTCAAAGCGACCTGGCATTTTGCCAGTTTTTGATTAACAAGACGATGCTCCTGGTGTTTAAGTAAGATTTCGTGACTAAATTGCAGCTCGATGACCTTCTTTGCACGCTCTAACCTTGGTGACATCTTAGACGCTGATAATTGCGTCACCTGCTCCTCCTCCACTGCCGCCGGTGACGCTTCACCACCGGATAATCAAATCCAACAGTGAATGAATTTAGTATAATCTTGCTCTGTCTCCAACCCAAACAGCTGTGTTGGGGACTGCTACAGTCAAGTGAGGGTTGGCCAACCTGAACAACAGTGTCATCTCCCGTTCAATCTGAGGCTGATAATCGAATCATAGGCATCCCTTTAAATATGTGGAAGAGTGGTTGAGTAAACAGTAATACGTAGGCAATGGTATCGTTCAGGCGATAGAGCACTGGGTTGACATGACATGAGGTCAGGGGAGATGGCTCATTTGAAGTTTAACGGATGCATGGTTGTTTATCCCTGGTTGTGACTTGGTTCCAACCTGGCCCCCAGTTGTTTAAGGTGGGTACCTGAATTAGATCGAGACGGAAGAACTGGGCTAGTTACTGGACAATGCAAGCAGATACGAATTTCCTGGATCGACGGGTTTTAAAGTGATAAAGCTTGGTAGAGTATACCTTGCTTGGTGTTGCAATATAACTCACATGGTAAACAAGATTCCAGAAATGGCTCAAGGGATAAAGCTTTTTTTTTTTAATCTCCAAAGACGGATATCATATGGTTCGCTGTCCTATATTTAGGCCTGATAACGAAGTCACTTCTTTCTCCCAGCTCAGTTTTGGCCTTAATGATGGCACGAAGTAAATTCTTCTAAGCGGCGAGCGTGTTAGCAACCCTAATCTGATTCATTTCCAAATCAGGCTTATTTCCAAGTCATAAAGCTAATTATACTATTAACAGTTAACAGAACTTCTTAAGCAGAGGTAGTGTTCTCCTATGACCGTAAACGAAATGGTCCCGCTCATCTTCGCTAGTGTCGGCGGGTCTCTCGATAGTGTTCTAGTAATAGCTACAAAGAACGTTCCACGAGGTCTATCGCCAACATGAGTGACAGCTTTGCAGCTCAGGCTCTGATGGGTTAGTAACAGCTTAGTACGTTTACTGATATTCCCGAAATTGGACGCTAGTATGGTGCCTGATAAAACTTGAACATGACTCGCTCGACGCCGTGATTTGTACTTCAAAAGGACGACGTTGACGATCGTTACTTTTTAGGGGTGTTCCACCCCCCCGTGGAGCACGACGGTTGCTTCAATCATACCGCTTATCCTATAAATTCTCTGACTTTGATTTCATTTTTTAGTAGAAAGGAAAGGAGCATACAATCCAATGCCGATATCGATGTCGCCTCCATCTCCTCGGGTCGCCAAGATCCGTGAGACCGAACGACTTGCACGTGCAAGCCGGGAAGATTCCATCCAATCAATTCAGGTGCGTCCAATTTCGGGTATCAACCTCTATTCATATCCTTGCTTGGGCCAACAGGTTATGATCTTACAAGGCTCTCCACCAAGGGTACAAACTCTCCGATACGGCGAAGTGCAGTCGTGAAGTATGATAAATTGGTACTACAGACCCTGGGTCAATATTCCAGAAAAGAGAACAATGCCGTACTAAAATATTGCCGAATGAATGAATATAACTCCTGGTTGGCAGTTGTTGGGTTTGTCACTTTTCATCAGACTTCGTCGCTTATCGTCATACTCCACGATGGGGCCTGGAAATTGATAGGGCTATGCGTCGCCAATCACCTTGCTAAGCCAGGAACCTCGATCCGGTATCGCCACTGAACTCATTTAGCTGGGCCAAGCCCTATTTGACCGGAGTTGCGTACGCCTGCATTAACTTTGTCACGATACATTAGTAGCCAAATTTGATCGCCGGGACTGTGGGTACCTGTATCCTCGCTAACAGTTGACTGTAGGAATCCCACTGGTTAAAGCCTCTGCTTGGAATGAGAAGGGTTTCATATTCTTGAAACACGAGGCATGGTACTAGCTTATTGGTCTTGTCAACCTACTATTTAGGCTCGCTTATACTTACCAGGGTAATCTGAATGGCAACAAGCTAGCAAGACGGTTTTCAGCCCGAGAAATGAGATCCACTGTAGCTGCAAACTATCAGACTGCCGCGAATTGGCAGAGGATTTCTCCTAATGTCGTGCATAGCACTAGCCTTAGATAGTGTCAGAATGGCAACACAGCTGCGTGCATCCTCACAAATAAAAGTGATCTGCCACAACCATTGGTGGTAAATGGTTCACAGCCATGGCCCACTACGTTTTGATTGTCTCCAATTTTATCCGCTCTAGTTTAGTGTCTCGATCCGTTGTGGTGGCAATTTCTTCAAATTAGGTCCCCGGATGGACGTTCCCAACGCGGGGTCTAGCGTGAGAATAAGGCCAATTAAACTGTGGACATCTCTATTATACTAAAGTAATTTCACAGTGACTTCGCAGGTTGGTTTTGGGTAATTCGTAGATATCAGCGGTAGCACGGCCGTACGAGATGGTATGCATGAACCATGAAATCCTTATCCGATGCGCAGGGGCAGATCTACGTCCAAATCCCTTTCTATTCCATTACACTCTGTGTTTAGCGGACGACCTGACTTTATCCTCCAGACTCACCTGCGAACTTGCCAGCCTAGTCGCAGTTGTACGCTTTGCAGTACTAAGTTTCATGAGTTTCAGCGGGACGATTGGTATCGGATCGTCCCCGCGAGATTGCCCAACGGGAGTGGGCTTTGATGAACCTCGCCCCGCATGGTTGGATATTAGCTCCGGCGCAGGAAAAGCACCTGTCCCGTAATATTATTAGTTAAGCCAGTTAGTTCCCCCGTTGGAGGTCGCCTTCGCCCATCCTCTTACTGGCAAAGATAGATACGTGGTGTCTTCTCAACGTGCAACGACGGCGCCATGAGTGACAATGATCGAAGTGCGGGCGTATTCGCCGTTGCGGTGGCCTTCCTTGTTCTCACATGGATCATGGTTCCGCTTCGGGTCTACGTACGAGCAGTTATGACCAAATCCTTCGGCCTCGACGACTGGTTGCTAATGGTCACGCAGGTAAGTCGCTACGATCCAGAGAGGATATGATGATGTCTAATTGCTGGTATATGAAGGCCCTCTTTACCACATATCTCTCAAGCCAGCTAGGGGGATGGTATTATGGTACTGGCAGGCACAGAGCTGATCTTACTCCGGAGAATAACAGCAAGGCTTTGAATGTAGGTGCCGACTAGTGTGAGAGTGAATTGGTTGTTAATACGTTGACAGTTCTGGTTTATCTGTGAGATCTTTTACGTCCTTACTGCCACATTCATCAAGCTCGCCGTAGGTGTCTTCCTGCTTCGCCTTTCCGTTGTCCAATTTCACACCTGGTTTCTTCGTATTCTCATGGCTGGGAGTGTTGTATTTGGAACCTCATATCTATTCATTGTTTTGTTTCAATGTCAACCCATAAGCACATTCTGGGCAGAGGCGCCCGGCACTCCCGGAAAATGCTTGGCAAATAACCCAGTTGCAATCGCTACATATGTCGCGTCGGTTATCAATTGCCTTGCAGACTGGGCTTTTGGTATATTGCCAATGTTTATTGTGTGGTCGCTGAACATGAAGAAAAAGTTGAGGATCATTGTCATGTTTATCCTTGGGTTTGCTTCCATGTGAGTCTACTAAAACTAAATCCTGATATGATGGGTATCATGGACTAGCTAGACTAACCGATATTCTTAGTGGAAGTACTGCGACGATAGTTCGAATGTTCTACATTCCTGATATGCTTAATGGGCGAGATTTCTTATGTGGGTCGATTCGTCGCGCATGTGCTACATACATTAACACTCCGTCAGGGACCACAACAAACTTTGCAATTTGGAGCACAGTTGAGCCGGGTATTGGTATCATCGCAACCTCGATAGCAACCCTCAGACCTGTGCTGCAGCTTGTCTTGGGCAAGCTTAGACTGTCGCGAACATACCAACTGAGTAAAAGCTCGCCCTGGACCACTTCCCATGGCTACGTGAAAACGGACGAGCATTCGATGTCTGGCTTGCGGCCGAGCGATAGAGTTACCACCACAACCGTTGCTGGTCCGAAGGAGCCTGCTCCTCCATCTTTCAAACATCTACGACCCCAGACAAGTGTGGAGTCTATCGAGTTGGCCGGTATTACGAAGACAGTAGAGGTTTCGTTATCGAGTGACATAGCTGATGTGGTCAGACTTTGAACATCACTCGACAAAAAGACGGAGGTTACGTTCAGTTAGGCCGATATGAGCAATATCTCTTCAATTGGCGCTAGAACGAAGGTGATGGTAATAGTGGCGGTACGGACAATATTCTAGTAGCAAATGACCAATCCCGAAATCAGTGTCAATTCTACGTAAGGCGAGTTGTATGTAGCAAGAAACAGTCCGACATCGACTCTTTTTATTTATAATATTAAGGCTCAACAAGTGGTGGAGAATGTGTTGGAGCTCTCCTTTGTCGGATATAAAAGATATTAGGGGGCTTAGTTCGATGTAAGGCTCTGTTGGCAACTGCGTATCGGCCGTAAAGGTTTCTGTGTTTTCTCCGACGTTAAAGTCACTATCGCTGGACTCCGATTCAGAAGCACATTGGCCTAAAGATGTCTCAGGCACCCTTCCCCCTTTATGATCAATGGGTGGTTCCAGGCTAGAGGTAGTCGATAACAGAATTCGTGCGGCTAACTCCTTCTCGTCGCGAAATGACTAATTGAAGACTTCTTGAGCTAGAGGTGTCGACGCGGCGAGCTTGCTGTCGATCTCTGAGTAGCTACTACGAATATGCTTTGAATGATTTAAAGACATATTTATTAAACTTTAGGATCCAACACGTATCCAACTAAAGGATATCTAAAGACAGGAATACATCTAACTACCGGACCTAATATATAAAGGGGGGTCCATATCTAGGAACGCGCGCTGCAGGATCAAACTATAATCCTTAGCGCTACGTCGCGACGCTGTTAGCTAATATTAGATTCGAGGAGAGTTCAGCTAGTGTCTGAGGCGTCTGCAAGGCTTGGTCTAGCTCTTCTAAGACGCTCGGTCGGGGCCCTCCAAGAGGCTTGATCTACCCGCTAGAGAATTTAGGATCAAGCAATGTAGATCTCGGAAGAGTAGTACTCGAATTAAGTACGTGATCATAGATTGGCTGACTATCTTATACCCATTGAGCGTTTCCTAGGCCCTACTTAACTGGATGGTTGAGTAAAGCTCAGTCCGACTAGGATCGTTATCAAAATATTTAACCGACTGCACTGAATCCACCGAATTGCCAGTAAGATGGGTGGATTCATCGTGAATGGATTTATATGGATTTATATCACGTGGTAAACCAATTAACCAATTCGGAAATCGTGATAAGATTTGTGCTCTTTTGTCGAATAATCCATCCAGCCCGTGATCTACATAGGTTAATAGTTTATGTAGAGTTATTTCTTTTTCTTCTTTATGCCTCCTAGTTCTTGCTTACGACTTTAACTTTAGGAACGCTTGAGTTATCTCGATACCCACACGTTTTTATATACGAGTTAATATCACGCTACCGTCATTTTACTATAAGATAATATTATATTGAACCAGGACCACTGTCTTGTCCCTTGGGTTATAAGCCTCACGACGAACTCGCTGGTTCACTCGCGGACTAATCACTTATGAATGAATGGAAAGAATGAACTTAATGACCAAGATAATGTTAATTAGTGACGACGAGCCATTCTCGTCGTCTTCCGAATGCACTGCTGCATAAACTGACCATGCTACCGAAATCAAAAGTGTGAAGAAGCATGCCCTTTTCGACTATTTACAAGTTCCATCCCTTCGACCTTATACTAATCAGACCCCGGACAACCACGACGAAGGTCGTACGACCCACTTGGCTCCCTTGTAGTATTGGTACAGCCAACACTCACTACTTCAATATCTTCTTAATAGTAAATGGAGTTTAAGCGACGTAAAAACTATATATATTATTATTACTTAGTTAACGTTAATTAAACGATCCTTGTTATTTATTTTAAAGACATTTACCGTTTATTCCTTTATAATAAAATTAAACCCACTTTTAGTTAATTATTTATGGTGTTAAATGGCTTCTCCATTTAATTCTTTCCGTACGGTGTAGGCGACAAATAGATCTATTCAGCGCTTTCGTACGAAGGAGAAGAAGGGATTCTTCCCCTCGTACGTGGTCTATAGATAGGGGTTTAGGGTTCATGTAACAATTACAGTAGAGTCACCAGGTGATAAGCTCCTTCGGGTAGTAGTTATATTCAGAGACTTATTCTTAAGGAGCCGGTAAGTAACATGTCTCCATCGCTAGTCACGAAGGGGGGGTTTTACACTGACTACGCACGGACGTACTCCGTGCGCTGCTTAAGCGCTAGGCTGGCACCTAGGCTAGGTCGTTACAGTTCACCCGTACGGCTGTTGGCTGCCGATAGCCACATTATGGCTGTAGTGGCTTACTGCCAGCACGCCGGTGACTACCTATACTACGTAGTCAACCGTCGTACGAGACCGCGAATAATATATTCCAACATATGGATTATATATTATAAATATTTGTTATTAGGTTAACGTAGTTCACAAGCGAGCTGGCCACCTAAGGAAGCTGGCCACGCTAATTAGCACAACATACAATTTAACCTTTTACCTCCATTTTCATCACTACTTCCAAATGACTTTAATTAATAAAGAAGCTCAATTAATCCTTGCCATTCAGGCTATTAAAAAAGATCCAACATTAAGCGTACGGCGCGTCGTAACGATATATACAGTCCCTCGTTCAACGCTTATAACGCGAATACGCGGTATTCAACCTCGACGCGATACCCGACCTAAAAATCAAATTCTTACAAAACTAGAAGAGGATACGATTATTAAAAGGATAATTGAGCTAGATTCCTAAGCATTCCCTCCCCGGTTAAGCGTTGTGGAAGATATGGCGAATCGATTACTACGCGACCGCGACGCGTCACGCGTCGGGAAGAACTGGGCCTCTAACTTCGTCAAGCGATAACCATAACTTAAAACGGTATTTAGTCGCAAGTACGACTATTCTAGGGCTTTATACGAAGATCCAGAACTTATCCAAGGTTGGTTCGACCTCGTACGTAACATAATCGCGAAATACGGGGTTGTAAATACGGATATTTACAACTTCGATGAGACCGGGTTTATAATGGGACAAATCACCCTATCGATGGTCGTTACTAGCTCCGAAAGGAAAGGCAAACCTAAGCTAGCCCAGCCTGGTAATCGGGAATGGGCTACGGCTATCTAAGGCGTCAATTCGCAAGGCTAGACGGTCCCGCCGTATATCATCGTTAAAGGCAAATACCACCTCTTATCTTAGTACGAAAACAGCTTAATGCCGAAGAATTGGAAGGTCGCTGTTAGCCTGAATGGTTGGACTACTAATGAACTAACTACAAATTGGCTAAAACACTTTGACGCGTATACAAAAAGCCGGAAATCAGGTGTATACCGGCTTTTAATCCTTAACGGCCACGAGAGCCACCATTCGGATGCTTTCGAACAGTATTATAAAGAGAATAACATTCTTATACTCTATATGCCTGCCCATTCATCCCATATCCTTTAGCCATTAAATGTGGCATGTTTTATACCTCTTAAGAAAGCGTACGGCGCGCAAATTGAACGTCTTATCCGAGCCCGGATTTCCCATATTACGAAAGAGGACTTCCTCCCGGCGTTTTGCGAAGCATTCGAGAAGAGTATAACCGAAAGCAATATCCGCGCAGGCTTCGAGGGAGCTGGACTTATCCCTCTAAGCCCGGAAGTAGTGATATCGAAGCTGGATGTGAAATTACAAACGCTAACGTCCTCTCGGCCCCTTACGCGAGAAACCCGACCTTAGGCTTCGAGGATACCGAACAACCTAATCGAGGCTACTTCACAATCTGAATTTATTAAATCTCGGATCGCCAACCATCAAAATAGCTCTCCAACCTCAATTTACGAAGCCATCGACCAATTCGCGAAAGGAGCGCATGGGATTATACACCGGATGGCCCTCCTCCAAGCCGAGGTGACTGAACTACGAGAGGCAAATACGGTTATTAGTAAGCGACGTAGGGCTAAAAAAACACGTATTCGGCTTAGAGGATTACTTAATATACAAGATGTAGAAGATTTATAGGACCAAAAAGACGTTACACAGCAAGTACAACAAGAAATACGTGAAAACGGTAATGGTTCGGGTCGGGGACCGGCGCGCCAACGACGCTGTGGAGTGTGCGGGAAGCCCGGGCATAACGCAAGAACCTGTCAGATTGAAATAGAATCATCTGGGCAAGAGTATTCAGAGTAGTTTTAATTAATTTACGGCGTTGTGGTTGCGAAATTCAGTTAAATTGCGTATTATGCTAATTAGCGTGGCCAGCTTCCTTGGGTGGCCAGCTCGCTTGTGAACTACGTTATATGTATATTATGTAACGTTAATTAGTCGGAAGCACTTAATTCGAAGTAATACTCGGAGGTAGAGTAAAGAGAGTATAAGTAAATGTGTTTATAAGCTTGTTTAAAGAAAGCGTTTAAAGATATCGAGGATATCTCTTAATATATACTAAGGGAAATGTGACGATTATACTATTGGGTTGCACAACCACAAATAATATAATGCAAGGGGGGTTTATGCTAACAGGGTATGCTAGCCGCATGAGAAGACTATAGAGATAGACCTTCAGAATATACTGAGCAAAGAGATTCACAAGTGTAGTCGTCAAAGCGTGAGCTTCACCTATGGGTAAGATAGATGCTTAGATTGATCACTGAAGTAATGACTGTCTATGTAGAGTAGGAAATCCGATCCTTATTATATCCATTCATTCCTTCACTGATGTTGGTTGGATCACCTTGGATCACTGTTGGCTCACCAGTGATCCCCTTTATCTATGTGTGATCCCCTGCATAGATCACCATGGGCTCACGCCAAGGCTAGGTGATCCCGTGATCCTCACGTGACCTTGTCTTGTCAGAGGCCAGCCGTCTGGCACTCTGCCAGCTGTACTTATGTGGGGCCCTGCGGCCTACCTGTAGACCTCGTTCGTAACAGGAAATACCTTAGAATAATTAAGAATAATATTATTAATTTATTAGATTAATAATTACTGGGACGATAAATAGTGGTGGATTTATAATGGCCGTAAAAGTAAATATAACATGAGAGAAGTGTAGTGGCGAAAGCGTTATAAGTAAGTTTCGCCCTAATAGGGAAAAGAGTGTAAGGAATGTAACGATTATATTATCGGGTTACAAAACCACAAATAATATAAAGGCTGGGTTCATGTTAGCAAGATATGCTAGCCGTAAAGAAAAGACTATAAAGATAGACCTTTAAAGTATACTAAGCAGTAGAGATTCACAAGTGTAGTCGTTAAAGCTTAGGGTTTGACGAGCAATGCACGAAACATGGTGTTCGCTAGTTTCGATAGGACTGGTCTGCGTGTGCATCGAGCTTGACTTCGGCTGTGCTTGTGATTGGAAGAATGCCCAAAAGAACCGGATTGTCTCGATGACTGAAGCAAACTATGTCTTGATAACGGGGAATGATGGCCATTGTGGTAGTAGTTAAGCGGGTCGAAAATAAGGATTGGGGCTTTGACGCAGCGCTATCTCTTAGGTTTCTTTCGCACAAACAACGCAATCGCTACTTGATCAATCCATCGCATTGCTGTCCAGCCCAGCCCAGGTGGTGCCTAATCTGGCAGAATCCCAGCACATGTTAGCTCAAGGAATGATCGAAAGCAAGAAATGTATTAAATAAAGACATTGCACATACGATTGGCTGTACCCAGCGATTTGTCCGAATGATGCGAGTTATAGGGGTTTTTATGCCTCTTCTTTTTTTTTTTTTCGGATTTGACATTCAGTAGATCCCACATTTCGATACTATCATGCAGTACTTTTCGCAATCGAATGCAATGCGTTCTGTGTTCAGGAGCCGATTTGGGTAAGGAGGTTTGCGGTCGTCCAGTCCGCGCCCTGCTTGAGGAGCAGCCGGACCACTTCCACGTGTCCGTTGTTTGAAGCACTATTTAACGGCGTCCATCCATTATTATTTGCGACCGTCCAGTCGGCACCTTTCTCAAGAAGTAGCTCGAATACATTGATGTGAGTTCAGAAGGTCCTGAAGGTAAATATAGGAGTGTTGGAACCACGCGTTGGCCGCTGCCATTCCGCAGCACCTCGATCGATGCCTTTCGAGATAACCAGCCATCGATAAGGCTGAACTTGTCTCTGCATATACACCTTTCTGTGGTAGGCATCGGCGGTCACGAGATGCGGGGTTACCGTTTATTGATGAACCGTCGACCTGCATCAATTGCTTACGTCGAGGAATCTTGCTACAATCCTTTTAAAGATCGCGGCTTACGACTTACACAAAGAAACTCATTCAAGCTATTCGCGATAAACCTTTATTGCGAAGACGACTTCGAAAAACTCACAACTTCCTCGGGGCGAACATCTTTGGTACATTTTAGTTCAATCCGTCTTATAGCATCTGTACTTCGTCAAACCAACCCATGGGCTTACAAATGCAATGTGTTCAGACATGTGTACCGATAAACTATTGGTCCAACGCAGTGGTTTTATCTCGAGGTCCGCCATCAGCGCTGGGACAGCCTTATCAAATAGGCAAGCGGGGTCAGCACTGCAATGCTGCTATGGCGATTGTTCACAACCCCACACAGACTTTGTCTGGATGAGTCATAGCTTGGAGATATAAATGCTTTTCACTACTCATGTGAGCAACACGAGATATGTTTGAACACGAGCGTGCACGGATCCTGCAAGAGAGTCACTAGGATCCATGGGCTAGGGTACATCGAGGCCGATTGTACAATCGACGGAGTTAAGGATCATTCAAGTTTGAGTCTCCAAAAAACACAACAGCCATGTTCGACGAATGCAGGCGAAGAGATAACTTACCCTGTTGTCGCCGTGGCACATTAGCTCATGGTAAACTGAAAGATTGGATTGATCGAACGGGCCAGTTCGCTCTGCAACACAATGCGTCAACCGACATCAATGAGAGTAACGTGACGCGTATCCGTCTGTTGATGTGCGAAAGAACGGCATGGCCAAAACTTGGATTTCCTGTGAGTCAAGCGTGTTTCCTCGAATTAGAAAGAGTCTTTGACTTTCCAAAGGCTACCCTGCCCTTGATTTTAGCAATACGGGGCTGGAGCTCTATAACTTGAATTACAACCGACTAGAAAGCGGATCTCAGATACTGGCCTTGATCTGTAGATGGACACACATCCCAGCCAATATGGTCAAGTTTGAGATTCTAGCAAGCTCATTAAAGCCGTTGTTATTAAACTTCCACAAATGTACCAATTGGGCAACTGCGGGTTAGCACTAACGCATTCCTTCATTTCGGGAAATACACTAGCATGCCTCCATGGCTGGAATATTGGCAATAATCGGAATCGTGTAACTGGAGAACCAGTGGCGCTATATACAGAGAAAATATATAGTTTCTTGCAGTCGTTCATTCCAGTATGGAAACACCCACTCCTCTTGTCAACGCTTCTTCTCCAGGAACATCTTTCTCGTTCGAACGAATTTACATGGCAAACATTATCGCCTAGTGTGACACGCATTGAGAAGGAGCTTAGCGTCACGAAGTCCGGCCGCCTTGCTCACACTGAGCTTGCAATTCCAGAGACATTAAAGATAACTTTAGCCGACGAGGAACGTCGGCTCCGGATTACTACCGATGTCGATAGTACATAGACTGATACAATCACACTCATTCAAGTCCAAGAATGGGATTAGCGCTTTGGCGAATTCATTCAGTAAGTCAACCGCGAGCTGAGTAAACATTATAAGGGGGCTCGTATTCCCTTCCCGACCATGAAGGAAGCAGAGTCCATTGTCGAACACTTTTTGCGTAGGGCAATATCGGCAACTGGATACAGTAGAGCAATCAAATCCAGGCTTGAATTATAGCTAAATGTGGTATGTCTCGGGTTTCCTTTTCCAAAGGTAGTGCACTATGCCAAAGTAAATGTCGATGAAAGCCATATAACTTGACGGCTCAAGCTGCAAACGATCTTAACCTTCAAGTCGCAAACGCCTCAGGCCTCGATAGTGCTGCCATGAAAACTCTCGCCTTCGTGACAATACTATTTTTTCCTCCATCTTTCGATGCTGTGAGTTTCGTTTTAGTTACCTGTGGTTCTCTTTTAATCAGATATGTAGTCACTCTTCAGTATGTCGATGTTCGATTGGCAAGCGTCTTCAACCGATGATCCGGCTGGCCACAAGATTATGTCAGCCCGCTTCTGGATTTATTGGATTATCACAGCACCATTTATCGCAACAACCCCTTGGCCTGTTGGCGTGATCAGGGTGCCCAGCGCTTCCCCCGCTTATCCTTCACGGCCTCAGATAACTTCACAACTGCGTCGTCTACGTCTGAAACTGAGCGTTCTTTCAATAGCCATGGCAGGATGATCACTTCCAATCGAATCTCACCTTAGTAGGGCTTCCGTTGGGCAAACACAATCTATGGCTGCGTGAAGCGATCAGGGTATTTACCGGGCAGAGCTGCCAATTAACCTGCTGCAGCGCCAGGACTGGTACGACAGGCTGATTGCAAATGGACTTGTAATACCACTTCTTAATGGCGTCGAATCCGTTAAATAGGCTGTGATAGCTTCTTTAAACAACTACTGCCTGGTAACGACTAGTTCGACTGTATTGGCACGCTAGGATCGACATGATAGTGCGATTGTTACTGCCACGACGAGGCTATCGACCATCTGGTAGATTAGTTGGCTGTTCTTTTGCGATGCATACGTAACGATGATTGAGACCTGTGTTCTTCCGTAGACGTCTGATAATGTATGTTGGTCGGCATCTAGTCGTCTAGGCTGTCAAATATACCATCGAGATCAAGTCTACGATACTTGTGCCTCACGATGTTTTCTTAAATATTATTAGATTGAATCCGGTCTCTTAACTGACAGCCCTAATAACCACCCACCAAGATTCCCTCCATATGTAGATCGAATATCCCCCTCTATTAGGCTGTCATCGTCCGATTCCAAATTTTCAATCCATTCGTGCTCACGAATAGCTCTCTCTGCCACGGGAAATCCGTCAGCGCCTCGGAGCCAAGTGAAAACATTTCTGGTGACCATCTCCGATACTTCATCTTCGAGATCAAGATTTTCATAATTAACGGAAGCGGTAGTGTTCCAACCAGGTGGTTGCCCGGTCTTCAAACGAATGGTCGTCTTAAGCATATCGTTTCCTCCTTGCACAACCGTCCTGCAATCATCGCGATCCCAGGTAAAAGTATAGCATCCTAGGCCATGAACTGCTGAGCATCTAGCGTGTCGACGAACGTCCAGGTCCGTGTCTTCCAAAGCAGTAAAGCCGAATGGTGCAAAAGGAAACAGTGGTGGCAGTGTATGGTCTTGTTCGTGAGAAAGGTACATTAGTCGGCATTCGTCGGCTCGTGAGATCTGATGGGTGACCGTAGATATTTTTGGAATAAGGTCTTGAATAAAAGACACATGCGTCCCAGTCCAGGCAGCAGCGCTAAGATCAACTTTCCACCAGCCTATCCGAGCATCTCGGAGACAGCTCGCTTCAGCACCCGTGATAAAGGCACCGATCCAGAGAAATCCAAGGCCCGGGTCTCTCTTTATGAATGTATTCAAGCGGAGATACATATCGCTAGCCTCCTCGGAGTCGAGGAACGCGAATGAGCCCTGTAACCAAGCCCCGCAGTCATTACAAGCCACGTCTGGCTCGAAGAAGATGCTGTTTAATAGGGCTTTCACCCCTCTCGAATTGCAGCTAAGCGTTAACAGTCGATCTAACTGGCCGGGTTCCCCATTCCAAGCTAGAGTGGCTTGATTTCTCTCTTGTCGAGTTTTTGACTTGTGCGATAGTTGCGGGATAGGTAGTTCGATTCTTCTATTGTCCAGTTTCGCTACTGGAATGAGCAAAGCAGCTGCAAGTGCTTCTTGGCTTTGGTCGGCGACATCATGGAGAGAGCAATACTCCGAAAGATAATGAATGGCAGTGCTGAACGATGCAGGACAACGATGGGTGACGTGTGAATCAGGCTTAACGTTGGCAGAAACGAGGAAAGTCGACCCTAGCTCGATTCTAACGGACCAAGGTGCGTAGAGGAAAAAACCGGTGTTACTTCGGATTGATGCATCCCAACCACTTGCTGATAGAACGGCGGTCCACCACCGAGCAGCATCTTCATCCACGTCCCCTATATCTACCACGATAGAGTTGTTGCCATTGGCTAACCCTCTCAATCCATTGCTGGCATTAAGCCAATCTCCGTGGTTGCTATAATCAGGCGCGCGTGCTCCAGGAATAAGCTCAGCCCATCTTGCCGAAAGTATGTATGCCCATGCAAGCATAAGGACAGCCACATGATTGCTCGTGCTACCGAAACAAGTCGCAAGCTTCATTGCCACATGTGGATTGGAAACGAAGCTAATTGGCGTCACGTAGCTTGAAGCCACCTGGATAACAACATCTTCTTCAAATGTTGAGAGGTCGCATGCCCCTTGGGTAGTTATCCAAGTGGTTTTGCCTCTTGCCGTGATCGTGTTTGAAAAAGATTTGTTGACCGCAAGGCCATCTGGAAAGTATGGGTGGTTGGGAAATGATGAAAAAAGGCTGGTAAGGGGAGTCTGTGGGAGGTCTCTGTCTGCTACTGCGCTCTCCCAAAGTGCAGTCCATGTGCGATATCCTCTCTCATACATCGCCTTGAAGGCCGCCTCGCTCGGACGGACTGCATCTTCCATGAATAATAACAGTTGGTTGCTAATGAGGTCTCGAATCTGCGTGAGCCGAAGTTGGCGATGCGAACAAGGTGGTTATCGCATATATGTGTATTTAGTGCTCAGGTTGTTGCCTCACGTGATTTGATGACCTGGCTCAGCTAAATCGTTTCGTAATTTTCTTCCGGAAGGGCAAATTTAGTGACAGAGACCCCACCAATTATGTCGCTGATACGTTTAGATAGAGGGAGCTAGGCTAATGAGGTCATGTGAAATGAGATAAGATAAGCTGGGAAGATAAACTTAGGCTTTGAGCAAGTAAGAGAATAATTATTACTTTTATATAAAGATAAGATTACCCCGATTTTAAATGATTATATTGATATTTATGGAGGATGCTGTTGCAACCACGGAAATTTATATTATAGGAATGCTGAAGTTCAGAATGACCGTGAGCAAGGACCGTAGAGCTTCAGCTGTTAAATTGATTGTTCATCACAGAGTTATACTATTTAACATGGCAGTTTAGCATGATTGAACAAATACCTAGCCAGCGATAACATGAAATGAGAGACCATCCTCGTAAGCTTGTTAATGTTAGGCGACGAGTAACAAGAAGACAAGCAAGGTGGGTCGGTGTTATTACTAATCAATTAAAAGACATGTCGAATTATAACGGCACTAATATAACTATATCATTTAGGAATACTGAAACTCTACATAATCCAAATCTGTACAGCACACATAGAAGCACATCGTGGACGGTTATCCAACAATGAAAAAAATCGATTATAATAATATTAAAGATTTAAGTCGCGCACAAAAAAAAAGATAAAGTTGTTTCGTGAAGGATTCTAGCGCCGATATTGTAGTCACTTTATAACGAGAAAAGTATGCGTTATTCATGTTTGCCACATTCATTGCCAGGTATCCATGGAAAGTTCTCGCGGAGGGTATATACTTAAATGTTGGTGAAAAAGAAGTGAGGCGAGTTTGAATGAGACATGTAAATCAACCACCTGGTAGGAGTTTATAAGGTACCCACTGCTCATACACCCGCAATATACCACGCCTTGTCAGTCCCCTCCTCCTCAGCATCCGCTGTGGTGAAGCCGTTGCCCCAGTAGCTAAACCTATTTCCCATCAAATACTCCCAGTCGTAGTCCTGAAGCTTGGTTAGCATCTTTATGAAAATACAAACGAATATCACTTTGCTCTCTCTTACCTCCCAGCGTGGGTTCAGCAAGACATCGAAGCAGTGGAGGCGGCTTCCCGGCCACATCATGACGGTATCGCCATTAGGGCCCAACTTGAACCACGAGGTGCACGGCGCGTCCCAGACCGTCTTCTTCATGAATAGGTCACGGTGCTGCCGGAAGTCCGCCATGGCCTCCTTCTTGGGCATCACCGTCTTAATATTTTGAGTCTGGAATTTATGGAGAAACGTAGCAATATTTCGAGTTATGACCTCAATAGCGGGGATGACTGAGCCGTGTCCATAAGGCGCGAAGGGCCCCAGCATCACTATTAGCCGGTGATAGTGGTCAGAGCTCTCTTAATTACAATGCTTACGAGAGGGAAGGAAAAAGGAAGAAAAGGGTGTATACATACTGAAATAGTTGGGGAAATTGTGTGTCATGGTACTCAGGTAAGTGTCGGGCAAGTCCTTGAAAGCATCCCGCAAGTCCACCCCATCCTTCCCGACAATGGGAAACCGGGGCCTAAACGAGGTGTCAAAGCCGGTGCCACAAACGAGGACATCTACCTTGTGCGTTGATCCATCCTCGGAGATGATCCCCTCCTCGGTAATCTCGGCTATCCCCGAGAAGACGACATCGCACTTCTCGCTTGAAATCGCCTCGAGATACCCGTGACCAGGGTTTGGTCTCTACTCCACGTGGTTAAAAAAGATACCAGAACGAGAGAAAGAAAGGAAAAAGAGAAAAAAATAATGGATTCAAAGAGAAAACTCCTAACTTACCCTGCAGCCTACGGGGAACGTATTGGGGATTAGCTTTTCAGCTAGTTCCGGCTTCTTCTTTAACTTCCGTTTCATCTCATTCGTCGCGAACTAAATCTTATCAGCGTGAAATCTTTCACAGGCTCTAGAATGTGATCATCGTTCTTACTTCATAAGCATCCAGTTGCTCCTTTGTGCCTTTGATCATCTGTTTTCATGATTAGTAAAAGGTAGGCCACCCGATCCACGCCGGGTAAGAAGGAATTGCCTCGGACAATCGCAAATGTTGAATTCATCTCCCTCTCAACCGCTTTACGGTACGCTAGGTACTCTTCTGGATTTTGTGCGAAGGTTTTCTTTTGCTCTTCGCTATCTAGCCATCAGTTAGTATCATGTAAGTTCTTGTGAGGGTGAATTGGGCTCACGTACATCGGAAGTTGGAGCCACCCTCGCCAGCGAACTTGGGGGCATATCCCGCCGTGACCCATGTTGGCGAACGCATGAAAGCGACGACTCGTTTGACCTCTTTGGCAAAGCGTTCTATTAGCCTAGTTCGTGGACCAGAAAGGATATCAAACTCATACTGTCATATATTGCGGGTACAACTTGTACAGAGCTGCTGCCATTGCCAACAACCCCAACGACCTTGTCATTCAGATCAATGTTGTCATCCCAAGCGGCCGTGTGAACCTTGTTCTTGAACTTCTCGAGGCCAGGAACTGCTGGCCATTTCCAGTTACTAATGCAGTCAGTAATAGTCGGCACCGAACTAATTGTGCGGTCTCACTCACTTCAATACGCCAGTGGCGTTGATCAGAATGTCGGAATAGTCGAAGAACTCTGAAGCAGGGTCATCGTTGGGTTGGACCTTAACCTTCCACCGATTTTGATCTTGCTCCCACCATGCACCGGTGAGCCGGTGGTTGTACTTGACAGAGGTGTCGAGATTGTGGTGGGCAACCACCTCTTTCAAGTAAGCCAGAGTCTCTTGGGCTGGTGCGTAACTGTTTCCAAGTTTCAACATATTAGCAGAACAGGGCCACCGGGCTCTGGGATGTGGGATCTGGTATATGGGAAGATGGAAACCTACAAACTTGTCCAGTCCGGACTAGGATGCCAGCTGAATTGGTAGTTCACTGCAGGCTACCATCAGAACACAGAAATGGGTCAGCAAGTTGAAATGCAGAGCTTAGGTTCGGTGCATCCATACAATATCGCAAGAACAGCCAGGGTATCTACAGAAGATTCAGAAAGTCAGCACAGCCCACATTATTTCACATAGCACCGTAAGCAGGCTCTCTCACTTATTCTCGAACCATGTTCCTCCCAACTCTGGGTTTTTCTCGTAGAACTGCAACGTGATATTGCTGTTCTTTGTTTGCTTCCCGAGAATGTATGAAAGGTTGATACCGGACATGCCAAAACCAATTACAATGATCTTTATGGGCCGACGATAGCCCAGGAAGGTATTCTGAATGGTATATGGATCAACAGCATCATGACCATTGGTGCTCGGTTGGTCGACATGGGGAGACATTATTTGGGACTTGACTTGAAGAACTGTGGATGATTGTGCAAGTGGGTGAGTCGGGTAGTCGTCGATGCCGCGGATAATCGGATTGGGACCTTGAGAATAAATGGTGATCAGGTGGGAAGGATGAGTACAAGATAAAACTTTTCCTATATTTCGGCCGTCACCGGCCAGGTAGGGTGAGGCTATCAACCAAGTATGCGTGGGGGACAGGGGCTACCCATGTACGTTACACCGCAGTATACATCTGTATCCCTCCGGGGATCTGTAGAAATTTGCTTATGCAAGCCAGCTCAGATCATAAATTTCGGAAGGCCAGGTTCATGTATGTCAGCTTATAACGAGGACTTCGGGCAACTCCGAAACTACAACCCTCCATTTGGAAATCGAAAGACTATAGAATCTTGGGAGTCAATCACACCATTGTGGTCAGCCCATCGTTCTGCTCGTTTAGATTAGCTTGCATATTTGAAACATGCTGTCTGATAAGGAATAACAAAAGACTACACAACTGAGGAGACTTGGCATGCAAGTCGGCAGCTTACATCCTTGGGTTGTGTGGTATATTTGCCGTAATTAGTAATGATACTTAACGTTATCTCCGCATTCTATGAAAGACTAAGAAGGCCATGGTACCGTCCTTCTCTTCGATAAGCACCACCTCGTCCTCTTTTCGGCGCCCGTGTAGCTGTTCAATCCTCAGGAGCAGGACGTTGTCAATCACAGGGGCTGATTTATACACTTGACTCGTAAAGAAGCACTGCTCGTACGATCACCGCGTTACAGAACGCGTCGATATTGAAGAACAAAATGGGTATCCGTTGGTGGTCCAATTTCCTAATAGACCATTGGTGTTGAAGGTTCAGATACAGTCCCTAGTAAACTGATTTGACATTAAACATGGAATAGGTAGGGTATATTTCCTTCCTGGTCTTGTTCGCATATTGGATAGCTCTACATACGTTTTAGATAATTGTACCCTTAATAGTATAGAACTGATTAAAGAAAACACCACCACATACAGAGTTTTAGGTATTTTATTCGTAGCTTAATAATAATGATTCATAGCTCTTCAGCTTCATATTGTTTTACAGGCTTGTTTAGTTAGATGAGACCTTAGAAAGCATGCCATTACGTCACGAACGTCAAGACTCAACAGCTTTGTCAAGATATCCCATAGTAAGTCGCAAAGATCCGAAACAAAAGCAGTATGAATTGAATGCACCTCTTCGATCTCAGCCTATGTTATGCAATGCTTACTTTTTTTTCATTGATACACCTATTTCGGTATCATTGCCACTAAGCTAAGTTCTACTTCAATCCCGCAAAGCCGCTTGCGGTTTTAGCATACTCTGCCCATGTAGTCAATGGGTCCGTTACCAGCTTGTGCGTCTCATCGAGAGGGGCACCGCCATAGTAGCCAAACTCCTCCAAGAGCCGTACGTTCTCATATGTCTCGTCGATCACGAATTCAGGTGTCCCTTGGGATTTCATGAAATCCCGGTACATAGACTCAGTCAACTGGAAGTATTGAGCCGTCTTTCCGGCCTCGGGGAACAACTGCTTGAACTCGTCCACCAGCTCCTGGGCCGTCATGTAGTTTGTCGCGCCCAAGAATCGTTTCCCAAGGAGCTTCTCCCGATTCAAGATTATGGCCTTGACGTACTTTCCTGTATCGGCTACCGAGTACATGGGAATTTGAGACGATGGCGTCATGGGCATACTGAGAGTCCAAGCATTGCTTGGCGGTGACGGCTTGAACATAGCACCTGGGAAATTGCTCATGTAGACACCTGCCATAAAGAAAGTGGCTGGAATGCCCAGCGAGCGGACATACTCTTCAACCTCTGCCTTGCCATCGAAATGGTAGACACATTTGAGTTTGCCGTTCGACACTGCAGCCAATCCCTCGGTCAGAACATGGTTCACAGAAAACGTCGCTTATGGAGATACTCACACTTGGTGACATCATAAAGTGAGCTCCAGATATAATGCTGGACGCCAGCTTCCTGTCAGGTCGTTTAGTGGAGTGAGAGAGCGGGCTGGACGAGAGAACGAACCTTTGCGGCATCGGCCATGTTCTTGCCCTGCTGGATTTCAAGCTTCATATCCATCTTTTCCCAGTAGTTGGTCACAGCAAAGACAGCATACGAGCCCTTTACTGCCTCGACCACAGATGCTTTGTCATCCATATCGGCCTGCAAGCATGGTCAGATCAGATTTTTATTCGGAAACGTAGCAGCACTTACAGCAACAACCTCGACGCCCTGCTCTGCAAGCTTCTTCGCAGAGTCCTTGTTCACATCTCGAGTGACTCCGCGAAGGGTCCACTCGTCCTTGAGCTTAGGATCGGTGAGGAATGTGGAAACAACGCTGCCACCCTGGAGACCAGTGGCTCCGAAAACAGTGAAAATCTTCTTTGATTCAGGCATGATGCTGAAAAGATTTCTGACCGTTAATCAAGGGGCTTCGACTACTAAACTGTGGCAGTCTCAAAGAGAGGGATCAGGATACACTGTAAGGGGAGACCAGGATACAATCGGATTGGTAAGATGAGGATGTTCAAAAGATGTTTGGATGTGTACGTCCCTGTTGATGAGTAAATTTCATACCAACATGTAAGCAGATGATATGACAGCCCACCTTATATCGTCGACAAGGCGTAGGCAGTGGGACGCATAGCACCTTTTCCCTGCCGACTGCGGGGAATGCACAGCTCACTTTTAAGACATACCCATGCATAAGCCTATCTGGCTTGGCAATAACTCGTGAGATCTTCGCTTCAAAAAGCTCACCAAGCATTGCATAAGCCCTGACAAAGCCTGAATCCCTCCGCCGAGGATGGCTAAATGCCGCGCGGGGTGGTGGGGGCTGCAGTAAAAGGATGATCAAGGAGGCTCGGATCTTTCCAAGCGAAAACTGCGCAATTGCGTGACTCTTTCAATCACTGCGAAGAAAATAATATGCAGTCAGCTTCGCATAATGCACATACGGGCGGTAGTGTCAATTAGCAGGCTCGGGCGAAGTATTCACTTGCTTGAATTAAAGACAGCACTAAGATGCCTAGGGGCCTGCTTTCAAATGTGATACACCAGACCGATACGCCGTCTGGTTCATGAAATATGTGCTTCGAGCATCAGTTGCGCTAGGCATTCACTACTGTGTACAAGAAATATGCCAAATCGTAGACACGTCCAGCCCAAAGAGCCCCACGCTGGTGTAGGCATATGTGTTAGGTCTTTCTCGATCCTTGGAATACCCGATGAACGGGATAATGCCATGAAAAACTCCTGTCCTAAAGTCAAAGCCATGGCAGAGCTCATTTATGGTGACAGCGACCCGCTTCAACCCTTGTCACGATACTTAGGAAGTTCAGTTCAGTTACAGGTAGGTAAGCCCCAATCTATAATATTTGAGTATCCTAACTCAGTAATTACCACGGCCCGCATACTCCTTGTGCAAATCACCCAGGTCGCCCTCCACCTTCTTGCCACCGACAACAACCTCCTTGCAGTCCAGAAGGAAAAAGACTATGCGGCTTGGCAAGGTGCCATTTCCATGGATATTCTTCCACTTGTGGCGAGTGGCCCGCTGAACGGAAACATCGCCCGGGCGCAAGATGCGCTTCTCGCCAGAATCAAGAGAGAGCTCAAATAGGCCCTCGACTACAACGCCGTAATCTATAGTCATGGCCCGGTGCCAGGGGGACTCCACGTCCGGTCCGAAGTCAATCATGCGAAGTATTGACCCGCTTGGGTAGTGAAATGGGGGCTGACAAGGTAGTTTTTATTAGTTCATGGAAACAAAGGTGTTCTATCTCTCTATCTAGCTGATAGATAGACAACAGGACGTACCTCTTTTTCGTGGGCTAAGGTGATATCCTTGTTACCGTTGAGGTCAACAGGAGTTTCTTGCGTAGAATAGATGATGTTGGCTACCGCCCGGTTCTCGACCATGAAGCGGTAATGCTCGCCACTGTTGGACTCTAGGAATCGAGACTGGCCATCATCAGTATTTCCGGTGATGTGTCTAACGATCTGGCGCAGTCCTGGTGCTGGGAAACTCTGGACCTCATACTCAGGGTGAGGGGCTGGGGCTGATGCCATCTTGACTTAGACGAGTGAGCTGCTTGATGAGAGTCTTTGAAGGTTTCAGACAAAGTCACGCAGTGTGATGGGAATCTAGGACACGACTTGGAAAGATGATAGAGGAGACTAAGAATACGGTACGGTACGGCCCGACCGTTATTAGTACCTACTCTGCCGCGCAACTTTAGCTTGGTAATCCGTACTCGTACAGAGTGTTCGTGGCTTGCAGATAAGATCCTCGGCACAGATCTTGGCCGTTTCTCTTGCAGATCAGAAGGTGTGCGTCTATAATACAAAGGATTAGTACACTTTTCGGATCTGCAAGAGATCTCACCTGCATATATGGACCGTGCCACTAATGGCCCTTGAATTCTTACCGGCGTACTTCTGAAGTGCGGGGTTATCCAGTATATCTTGATGTAACATGCAGGTGTATACGTATAGCATAAGCCGCATGATGAGAACGTGCAGCAAAAACATGTACAGGCTTCTGACCACCTCCTTCTTTCAATCTCGCTTAGGTAACACTAGCAGCACATCATTGCATTGCTGACATGCATTGCTGACATGCACCACATCTATGCTTGCTGACACGCAAGTTACCTCAGGGCATCAACGTGTTTTGGTGTGCATATACGGCGCGGTTATCTGTTTCTTATCTCCACTTGCCCTACACTCCCAATCTGTTCATTGATGCATATCACATCACCGGCGGCTAGATTCGGCGCTATGGAAACCTAAGTCCGCGTACTGTATAACACACGGTTGATTGCATGCCTTGCGATTTTGCTCGATGCAACAGTAAGCGACATACTGCATGGCACTGCGTAGCAGGGATGATCTGTTGGGGCCAGTAATGTACTCACTCGAGCCTTGACAACTACCTCTGCAGAATTGACGAAGGATTCCGAGCTGGCCGGCATGAGTTGCTGGCAAACAGCTCCGAGATGACGCATAGGTGGTTACACTCTCGCAAGAACATGTGAATGTCCCATATCGGCCTCAGTAAAGGTACAATCCTGCAAGACTCGATGATCCCTCTGCGGCATCCCTGATTCTGGCGATTGCCAACGGCGCCGAAGGTGTTAAGATAAGTGACAATAGATCAGTCTTGCAGACTATGACACAGGGTTCTTTAGCCAGTGCCTATTTGGTCGAGTTCCTATTGTGTTCATATTAATGACGACACCCTGGGTGTGGAGTAAAGACAATTTATGTTGTTATACTTGCCGATTAACTATTTCGTGCTGCAAACAAATACAGCGTAAAGTACTTAGGTCCTTCATTCTTGCCCTCTGAAGCCAGATCGATCTTATCATCCCTATTGTGTTTCTGTGCCTGCCCAATATTTTATCATCCGTCCTGGCATATGCCACTCACTGTCTTGCTCTTTGCTTCTCTCGAATTCAACAACAATACTCAACTTAAAAATGACGACTTCCGGTCCACTGACGGAGTTCCCGGCCCCGGGCCTTCGAACTCCATTTCGTTACATCACTGGCCATAACGAAAAAGGCGATGTGGACTTCTTGCAGGTGAGAGCATTCTCAGATGGCCCCTTGGCTATCTATTTCCCGGTGTTATCATGTCGTGAAGCTCATCGTCGCTGATTCTTCCCTCTCTTCGAACCAGACGGACCACGGCGACCACCTGGCTGTTATGCTGGGCGGTGCTGCGGCCCAGAGCATCATGTATAGCGCTCCGAGCAACCCGATCCAACTGACCGACAACGCGGATCTTAAATTTGCAGCCAAAAATAGGGTATGTCTGAAGCAAATAATCTATCTATCCATACATCCCTACATGCATCCATCCATCCGTCACATACCATGGTGACTTTGGTTGCTCAGTCCAAAATGCTGGCCAACAACTGACAACTCGATAGCCGGCCGTCCACGTCCCCAAGGGAGTCTGCGTGCGGATGATTGACTTCGCGCCGGGCACCGAGTCGAACCTGCACCGCGCGCTGACTCTGGGTGTCGGGACGGTGTGCGAGGGCGAGATCGAGCTGACGCTGAGCGATGACCGGAGCCACAACCGGATCCTGCGCCCGGGAGACGTATGCATCAACCGGTGCGCGATGCACCGCTGGCGCAACACGTCTCCCGACAAGCCGGCGCGCATGCTCTTCGTCATGCTGGACGTGGAGCCCGTCATCGTCAACGACAAGGTCCTCGACTTCGACATGGGGTACCTGATGAAGGAGTATGCCAAGTATGACGAGGGCCCGGGCAAGGAGGCTTAGGAAAGGGTAGCCGGCCATGAGCAGAGACCGTCACCCTTTTTGTGGACCGGTGATTTCTTAAGAGAACTATGTTGTTCATAGATGTTAACTACAGCCTATGTCTCACTTTCCAAATTCTTACTTTGGGTGACTTTTGCTCAGACTCGGAAGTTCTAAGTGTTTTAAGTCTCTAAACCGTCGTCATCGTTGACAATGTTCACATAATGCTTGCAAATCATAATTTGCATCTAGATTAGCCTAACCACGGAGCTGTCAGCGGCCGTGAGTTATAATAAAGCGTATATTATGTGCAATTTACAGTCACCCACACCTGAGGCCTTTGATGGGTGGAAATACTGTACATCTCCATACTCTATCATGTCCATACTGACAGTCTTTGTCCATGCTCTATAATCTTTAAGCCGAGAGTCTTGAAACCTCCATCTCTCTCAAATCCGTCCTGATAACTTACATCTATATAACATTTAATTGTCCAACGCTAGTCTATTCATGTTGCTTGCACGAGGTACTCGAGACATATGTGCCACTGAAACTGCCCAGTCAGAGGCTGGGAGATGAGCTGTATTAGTGGCAGGGCGCTGGCTAGGTCAAAATGCAGCGCTACTTCGTCTGTGTTCCATAGATCTTGCGGCGCTGAAAGAATGATCAGCGATTGCAAAGTTATGCAGGAACATAAAGGTGACCGCTTACACTCAAAGATAGAGACATGATCAATGCAAGGGCTGAAGTAGAGACCATGACTATGAAGACGTTGCGGATTGATAATGTGACTTGCGCTATCACTTGAGCTTGAAGCTCTGGGCCAAGTGATTGGAATTGTGAGCTGTGGATCCCCGTGGTCAAATGTATAGCGTCCTGGGTTGAAATGCCGGGAATAATTTGCTTGATTCCTCTGGAGCCAATGTTCTGAAACAGAGTCCCTCCCAGGCTGAGGATTACGATCTGACCCATTGTTTGTCCTGTAAATATCGGTCAGCGGCCGTAACAGTCAATAATCCGTTATTACTAGATTGCTACACACCGAGAGCCATAAAGCTGATGGCATTGCTGAGTTCAGCGACTGGGACAAGAGCCTGAACGACGGAAAACCCTGCAGTGAAAAATGACCCACATCCGCCCCCGATAAGTACAGTGTATCCGTAGAGACGAGCTTCGGAGGTCGAAGGACTTAGAGTAGCTTTGAACCAGTTAGCAAGAAACTTGTATATGGGACGGGATAGGGGAACACCTAACACATAAGTGAAGAACCGATCAGAATCAAAGCGGTACCGAGAACATACCATGGCATGTAGTAGCCCAATCTGGGCATCAAAGCGCCATTCAGGACTGAGAAGGAAATCATGCCGCCCAGAAATGGTAAAAGTCGGACTCCGGCAATCAAAGGACCGTCGCCCCTGGTGAATTGGAAGATTAATGGGACGTAGTAAAGAGTCGTTACCATGGCCCCGGCGTTTACCAATATCGCAAATTGTAAGATGTCGAGCTCTGTGCGCTTCACCAAATGAATAGGATATAGCCTGTTCTGCGTTGCTACTAAAGGGTGGAAAATGGAGACGGATATGAAGGCGATGAGTAGGACCCCCGATAAGGTCCAGAGAGCAATCTCGGACCCGCTATTGAAGGGGTACACGATACCCCCAAAGGTAAGTGCCATGGAGAAACACGCGGAGCCGGCCAGAAATATGACGATGGCTACCCAATCCTGCGTGAGAAGTTTCTCCTTGTGACTTAACTTGGGGGCGGGGTCGATGTTGGGCAAAAAGAAAATCAAGCCCGGTGCAGTAAGAGCGCCAACACATAGGTTGATATAAAAGCCCCATCGCCATGTGGCATTACTCTGGGCAAATGCACCACCAATGACTGGCCCGACAACACTGCCAACGGACCATATAGCAACAATACCGGAGAGATAAAGGGGACGTTCATGTTGGGATGTGAGGGTAGAAATAAAAGTTATGGCACCCGAATAGCATCCGGCCGCACCGACGCCCTGCAGAACTCGCCCGATAATGAAGGCATCCATGTTGGGCGCTGCTCCACCGAGTGCGCTGCCGGCCTGGAAGAGGATACAGGCCGAAATAAACAGCCATTTCAGATTGAATACGGCGTATGCCCTCCCGCTGTTGGTCGATAGGAGTAAATTAGCGGCTGTGGGCGCTGGGTAAAAGGGGGAGAAAAGAAAGAAAAGGAAGAAGGAAGAAGAGAAAAGACATATAGAAGTATTTCGTACAGCTGCCGACTTACACTGGCAAGATCGCTAACGATCCGAGAAAAACACCTATTCCAATCCATGGCAGCTTCTCCTCCTCGCCAAATGTCTCAATGATAGACGGCTGAATATTGGCGACCTGAGGCTAGTGAGAAGGGAATCAAAATTTTATGAGTGTCCTGCTGGTACTTACGACGGTGGCCTCAAGGGCATAGAATAAAACGGTGGAAAGGAGCGAGGAGTATACGAGAAACCACTGTCTCAGTCAGCTTCGCATCATATTGCTACCGTCTCAAGACTTGACAAACCTTGAAGCCACGAATCGTCCTCACTGTGTCGTGGTCTTCGGACGGCTTCACGCTCGGGTTGGATGCATGTGCGGTGTCCGTTCCGGCATCGGGCAGAGTCTCGGTCGGCCCAGCATCGTCATTCCCAGTACTGTCAGCAGCCGATGATTGCTTTTCGCTCGACTCAACGTCGGAATTAGAGGGCGCGCTGATAGCGGGCATCTTGGGGTCTTGTGGGGAGATAGCGTTGAGAGTGAAAGATCAGATCAGACTGGAACAGGAGGCAGAAGATGCAAAGGTGGGCGTTGCGGAAGACATGCCAAACGGTATATTATGCTGGTGGCTGTTTGGTTGCCGGCTGACCACACTGCTTAGCCACCGACAGACTGCGACTCTGTATGCCACTTTTGGCAGCACCGCACTGACCTTTCCAAGTCTGAGTTTGGGTTAATCGACAGGATTATTAATTCCACTGTGCATTTGTAATGTACTGGTGTTTTATTCATTGGTAATCGCGTCGATGTTTATTTTAACCTCGACCCCGGACTGAAAAGAACCTTCCTTTAGGACTAGAAGTGACGAAGCAGGCATATGTCACAGGTGAGACAGTGGCTGGGAATGAATAAAAAATGTCAATAACAAAAGATGTCGTCAGCTACATGTACAGCTACAGTGAAGGGACACGGAATGACGGATGGTGCAGTACAACCTGAGAACCCCTACCGGGAAATGGCAGGTGGACCAATCAAACTAGCATCCCTTACTAGTATCCCTCGCTAGCATTCCCGGGCCGTATGCAAGTGCAGGGGAGAGCAAGAATTTTGGCAGGTGGGGCAGAAGACTAAGGCACTGATCTACGACAATGACGGGGTAGAACCTTGGGGGTCGCAGGGGCATGAATTATCATCATGTGAGGGGATCAGGCCAACATTCGTAACTAGAGGTATCGGACATTTCACTACATGGCAATCTACAATGTCGGGTAACACATATATGCAGGTGTAACTTCCAGTGATGTTTGCGGCAACTATTCCGTAATCATCTGCTGACAAACCTCAATTTCCCCAGCAACCATACAAGGCAAGCCAGTACAGGTTGGGAAAAACCACAAAGTCCCCACGTCGAGCCCCAACGTATAGGGTAGACATTCTTTCTATCTGCTACGCTGGCAAGTTACAACTCTTTTCCAATCCGAACCATCGCATACTCAAGTCCTACACAGTCAATCCTCGGTTCGAGATCCATTCGTTCCATCAGAATGGCCACCTACGTCGTCACCGGAGTTTCCAGAGGCATTGGTGTAAGTTCCCTATTGCATTCTTCCAACGTCTGATGAGTTATATCCCATGAGCCCTCTCCGATGCTAATTGTTCGTCTTAAACAGTACGGCTTCCTTACCTTCCTGACCAAAGATCCGAACAACACCGTCATTGGAATCGTCCGAGACAAGGCTGGTACCCTCAAGAAGATATCCGAAGACCCGGAGTTGAAGGGACGGTCTAACTTCCACATTGTGGAGGGCGACCTAGCCAGCTATGACTCTTTGAAGGTAGGACGACAGCACCATGGGCTGGTGGACCCGCTGTCAGCCAAAACAAAGCCGACTAACGGATCTTTATAGAAAGCTGCCGCTGAAACCGCCAGCATCACCGGCGGAAGCATCGACTACCTTATTTCCAACGCAGGTTACATCCCGCTTTTCGATGCGTTTGACCCTATCGACTATCTGTAAGTGTGCTCCTTCGCGTCAGACACGGCCTGAAACTGACCTGGCAATACCATAAGGGTTTCCAATAAGCCCAAGGAGACGGAGGAGGAGCTGAAGAAGGTGTTGAACACCAACGTCATCGGACAAATCCAGCTCTTCAGCCTGTTCATTCCCCAGATTCTCAAGGGCAAGGCCAAGAAGGTCGTCACCCTGACGTCTGGTCTAGCGGATCTGGACTTCACCAACCAATTCGACGTCTTTACCGGCTCCCTATACTCCATCAGCAAGGCCGCCATGAACATGGCCGTCGCCAAGTTCAGTGCTCAGTACAAAGAGGACGGCATCCATTTCATAAGCATCTGTCCGGGACTTGTCGATACCGGCCTCTACAAGGACTGTGAGTGATATACTGACCACTCCCATGTTTAGTCCAAATATCTGACAATTTTTCTTCCACATAGCATCCGAAGAGGATCTTGCGAAGCTAGGCGTGTTGATGGGCAAGTTTGCGAAGTACAAGCCTGACTTCTCCGGCCCAGTCACCACGGAAACCTCGGTTCAAGATGTGAAGAGGGTCTGGGAGACGACCAGCATCGAAAATGGAGACGGCGGCGCCTTCCTGTCGCAGTACGGCAACAAGACATGGCTCTAACGAGTTGACGAACTTGACATGGTTTAACATCCATATATTCTGACGTCTGCATGTTTTGAGGTCTAAGGACTATTCAGATAGCTCAATTCCATACTTCGTTGCTCTTCTAGACTTGGAGATATTGGTGTCCTTCGTATGTGACGTCTGCCTAACTATATTCTCTCTCCGAAATGTCAAATAAAGTACTGATGATCATGCGTACTTATCATTTGATGATGCTTACAGTATGATAGTAGCAAAATCATCAATCGTCGTCGCACTAATAGACGAGTGGGCACATGTCTCGTGAAAAACTATGGCGCATGCCGAACTCGACGCGCATCCCCTCCGTTGCACCATATCATGCAGGACCAAGAATGATATCTCGTTAGGCTAATAGCATCAAAAGCGTACCGGTCGGAGAAAGACTATGTAGCATGAATAGACGGCGGAGATTCTCCGAGTTACCGCCGGGACAAACAATTGTTCGGCTCCGCTGCCCGCCCCGCTCCTCCTCTATGTTTATTATTAGAGCTACAGTTCGGGCTACACTACATAACAGCTGCCAACCACCCCGCTAGTATTTTAACGCCGCCTTTGAAAATGGAGTGATCACAGTTTTAGGTTCAGTTTAATCGCTGACCAGTCCTGAGCGCCAGGCCTGATTGCATTACACGTCTGTTGAGTTGGAATTGGTAATAGCAGACAGACAAGAGCTCGGCGGGCCGGCTGCCAGCTAGTGTAGCGCGACTTAGTGATTGAATAAACAAAGCAAGCACTGAGAATAATTCTCACCTTAATTCATTATATGACGTGATATTTTGACACGAGTGCTTATTATAAGTGAAAAATGTATTTATTTTACTTGAGTAGTTTATCTCATAAAGTTATATCAAGTAAATGTGTCTCTAGCTAGTAACTTACCCTAGAATCCAACCGAGGGGTCAGCTCGACGGGGGCAACTTCTTTTCCCCCGCATAACTACCACAAAACGGTATCCGACGCTCACTCGGTGATGATTGGGTTGTAAAACCGGAAGCTGTTGTTCGGGTCATACTTGGCCTTCAGCGCGCGCAGCCTCTCCAAGCGCCAGGGCTCGTACCCGTAGATGGACTCGAGCGTCTGGTACTCGACCCCGACGGCGTAGTTGAGGTACGTCGCGGGCTTGCGCGTGGGCTGTCCCTCGACCCACAGGTCCCAGACGTCCTTGGCCCATTTTGCGGCCGGTTCCACCAGGTTGTCCGCCCCCTCGGGGATCGCGCTCAGCATGAAGCTATTACGGCATGCGTTAGTATATTGAAGGATCTCCTCATCTAGGAGAACGTGTGGACCCCGAAGATGTCGACTATTAAACGGGGAGGACTTACGATAGATGATACTCATCCCGGTGGGGGTACGCGCTGACGGCAGAATCAATGGCCTGTACCCCCGCAGTGGCATAACCCTCGTAGTAGAGACGGGCCGCCGGTGAGAGCTCGGGGTACTCGGCAATTCTTTCGTTGAAGAGGTTGTAGATCTTGCGTTCCGTCGTTATGTTCCAGGTCTGGGTCATCATGGTGGAGATGACGTATGATCCAGAGCCACAGGACGAGGCTGCGGTGTCTTGCGGATAAATGATGTCGGGGTAGGGGACGTCGCCCTGCGTCTCTGAGAGAGCGCCGATCTCGTTGAACGGTTGCAGAATCGCCTCGGCTTCGTCCGAAGGACCCGCGTAGGCGAATGTCCACCAGAGGATGGCCTGTCTCCATATTAGATTCCATACCTTGGTGGGCTCTTGGACTATAATGGTGGACGGGAGAAGTAACACACCTGGTCTGCGTCGAGGGTTCGGTTAATATAGATCTGCCCAAAGCTTACCCCAAGTTTGGGGGGCGCGTTGCCAAAGTCTGAGATCTTGTTCAACTCCTCAAATACCGTCTCGAGCTTATCTTGGCTCCAGAAGTAGTTGTGGTAGTGCCAAGTGGATATCTGCTTTGGGTAAATCTTGAGCTTAAGGCTGGTCACAACACCGAAATTGTGGCCGGCACCTCTCATGGCCCAGTATAGATCCGCATGGCTCTTATTATTCACAGCGATTTCGGAGCCATCAGCCAAGACGACATTGAGGTGGATTATGTTGTCGCTGACCATGCCGTATTGGCCCTCGTAACGTCCATGGCCACCACCCAGACCGGCTCCTGCAACGCCGACACACTCACTGGATCCGGTAGCTACCATTCCGTTAGTTGCCTGTATAAAATCAAGGGTTTTCTCTCATGTCGCAACACATAGAGGTACTCACTCGCCACATAGCCTGCGTCCCAAAGTCCCCCCATGATGTCATGGTTATACGCTCCGCCCTGGAGTGTAGCAGACTTCCCATCCGGATTAATGGTGAACGCTCTGAGTTGTTTCATGTCGATCTGTACACCCTTAAACTTTCCTAGAGTGGTAGTGAAGCCATGGCCAGTGTTAACTACTAGAAAGTCGAGGCCATTGTGATTGGCGTATCTGACCTGTTGATTTGCTTGTTAGCAGAGAGTGGCTCGGTCCGCTGGAAGGCGAATATGTCACCACCTACAATCTTCGCAATGTCTGACTCCCTTGCCGGCTGCACCACTACCTCAATTTCAGGGGGAGCCAAGGTGTTCCATCTATGAGTCACATTGGGGAACGAGGCGTCTGAGGGGGAGAGAATGATCGAGTTTTTAGACAGAGATGCACCTAGCTCACGTTGAATGGTGTAAGTTGACACCTCACGACGCGTGACGGGATGGTTCTGGAAATAGCTGGGCACATGATCAAAGAGGAGGGGAGAACCAGCCACGAGGGCCTCGAGCAGCGCGAGGCCGCACAGCACACGGTGAGAGAGCACGCGCATCTTTGTTGCAGTAAAACGTGATTTGCAGGAAGCGTCCTCAACGGTGACTGTCTATCCAATGCTTCTTGCAAACTAGACTCATCTCCAGTATTTATAACCCGGTTCTTCTGCCTACGCCGCGTGGTTTTGGTCATATCTCCGCCCACCGGAAGGCACTTGTAGGATCAACCGCTTGCTCATCTGTTAAACTCCCTATGAGGTAAGCAACCATAGGTCGGGAAACATGGTAAGGTATGATCCGAGCTAAATTACGAAATGATCCTGGGCGACGCCACGTTCAACTAGATCACGGTGTGGGGGGTTTGGAGGGAGGGGTGTAGAGTGAGCTAGCTCAGCTTATGCTCATGGTCAGCACGGAGGGATCGATATCCCTGTAGGTGTAGAATCAGACCGGAGCTAGTGGGAGTCCAGATCTCAAGTGGTACCATCTTGCAGGAGCATCAGCTGACTAGACTTTAACGCGGTCCTCTCTTTCGGCTGACTCATAATTGATTTTTCGGCATTTGTGCTATCTAGTAAACAGTGCTAATCCAGTACCAATAAACGAGCTTTGAAGCTTGTCCGATCACTCCGAAAGCTGCTCGTCCTTCCAAATCAAACCTTCTGGAACTGTCTTCCACTGACCCTGTTCATCAAGCAATCTCGACGCTTCTCTCCATTCTTCCTGGACGGCCTGGGCTTTGTAGGCACTCCTGGGAGCTATATTCGCCGGAAATGGCTTGGGAAGCATCATTATGCCTTCTGCCAAGTCGTTCATATCCGGAATGATTTCTTGGGGGGATGGAGTATCAGTGTTCATGGCCCTTTGGAAGTCAAATGCCCAGAGCAGGCGAGAGATCGCCAAGAACAGTGAACGATCCGCAATATGCATGCCTTGACATCTGCGTCTGCCTGCCCCGAACACGAAGTGGTCTCGCTGGGTGGGATCCGGGTTATTTGCTGCATCGATAGATGTCTGGTGGTCGTCTATATAACGCATGGGATCAAATTGTCGGGCAGAACCATGCCTGGTGGGGTCATTGTGTACAGCCCTATTCATGCGATAGAGAGAACCCCACAAGATTAGCTTGATATTCATGAAAGAATAGTCACTGTGTTACACAGACTGCCGAACGAACAAAGCTTACCAGACATTAAGTATAACTGTTGCGCCTTTAGGGATGTGATAGCCCAGATATGTATCATCTTGAGTAACGGCGTGTGGTACACCCATCATAAACCCGGGCATCCAACGCAACGCTTCTTTGGCGCAAGCCCGGATGTATGGTAAGTCGGGTACGTCGTTCAGATCGGGCAACCGGTTTCCACAAACGCGATCGAGCTCGATTTGGGCCGTCTTCGCAACCTCGGGAAATATAACCATTGCCTGGACGAATCCTACCAAAATAGCAGCTGTTGTTTCGGATCCAGCTTGTAATACCGAACCGCTGATATATGCGGCGAGGTCATCGGAAAATCCTTCGTTCTTCTGCATCTTGACGAGGTCTACACACACGCAGGGCTATAGACATTCCATTTTTAGCTTCGAAACTCGGCTGAATCGACGACTGGGTAATCGTTTCGTACCTTGGCCGTGCCATCATGTAGCCCTTGTCTAGTACTTAGGTAGTGCCGTCGAAATAGTGCCAGCTCCTTTTCATGTATTTTTCTACCCTCACTTTTGATGGGAAGGACCTGGTCTGGCAGCCGTCTCAAAATGGGGATCAGGTCCAAAAGCGCAGCAGTCTATGTGATAACTATCGTTAGCGCCCCGATCCGAACAAGCAAAGAACAACATTTCTACCCACCCGTGACCCAATCAACTCGGAGCTCCGGTCGAATATCTGTGAACAACGTTAACTGCAATCGTCATATAAGGGTTTTTTGATAGGTTCAAGTACACTGAAGGCCTCCTGAAACCGTTCGTCCTGTATGCTCGTGACACGAAAGCCGAACGTCATCTGAGTAGTCAACGAAGCCGTATAGCGACGCAAATGGTCGATGAAATCACCGGGGTTCTCCAAAAAGCCAAGTAGCATGGCCTTATTTTCGAGGTCTTGATATGGAACGTATGTTCGTGCTGCCGTCACACCAAGAATTCGGTGGACAAACTTCCGGGCCATTTTCCAAACTCCATTATTCGGCTGCGGCATGGTGGTTAATCCCGCTGTTTACGTACGCGCTTGTGCATACATACCATGAACAAGACTCGCAGGCCGCCGCTGAGAATATCTTGCCCGATATAGGACTCGGGTCTCGATGAATAGATGGCGCCGCGCTTATCTACTAGATCCTTGATCGCCTGGTCCGAGTTGAGGACAATCATGACTTTGGTCCCCAGCATGAGTGAGTAAATCGGCCCATACTCTCGAGCCCATTTTTCAAATTGTAGGTGGCGCTTCTCTCTCGGTATTTGGTGCAGATTGCCGATAAGAGGGAGGGTCGGGGGACCCGGTGGGTAGTTTTTCGGTCGACGACCAATTTTATTGAGGCTCCAGAGTACAACCAGCAAGACCAATAGACATGCACTCATAAAGGAAAGCATGTCGACGATTTGGGATGAGTTGAGCTGTCGCAAGGCTGAAGTATCGGGTTGGAGGACATAGACTCTCGTAACAAGGGAACTGTAACACTATAGAGGGGAAATTTTGTCTTGGTTGTTCTTGGTTTATAACCTTTACTATACGTTAAATTCCGCGAACAGAAACTTCTATACTATACTACCCATTCTGCAAGACTGTACTCATGAAACCTGCTCGCATGCGTCCAGTCAAAGCCCACGGAACGTATCTGATAGCCAGCCAGTAGCAGAAGGTCACGACTCACAGCGCGAGTACGGATCTGCGCCGAGAAAAGGTCGCCTGCTATTGCTCTCTACACCAGTCCCGGTTTGCAGCAGTCAGAGTCAGCACCAGCTACAGGCTTGCAGCTTGTTAACACCTAGCACGGAAAAGTTCACGATTAACTCGGGGTGCATTGCATGCTTTTCTGAAGTAACACAGTGTCGATACTGGGTCAATATCGGGTCAATTGAGCAGTTGAACCTTTACGAATTCGCTCGCAGCTTGGTGGAGATAGACTATCGAGTCCGGGAACTAATCGATTTTGCCCCAGATGGCGTGCTGCGGGTCGCTGCCAAAGTAGATTTCACCTGCATTGATAATGCCGAACTACTCCGTACCTAGCCAGCCGACAAAAGGAATGCACGCCACTATTTCCTTACCCGCCTGCGAGTCGCCAGGCCCAGATCTAACGTAAGCTGGGGCTTACTTTCTTCTGGTCCACTTGCCGAATTCCTTCTCCACCCATGAACGTGCAGACGGCCGGGGCCGCTAGTAGTCCCAGACCAGTTTAACAGGCGACTCTAAATTCCTGGGTCACGCTAATGCAGTGTAACCCCAGCCCAGGCAAATAGGCAACTTTCAATTCTTGGGGGTGACATGTATGCGGTGTACCCAGAATCCAGTTAAATAAGCAACTTTTTATCCATTGCTCTGCGGAATTCAAAGCTTGCTTACCCCCCCACCGTTTTCGACCCCTTTCCCGGCCTCCACCTTCAAGCCAAGGAAGGCAACTTGAATAAATTCCAAAAATACATACGTCCATACCAGATATCTATGCAAGGATTGGGTTGGAGATGGCGTTGGTAATGGCAATTTCTGATTGTGTTAAACCTGCCGCGGTGAAACAAGACCTTGAAATTAACCTCACAAAGGTACATCTAGATTCCCGCCGAAAGTCCAACAGTCGCAAATTTCGACTGTCCTGGCCAGACGCCAACGATGCCAGACGCGCTGTGGTCGCTAAGTTGCTCTTCACTTCGTACAGTGAGCCTGTCGGGTATATTGCCGATCCGCACTTCGTCCACGTGTCGTCTGGGGACCTCGAGAGGCATTACCACTTACCAGGTGCGCCCCCTTGCTTGCTTGCGTCTTGATTGGTGCATTCTAATCACCGTATAGCCTCTGTCCGACCAATTCTACAGATTCCCCTGGAATGGAATCCGCTGCACCTGAAGGTCGGAGATGCAGAATTATTTCAGTATTGTAGGTACATGAGAGTGCCATTTGTTCAAAAGCCACCTGGCTGAAAAGTCTAGTCCAATGTACCGCTTCGCAGTCTCTTGCCATTTTCCCGCACGACTCTAGGGATCTAGGTAATGTCCTTGTTCGAATTGCACTGACTAGCAACACCAAATCGGGCAGAGCGGTGCTCCAGTCGCTGCTCGCATTTGCTTCGATACATCGTCATAATGTACACTCACAGGCGGTCGAGCTGAAGCTCTCTGCTCTCAAGGCCTTGGCGTGTATAACAGGGTCACATGTCGGTACGGAAGAGGCAATCCAGCATGTTGCTGCAGGGATGCTGCTGTGTTCTTTCGAGGTTAAGAGGCCCCCTGGTCAAGGCGCCGTGCAGTCATTACATAGCGGGCTAACTTGGTGCATTAGACTCATCAGACATCTTGCACCTCGGGGCAGTGGACGTGCTATGTTGATGGTGTTAAGGACGTTATTAGGGCGTCTTGCCTCGAGGCGAAAGCTTCCCAGGATGGTGATTTGACCATCTTACTAGCCTGGGTGAATTATCATGACGTGTTAAAACGTTTCGTTCGAGCGCACTGGCCTAGACAGACGCCGCCAGATTCTCCGTCGGCCTGTGCAGAGGTCAGTTTACATGGTAGGTACCGTGAAAGCTCCCTAACCGATTCTTACGCCTCTCCCACACCGTCACCCGGTCTGGGAACTATAGAGCTGCTGTCGGAAGTCTGCGATGCACTAGCAGCAAGACCGTCCACTATGGCTCCTACGGAAAGTTTGGATGAGTATAGAAGCTTCTTAAAAATCCTCGATTGGAAGATCAGAAATATTGAAGTAACAGCGACGGCGGACGATGGTGTGAATTCGCTATTGATGATGGAGGTGTATAAGTTAGCAGTAGCGGTATATCTGAGTCGGGCATCTAACAATATGCTCAACCAGGCTGCTAGGACGCAGGTGCAGGTTGAGAGGGGGTTCAGCATCTTGGGCCAGATGAGCTTCTGTGCCAGGCAGTTTCCGGTCTTCATACTGGGGTGTGAGGCTCGAAGGGACGATCAAAGGGTGACAGTTCTCGATCTCATGTCCAGAACAGAAGAACACGTGTCTTCACGGTCATTCAACTATGTTAAGGCTGTCCTGCAAGCCATTTGGGCGCAAGAGGACCTTGCGAATGGGGAAATCAAGTTTGGGGACAAGATACGCCATGTGTTCGGCTGCTGCTCTGATTTGCCTGCGTTTGTCTAGTTACTCAGTATCCATGAGTGGGTGGGAGTACGCATAATATTCGATCAACGTCGCTTGAATCGTGTGACCTAGTTGATATAGGTGCCGAGTCAGTTTGTGTGGTTATGATGTTCTGGGCTGTTTGGTGGTTTTTGGTAGAATCCAAGCTAGACATTAAGTAACACCGTGCGGGAAACGGGCGTGAGTGCCAAGGAAGGCGGGGCTTCTTCCCGTGCTATGGTACCCACGATAATCCTAGTGGCTATCCGCCGAAGTACTCAGGTGTACATCGTCAGGTTACATCATTAGGGAAGGTACGTACCTAAGGTGTAGAGCCATGGTTAGTTGGATTGGTAATACACACGAGGTGCTGTCGGGTCTTTATTGCTGTCTCATCCGCCATTTCATCACAAAACGTTTTGGTTATTTGCTTGCACGGGCGGCAAATGAACTAGGGCTGTCAGGTACTCTACTACAACTACCACCAAACAACTTTCGCTTCTTTTTAAGACTTGGGTTCATATTTGATTGTTCGTCGCCTCTTTCCTTCCTCCGACGCAACATTCAGGATTCAGGGCAGAAGAACCGCTGCACTCAGCATGACCTCGACCTTTGATATCTCGCCTGAGAAAAGGGCAGGCCAACTTGCATTTTTCTACCGCCAGCTTTTCGTCACCCCGCCGCCCGTGTCACCCCGCGAGGTGCAACTAGATGGAAAGACAGCAGTAGTCACAGGATCCAACGGCGGCATAGGGCTAGAAACTGCACGACAACTTCTAGACTTAGGATCCAAGGTTATTCTGGCTGTGCGCGATGAAAGCAAAGGCGAGAATGCCCGCAAGATACTCGCCAAGGGTCGGAATCTTCCATTTGGATCCATTCAGGTTTGGAAGTTGGACCTCTCAGACTATGACTCCATAATCTCCTTCGCAGAGCGGTGTAAAACCCTAGAGCACCTCGATATAGCCATTCTCAACGCCGGAATATACAAAGTCGCCGAGTCATTCGACGCGACCGGTTATGAGGAGGGCATACACATCAATTACCTGTCCAACGTACTGCTCACGCTCCTCCTGCTGCCCGTTATCAAAGAGAAGAAAAGCGCAGCAGGCAGTCCTGGTCACATCTCTGTGGTGACATCCGACACGGGCGCATGGTCTCGGTTCGACGAAAGGACCTCAGACCCTCTGCTAGCCGCCTTCAAGCAGAAGATGCCGACCTGGGACAGTGGAGACCGCTACGGGACGGCAAAGCTTCTTCAGCAGCTATTCATTGCCGAACTGTCAAAGCATATCTCCCCGTCAGTCGTCACTCTGTCCTGTGCCAACCCTGGATTCTGCCACGGATCAGACCTCGCGCGCGAAACCACTGGTATCTTCCGATTCCTATACAAGGTCCAAGCCTTCATTCTTAGTCGGCCTCCATCGGTTGGCGCACGCACTCTGGTACACGCCGTCACCACCCTCGGCAACCAGGCCCATGGGCAGTACGTCGAAGACGCCAAGATCCAACCGTGAGCACCACCCAGCACACTTCGCGTCGTTTCTGATATCTGCTGACCATGAACATTACAGCATGCCGCCGATTGCATACCAGCCCGAAGGCATCCGGCTTGCGAAGAAGCTTTACGAGGAAACACTAGATGAATTTTCGTTTGCTGGCGTAAGAGGTCTTGTTAATGAGATATCAAAGTCAAGGTAGCATGGGTTGGTTATTCTCAAGTCTCGCAGGGTCCCTGTTACCAGTTAGGAGTTGTGATTTCTGTACATCCCGCGAACGGCGCATCACTGCGTCCTAGAAACACGTGCATCTAGCTCACCCTCACAGGTGAATAGCATGATACGCTGCTAGAGCTTTTCTCGCTAGAGCCCAAAGTGGCAGGCATGTTGACCTTAGTCTAGGTTACGATAGTGCATTGGTGCCGGTCACCTATTTCGCACTTTACGTGGAAGAAGTAGACAACAATCAAGTTCTTACCGAGGTCTCGAGGTCCTTCCTTATTTAAGAACTGTCATCCATCGTGCATATGACCTGGATATGGGTATCGTACCGAAACACGGACTCCCCAGGATGTCCGTGGGGGGTAGTTCAGCTTAGAAATCTAGCGAAAATTCGTCAGCAATCAAGGCCTCTGGCTGTCTCATGATTTTCAGGGCGGGGCGACCGGCGTGCTAGTCTATATGCAGTTCACCTCGAATTATCGATTTCGGTTCCAGATCATAAGCTGATGCAGCGTGAGAACTCAGCCGCGGGCCTTTTGTGCTGCCCTCGCGTGAGCTACCCCACTGAGTCATCCTGCAGGATCCATACTAAAATGCATACTGCATATGGCGTAATGGTGGCCTTGTATGTACTGTCAACAATACCTACTTGAATACTGATAACACTTTCTAAATCAGTTCTCATATGCTGTATTGTTGTCTAAAAGTTATATTCCTGGATCTTTCAAATGGAAAACTACCCAAGGCTGTCGTGTACCAAGTTGAGCTATAATAGAGATATATGGCTTGGCACATCTTAGTACGGATTCTGCGGAGAGGACATATAGGCATCCCGGATAACTCGTATCTCGATTGCATAATCGGAAGGATTTGCGACTCTTACTCATATCTCACGTTCATAGAGTGAGTAGCCACCCTCGTCGACAAGGAATGTTTCCCGACTGGTAACGATGGCGCGCGCTCTTCCCACCATGTTTGGTTATGGGTAAGCCATAGTCTGCTTCATACTTGTTTACAAGGGGCCCCTAGACTAACGCCATCGCCGCCACGGTGGATGACAAGGCACCTAGTGACCGACCTAGTACAGCTGGGGCTTAGGCCTCGCTGTTTAAGATACCAACAAAATGAATAGTAGGAATCATCTACGCAGGATTAGAGGCACAGGCTGCGTATATATAATAGCTAGCCATTGCTGATTTGAGCTGTCTATCATTCCTCATCCAGATCGAAGCCAACGAAAGACCTGGGCGTTCATCATATAGAGCAGATTAGGTCGCATTTCCTCACTCGTTTTAAGATGATTTCCGTCCTGCATAAGGGCCACGTGGCGACCCTGGCTCCCGGGTGGATATCACTCCTCTTCACGCTGTGCAACTGGTCCTCTGCTGCATGTGCTGCTGCTGCTGCTGCCACTGGGACTCGGCGTGCAGCTTACGATAATGTGTCAAGCATTCTGACTACCCAACAATGGTCGACTGGCACAAACTTCTCATTCCCAGGCTCTCCGGAGTTTTTCCCCGTAACGGAGCGATGGACAACCATTCATGCCCCGTCATATAGTGGTGTCATTAGCCCGGACAACGAGGATGACCTTGTCAAGATCGTACGTAGACATGAGTTTGAGTCCAACTCAACCCAAAGCACGAGCTGATGGCTGACTCACCATGTAACAGTTGAAGCTTGCATCATCAAACAATGTCCCATTTCTGGCCACTGGAGGGCGTCACGGATACACCACTACCTACGGCCGCCTCCAAAACGGTCTGGCTATCGACCTGAGCCATTTCAACTCCTGGGAGTTGAACGAAACTGCTAGAACTGTCACGGTGGGACCTGGCGTCACTGTTGGCGAAGTCCTTGACCCATTATACGACGCCGGCCTTGCGATTCGTAAGTCTTGAATAATGTGACACTATTACCTGTATTCCGTTGCAGATTTTGACCAGAGACATAGAAACCGGCAGTTCACCTTGCCCCAGCCTGATTGGAGTCTCGCTCGGCGGTGGCATTGGACGATATCAGGGTGTCTACGGCTTGATTGCAGATGCACTGGTTTCAGCGCGCTTGATCACAGCTAGCGGTGATATTCTCAACGTGTCAAAGGATTCCCACCCGGATTTGTTCTGGGCCATCCGCGGAGCAGGCTCGAATTTCGGCATCATTACGTCGGCTACCTACGAAGTCCACCCGCTGATCGACGATGGAGATGTTTTCGTCGGTGAGTTCCTCGTCACAGCGGAACAGAGCTCCGAGTTCTTCAGTGTGTTGGAGTCCATGAGTCCTCTGCCGGCTGAGCTGTCCTCAATCGTGATCATTGGGTTTGATACCACCACGAACAAGGTATGGTGTAGCCACCACCAACAATCAAAAGCAGATGTAAGACTAATGCCGAGTGTCAGACTCATCTACAGGTACAATTCGCTTATATAGGACACGAAGAGGCAGGGCGTAAGGCTATGGCACCAATCCTCAACTTGAACCTCACAGTGACCAGATTGACCGTCGACCCATGGAACAAGCTTCTAGACAACACATTCGGTGGCATCATTGAGGCCATCTGCCAGCCCAACTTAGCCCGCGACCTGTACAGTTTGAACATCAAGAACTACTCGGCATCCACGTACGATGCGACATTTGCTAAGATGGATAGATTCTACGCCAGGCACCCCGACGCGCGGGATGCCGTCGTTCAAATTGAGTTTTTCCCCAACCAAGCCATGGCGGCTGTGCCCTTGGATTCAACGGCGTTTTCTTGGAGAGATTCAACAGGATACGTGTTAGTACACCCTTCTATTATTCATCCCCAGCAAACTTTGAACACAAGATGCACCACCGCCACCGTCCTTCGACTTATCAATCAGATGGAGTAAGACTGACATGACCGTCTAATTAGGAACTTCATCCGGTATGGCCACGGTGCTAATGCCACAGCCAGGGATGATGCCATAGCCAAGGCCGAGATCGCTCTCGGGTTGGAGATCCGCGATGACCTCGCGGCCACTTCTGGGTATCCGGAGCTCACTGTATTCGTCAACTACGCGCATGGCGACGAGAGGCAGGAGCGCATCTACGGCAAAGAAAAATTGCCCCGTCTAGCAGCTTTGAAGAAGAAGTGGGATCCACATCAGATTTTCTCTTTCAACAACGGATTGCCCACCCACTATCCGTGAATGTGAATGGGAATGGGGGAAAGAGCGGTGGATCTAGACTAGCTAGGCTGAAGGGGCTCACGCGAGCGGTTGTTTCTGGACATATTGGAGTATTAGGGTCTCTTTTTTCTTACTTTAAACTGTACAACTATGAAGACTTCTTTTCTTTTAGGAAACTCTGTGTTAAGGGTTGCTATTATATACATCATTTTTCTATTTACAGAAGTGTTCAGACCTATGTCCAAAAGATTCTGAATTTATGTAGCATCACTTCATTTCAGATCTTATCCGTAGCGTAACCTCCGATGCTTGCGACACTGCGCTGCAACGCTTGCTTACATACATACTGCGTAGTGTGGTACGGAAATGTGGGGTATGTACATTGATATGAATATCGGCAAGCCAAGCAATTATGTGAGAGTACCGAGGGGAAAGAAAGTAGTACATACCCACTCAGAGAGTCACCCTGGTATTTAATACCGAATGCATGTCCACCCGCCCCAACTGCGGACTTGTTCTTTGGCAAATATCCTAAGGAGCTCTTGGTCAGCTGATCCATCCATTCTGCGCTCTGTGGAAGACTTGTGTCACCATCATAACCGACCTTGAACAATCTTTAACCGTCGCTTGACCTGATCTGATAGTGCAACTGCTACACCCTTCTGGAGACGTAATCATGTCGTCTGCACTGGAAAGTCAGGCTGGATTTGAGGCCACATTTTTGGGCTTTCTCTACCGCCAGACCACAAAACCAAAGCGCCTGCCCGCAGACACTGATCTTACAGGCCAAGTAGCCATCGTTACTGGAAGCAACACTGGTCTGGGCTTCGAGGCATGTCGGCAGCTCCTAGGGTTTCGGCTGTCTCACCTGATTATGGGTGTGCGCTCACAAGCGAATGGCGACGAGGCGGCCGGGCGACTCAGCAAAGAGTTCCCAGGCACCAAGATAAGCGTATGGATCGTCGACATGCAGTCATACGATTCTGTTCGCGCCTTTGCCGACCGGTGCGCTGCCCTGCCGCGCATCGACTTGGCCATCCTGAATGCCGCCCTAATCAAGATGTCGTATACTCCGGTTCCATCGACGGGTCATGAGCTATCGATGCAAGTAAATTATCTCTCTACGGCCCTCCTCGCCATCCTGCTCCTTCCCATCCTTAGGTCCAAGAAGGTCGCCACCTCAAAACCGCCGGTGCTCAGTATCGTCGGGTCTGATATGGCATATCTGGCAATAATGAGGACCAAGGGCCCGATACTGGAGCAGCTCGATACGCCCGATGGTTATGCTCAGTTAGATTGGTACGGAAGGGCGAAGATGTTGCTCGTCTTCTTTGTTGCCAAGCTGGCCGACACCGTCGACTCCGACGTGATCATCAACATGCCGAATCCTGGCACGTGCGGGGGAACGTCCTTTTTCCGAGAATGGTCCACGCTCTCCGGGGTGATGGTGGCCGTCCTCCAATTTGTCTTTGCGAGATCTGCCGAGGTCGGTGCCTCCACCTACCTTGATGCGACTATTGCCAGGGGTCCGGAGAGTCACGGATGCTTTCTGAGCGACTGGGCCATCAAACCGTACGTTGTGCTATTTTTTTTACACTCTGTAGCGTCACAGTATATGCGGAAGATTTATTGACTCGCATATGCTAGATATCCGTCGCTTTGGTATACGGTGGAGGGCGCTGAGTTCAGTGAAAGGCTATGGGAGGAGACATTAGAAGAGCTTAACTTCGCCGGCGCTTCTAAAATCATAGACGACGTAAAGAGAGGTCTATGATAAGCGTTGAATGTAGTGCCCACCATGAGCTAGCCTCGTGCTTTGCCACTAGGTCTACGTTTTCTACTCCCTCAGAACCACTGCTGTATTCAGAGTGTCTCGGTGACGAATAGAACCAATTCTGTGTTTATATTTGATCTTCGGCATTGATCACGGGACACTGCAATGGATAGATCATCATGTGAGCCGGGACCCGGGCACTAGGATCTTTCTAATGGCTAATAGTTATTCACTTCATCCCTATTATCAACCATAGTGTCCAGAAGAATCACCTTGTCTGTGTTCTTCAGCCACCCATTCGTATATGACAGTTCCTAACCTGAGTTGTATCATGTGGTAGATACTTACATGTCTTGAGCTCAGCTCTCAGAGGAAGTGAAATGCGAGTTCTTGAGGTATAACCCACCTTTGGCTGAATCTTTCTCGCTTGTAGATACCGACCTTAGTTTTCTCTCCTATGATTAGTTCCAGGGCCTGGTAGCAGTGATCAACGTCTGCGAATTCAAATATGTCGTCAGTCGAGTTCTCATCGGCGTTGATGTCCAATTCTCATTACGGAAACCGGAATCGGGCTTTAGAGATGACGCCGTTTACTCTCGAGTGACACGTACGTAGCACCAGCCACGCCCTTTCTCCCCCGCGCGTCCCCCACACCGCGGCATCGTGCACTGTACGGATCCAGCCCCCCTCGTGGACATGTGAGCTTCCATGAACCTTACCCTGACATAGGTCCGCGATATTCAGATTCCTATTCTGTCTATGGTCTATCACGTCAGGGATAGCACGGATAGATAAGCGATGGAAGTAGTCAGATCAGATAGTGTATCGTGTGGAATCCTGACCAATTAACCCTGACTAATAATATTAGAGCCAATCTCGTCATCATGGAAAGAAGATATCTATTATGATAGCTTATAGGTTAATTTCAATGAAATCAGTCTTGCAATGAGGGGTGGCGCACGGGTACTTGCCGTAGTTTCTTCATCCAATCTGACACACATATAACCGCGCTGAACTTAGGCAGCCAATGCCGTCTTTTCGGTTCGGATCGCGTCATCCGTGCATGTACTCAAGTAGCAGTGGGAAAGGACCGCTTTGATAAGCGACATATACGCGTGCGTGGTAAGCAACATCATATCATCCATATAGCCATGCCGAATAAGCGAGGTATACGTGTACAATTGGTCTCAAGGGCGTGCATGGATTGTGGCTGACCTGGTACTTCCTAGCGCCTCAGAGCTTATGGTAAATCACTTGCCATGGCTGCGCTATCAAATCTTACTTGCATCATGCGTGAATGCAGGTGACATTAAGAATACGCGCATAAAGAATTCTAGGCACCAATAAGGTGGTGTGTTTCTAAAGAGATCTATTTCCACCCCTAACGGAGATATAGGAATGCTAACCAATCGCATGCAACTCCATAATTGGATGTGTTGCCAACTCGTCTAACCACTGCTCAATACCTTCGGGGGTGGATCAAAGGGCAATTTCTATACGTATGGTCGAAAAAATATGTTTCTGGAAGCCTATTCCTTCTCGAATATTACGTTTGTGCCTGTATCTCTAATTAACAAAAGATTATAGACTGACACGCCCGAAGCCTCGATAAGGCGAATTATTCCTCTTCTCTCACAACCTCTTCACATTTTTTTTTCTTCACGTCAAAATGTCTGGGGGTAAGTATGCTCTTGTCACTGGGTAAGTACGTCAAAACCTTTGAACCAACAGTTCACAATGCTTACCCGTGCTGGTATAGGTGCGGGAAGGGTGGAATTGGCGAAGCTCTGGTCAATGAGTATACCCGCCGAGGTGTCCATGCCATCGCGACCGTGCTTCCACAGGAGTCGAGCGAACACCTGTCCGATGCTGGGATTACCGTCTTCACCCTGGACGTCACAGACGAAAACTCGGTGGAGGACCTGAAGAGAAGCGTGCAGAAACTGACCGGCGGGCGTCTTGATGTTCTCATAAACTGCGCGTACGTTCAATGGCACCTCTCAGTTCCTCAGCCTCACTTCGGAATTGTAAATCATGGCCGGCAGACTAATGGGATGTTTTGTAGTGGTATTGCATACACCATGACCGCCATTGACACGGACGTCGCTGCAGTGAAGCGCATGTTCGACGTCAATGTATTCGGCCCCATGCGCATGGTGCATCACTTTCATGACTTGATTATCAAAGCCGCCGGAACTATAGTGAACATCGGTTCCATCGGTGGAATTATTCCCTATCTTTATGGATGTGAGTTGTATTGATGTGTGATTCTATGCAATCACGCAGATACCCCTTGAGTCCTCATTGGAAGTCCTACTCGACTAATTAATCAGCATCGTATAACGCAACCAAGGCGGCACTTCAGCATTGGTCTAGCACTTTGCGTGTGGAAATGGCCCCTTTCAAGTATGCCTCATTATTAGATTTCTCGGGGGTTTGTTACTGATTGGATTTCGCATTCCAGTGTCAAAGTCATCACCGTATGTCTATCTCCGTTCTACCACGACTCATAGGTTTCGCTGTCGGCTGATCTTAGCTACTCCATAGATAATTTCAGGAGAAGTCAGTACCAACATTCTGAAGAACGATGCACATAGGCGCCTCCCAGAAGGTTTGACTCCCGTGAGACAATCCATGACTCAATGATAAATTGCTGAGACGAAGGTGACTAGGTTCCTATTATTCTCCACTGGCAGAGAATTTCCAGAACCATGTTACAAGAACTCCAGGTACTGCTACGTCCATTAGAAGACACACCAGTAGTCGATTGCAGAGAAACGTAGCTAATCGAGCGTTCAGAGGGTGCTACGGACCGTTTTAAGTACGCAACCAACGTCGTCGCGCAAAGCTTGAAGGCGTCTCCGCCAGCATGGTTCTGGTACGGTAGCTTTACCGGCATGATTCGTTTCCTGGATACGTTTGGCTGGCGCACCGTTTGGGTACGCGTTATCATCATTGTTCTGGGGACTTTTTGTATCACTGACTTCTCTTTAGGATTCTATGCTATGGAAGATGTTCGATTTGGAAAAGCTAAAGAAAGCTCATGCACTTCGTATCAGGAAAGAGAGCTCACTTACAAATGAGTAATCAATTACGCTTATGGTCAATGGTTGGCGAGGGATTCATTAGCAATTAGTCTACAAGACGACAAAGTCAGTACTGGACGTAGTATCGAACCCATCATCTCGAACTCAGTGAATTCTCGCGGATATAATTTGCCTCTTTAAAGTTCAACAATCCTTCACAAACATAGACCGTGCGGCCCATTGCTTCCCGTCATGGAGTTACATTTTCCCCAACCCAAAGACTTACCAATCTGACACGGTTGGCCCCCCCGTATTTGCTTGAGGGATCATGTGGGGGGGCTTCGTTCCCAGTGCCCGAAACAGAAATATGAATACGGGCGATAAATCGGCATTTGGCATAGTAGCCCATCATTACTCATTGCACACAGCCAATGCAGAACCGACTAAGCGTGGGGCCCAAAATCCTCAGCACTAGACTAGTCCATGCATGTCATACTAGTGCAGGGGCCATGCTTATTCTTTTCTGTATCATTTCAGTTTCAACAAAATGCCACTAGGCTTACGCCATGTCATGTGTGAAGGGACGGGTAGCCTGAACGGCAATCGGATAGAAGGACTAGTAGATCCATGTCATCACGCAATGAAACGTGCATATGTAAAGCTCAATGGATACAACCCTAAATTCGGCTATTTCGACCGGACTTAACCCCTGAATGGTACTATAGGATTCAGAGTTCGTGCATAAAGGTTTCAACAAGCGTTATCTCAATGCGGTCAGCGTCGTGCCTCCATCAACGATGAATCCACATCCAGTTATGTAACTCGATCTTGGACTACACAAGAAGATAACGGCGTCAGCCACTTCCTCCGACAATGCTATTCGGCCAATGGGCACCGCAGCTCGGATAAAGTCTGCCAGACCTTCCACGCCGCTCATCGCCCGCTGCACCATTGGCGTATCTGTCCACGAGGGACAAACACAGTTGACTCTGATACCATAGGGAGCGTTATCAAGAGCTGGGGTATCGACGCATGTCAGCATCACGTTCCAGGTGCATTAGCTCAGCTGTGTGTCGGGTCTCAGTGACTTACCGCTGTTCTTACTCAGACCCAGCGCTGCATGTTTAGATGTGGTATATGGAAGTACCCCCGGCGTGGCAATCATGGAAGACCCTGATCCAAGATTGACAATGGCGCCACGGCTTGTTCCCCGACCAGGCGAGACGTGTGAGACCGCATGAGGCTCCTGAGCGCGCATGGCTATGGATACCTCCTTCGTTACAAGGAACATGCCGACTGTGTTTATGTCAAGAAAGCGCTGGAACTCAGCCAATGACAAGCTGGCAATGTCTGCTGCCTGTTGAACACCGATCTGAAGAGTAGGCAAGTCAGTTAGAATGATCACCCAATCAATACGTTGCCGAGGAAGCCGATTCGGATGTGGTATCAGGAATATCAAGGGGAGAGGTCGAGGGACTCACTCCTGCGCAGTTGACGCAGTAGTCTATTCGGCCGAAGGCTTGAACCATTTTCCCGACGAGACTGCGGACGGAATCCTCTTTCGTGATGTCGACTTGGCATGCCTCAACATGGAACTGGCTGTTGGTCGCTACAGCCTGGCATTCAGCCACGACCTCGGTCGCCGCACCGATGGAGATATCGGCAACCATGACTCCAGTAGCACCTTCTTTAGCAAATAGAGTTGCACAAGCCCTACCTATGCCGCTGCCTGGAATTTCCTTGGTCAGCATTTACACGATCACGTCAGTTATTCAAAGGGTGTAAGGGTCAGGGCAAGTGATGGCTCATTGCTTACCGCCTCCAATCACTAAGGCGTTTCCGGTGATATCCATAGCTGACACTGTACTGTATAGCTAAGAGAATGTGTATGGAAGAAGATTATCTTGATTCCTGATAGCGGAGGTACCTGTGGGAATTTATGCTTCAGAGAACCCTGTCATGCCGAAGCTCTAATGCAAAGCCACATAGATTTGCAATTATGGCAAGTCTCTCACAATCTCCGTACATGACTGGCCATGATGCAATAATAAGGCAACCATGCAATACGGGCCTGAAAGGCTTGCGGTAAGACTTATGCAGGAATTAGCAATTGTTTATCTTCTTGGCGTGCCCCAAGTCTATCAGCTCGTGATTGGCAAACCCGGGTACGTGTTCTTCAGGTAGGGGTCGGTACCTTAGCAAAAACAGCATATGATCTGGGCAATAAACGACGATCACTAAGACCCATTTCAACCAATCAATGCTTAGGGACTTCTAATCTAGTGTTCATCCGAACAAGAATCGACCCACACAAAGAAATTCACAATAGAAAAGTGCAGATCTTTCCAATCATGGAGTTGGGTTTTCAGGCCATACTGCATGAAACAACATGAACTAGAGGCATCTAGATCTTCATGATGCATGATAGCCAGGCAACATTGATAAGAGTATACGATATGATCAGCTCCATGGTGTACGATTGGCAGAGTAAGCATTGCCCAACCTAGTCCCGGCATATCTCGAAGTCACCTTCCACAAGAGACGTTCAAATAATAAAGTACCAAAGCTATTATTCATGGTCGCTTTACTCATTGGTTCTCATGTATGCAACAGACTAGTATCATATCATCGCGACAATGTCGATCCACAACCTCGCTCGTGCATTAGCCTTGATGAACTGTACATCATGGGGTAACTGTAGATAATTCCTAGTTAATGTGTGAAGATATCATGAATCCATACCGTCTCGGTGCTAAGGTATACATCCGATACCGGGTGGAACTCGGCCAAGAGCTTAGTAAGATATGATCAAGGTAACTGGAAAGTGGTATTTATTCTCAGAGGCATAAGTCCATATATATAGACAGTCTTTGCTGTCGAAGAGAACCAGGGTAATCAAGTCCAGTAACTCCTCAAAGTATTAGCCAATACTCCACACATAACCTCACTAGATGTGAACCACCAGTTTCGTTTACTCTGTGGAAGCATCAATCCCCAATCACGCGAAACTCTTATCCAAGCTTCTAGTCCTAGGCCCATTCATTTGAGACATTTGCAGGAGCAGAAGCAGCCATGTCCAACTCTGATGTTGTCGTGGTGGAATCGTCTGCCGCTTCCACTGGCGACAGCTCCAGCATGGTCATTATGAACTTGGAAGATGAGGGAATTGGCGGTGTCGCGGATTTGGTCTCACCGAATGATGACCCGCCGTGTATTGTAGGAATGGGTACATGATCCATTCCTTTTGACAGTCAATTTAGTTTAAAATGCTGACAGGACTCAGCGTGCCGCCTTCCAGGGGATATTCGATCCCCATCCAGTTTATGGGACTTTCTGGTCGAGCAAAAGTCAGCTCAAGGGCCTGTCCCGCCTGAGAGATACAACATTGGCGGCTTCTACGCTGCTCAGAGTCGCAGCGGCACTACCAATGTCCCTGGCGGCTACTTCCTCAACGAGGATGTGCGCCAATTTGACAACAACTTCTTCGGCATCAACAACCTGGAGGCTACTTATATGGATCCACAGCAGCGTAAACTGCTCGAGGTCGTGTACGAATCCCTTGCCAGCTCAGGGACGTCTATGGAAAGCGTGGCGGGCTCTACAACGGGCGTTTACGTCGCCAACTTCTCCGTTGACTATCAGCCCATTCAAACTCGCGATCCCGATTATCTTCATAGATACATCGCGACCGGCTCAGGCGCCACGATCATGTCAAATCGAATTAGTCATGTGTTTAACCTTCACGGACCTAGGTAAATATACCCGAATCTCATACATTCTGCATCCCTGGATATAGTCATATGTTTTTACGATGAACAATTAACAGTATCTGATATTGGTCGTCGCTGAATACTCCACTAACGGATTCATGTTCTTTAGTTTTACCATAGATACCGCGTGCTCCTCATCCATCTATGCGCTTCACCAAGCACTCAACGCCATGAAGGTGAATGATTGTGAAAGCGTCATTGTGGCCAGCTCCAACTTAATCCTGTCTCCCGAACTCCACATTGCCGCCGCCAAAAGCGGAGTCCTCTCGCCTACGGGGACATGTCACACTTTTGATGTCTCGGCTGACGGATATGGTCGTGCTGAAGGCATCAACGCCATCTATATAAAGAGCTTGTCGGCCGCACTTAGAGATGGGAATCCTATAAGGGCAATCATCCGCGGCAGCGCTGTTAACGCGTGAGTGGCGATTATTTCTCCATTTTGATGAAAATCCGTCCGTGCTTCAATACCGAGATTTATGAAGGGTAAATGATGATAGACGGAGATTGATGCAACGTCGAATATATGATTACAGTATCCAATACTTATTATGCCTTTTCTAGGAGCGGCAAAACGCCCGGCATATCTCTACCGAGCGGCAGATTGCAAGAGGTTGTCATACGTAAAGCATATCAAAATGCTGGTCTGGACTTTGCGGGAACCGATTACGTGGAGTGTCACGGTACTGGTACCCCTGTCGGAGATCCTATAGAGGTGGATGCTATAGGGAGGTGCTTTTCACCACGTGAAGGGCCTCCCTTGTTTATCGGATCGGTAAGTGCTCTTTCGCTTCTGCTGACCTTAATCTATGTACTTGATGAGCTAACGTAAATTGTTTGGTATAATAGGTCAAGACAAATGTAGGACATAGCGAGGGAGCTAGTGGTCTCACCTCTATCCTCAAAGTTGTCCAATCCTTCGAGAACGGACAAATCGCTCCATCGCGTGGGGTCGTCAATTTGAATCCTAAATGTGAGTCTCAGCTCTTTTCCCCGACGGACTACTCATTTTCTGCTCGACCTTTGGATCATGGAGGCTGACTTATCGCGACTCACCGTACAGTGGTTTTGGCAGAACGCAACTTGAAAGTTGCCGACAAAGTAGAAGAGTGGCCACGAGCGCTTCGTCGCGCCAGTATCAATTCGTTTGGCTACGGCGGTGCTAATGCCCATGTGATTCTTGAGTCACCCGAGAGTTATCTCGGCCAAGACTACATGGTTAAACGACACCGTATAAGCGATGGTCAAGATGAAAGAGACGAACAGACGCTCTTGGTACTTCCTGTTTCGGCAACGTCGTCGAAATCGCTGGATACGTTGGCCCAGCAGATTTCCCAAACAGTGGTACAGTCCCGCGATACGGAGACATTGCAGAGCTTGGTTCACACCGCCATTAAAGGCAGGGACCACCTACAGCACAGAAGCTTTCTTTTGGCCAAACTCGACGAAGGCCACGGTCGGCTCGTCCATGCTACGGCAGATGAAACTATCGAGAAACGAACAGCAAACCCGTTACCCTTTGGCTTTGTCTTCACGGGTCAAGGGGCACAGTACGCCGGCATGGCTAAAGAATTGCTATTCAAGAGCCAGCTTTTTCGCAACGCAATCCGTGGCCTCGACTCTGTGCTCCAGGGTCTTCCATCTGAACATGCCCCGGATTGGACCCTAGAACAAACATTGCTAGATGGAGCAAACAGTCGTATCAACGAAGTGACACGCAGCCAGCCGATTTGCACCGCTGTCCAAATAGGGATTGTTAACCTGCTACGAAGCTGGGGTATTCAATCCACGTCTGTAGTCGGTCATTCTTCGGGTGAGATCGCAGCAGCATATGCGGCTGGGCTACTCACATCTACGCAAGCCATCTTAGCTGCTTACTTCAGAGGTTTTGCCGTTGGCAAACTTAAATCCAAGGGAGCCATGATGGCGGCTGGCCTGAGCCCCGATGCGGCTAAGACTTTTATCGAGAATAAAGGGCTCGAATCACAAGTCCGCGTGGCTTGCATCAACGCACCCGAAAGTGTGACTCTGAGTGGCTCCCCGGATGGCATTGAGGCACTCAGAAAAGATCTTCAAACTGAGAATAAGTTCGCCCGGAAGTTGGAGACTGGAGGGCGTGCTTATCACTCTCGTATGATGGAAGAGATAGGTGAACTGTACGAGGGGCTTCTCGCACCATATTTTGCGGGCCGTGATGATAAAGACGCAGATACTTTAGCTTCTGGCACGAAAATGTACTCTTCAGTAGGCCACAGCCCTCAGAGTATCGGTGTTATCAACACCCAAACTTACATGCCGGCATACTGGAGGAAGAACCTGGAACAACCAGTCCAATTCAGCGCCGCGTTAGCCAACCTGGTATCGGACGAAAACAACAATGTCCACTTGGTCGAGATAGGCCCACATGCGGCACTCAAGGGACCCATAAAACAGATCCGAACATCGCTTGGGCTAAGCGAAAAGTCATTGCCCTACTCGTCAACACTGGTCAGACAACAGGATGCCGACTTCTGTATGAAAACACTAGCTGGCACGCTTTTTACGTTCGGTTACCAAACATTGAACTGGGATGCGGTTAACGGCCTCCCCGAGTCAGGGTTGAGGACACTCCACAACCTCGCGCCATATCCATGGGACTACTCAGGGGACCTGCTTTGGAGCGAACCCCGGGCCAGCCTCGAGATGCGAAACCGAAAACACGTGCGTCACGAGCTCCTCGGCACGCTCGCGCTTACGGGCAATGGCATCGACTTTACGTGGCGCAACCTGCTCCGTCTCAGCGAAGTCCCATGGCTTAAAGACCACAAGCTGGAAGACCAGATCGTTTTTCCCGCAACAGGATACATGGCTTTGGCTATCGAGGCTGTATCGCAGATTACCGGCTCCAAAGCCAAGCCGGCAAATCAACTTGCCTTTGAGTTCCGCAATGTCAACATCAGCGCCGCCCTCAACGTACCCGACGAGGAGAGAGACGTTTATTCGTCAGCCAAGGACATGGAACTGCACACCACCATGTCGCCGAGGAAGATATCCAATGCCAATAGCTCAGCCGACTGGCACGACTTTGCTGTCTCGTCGTGGTTGGCAGGTCGCACAACAGTACACTGTACCGGTAGTATACGTTTGACTGAGCGCCAAAAGGCGGAGACAGGCGCCCAAGACGACAGCGTTAGGTTGCAGAATACTGACAGATTCGATACCTGGTCCACTGGTAGATGGTACACTAAATGGCACCAAGAAGGATTGTGTTTCGGCCCTCACTTCCAGTCCCTGAGTAGCCTGCGGACTGACAGTGGAAGAACTCGGAGAGAGGCCATTGGAGTCACACGCCTGGAGCCCCCCGCCGCCAACACAGGTGGCTCGTACTACCCCGTGCATCCCATCACCATAGATGCGGCCCTTCAAGCGGCCATCCTCAGCACGACAGCCGGACAACCGACCTTGTTGAAGACCTGGCTTCCTGTCTTCATCGAAGAGTGTAAAGTCCAGCCTCCTGAGGTGGCATTCACCACAGATGCGGAAGGTGAGATCGGGCTTGTGACTGAGGCTACTGGCGAGATCCACTCGCGGTCCGAAGAGACAGGTCTCTCTAGTAGGAGGATTGATGGTACTTTACGGGACTCACGTGGCATACCCGTGGTTGACTTCAGAGGGGGACGTATCTCTCTATACACCGGGAAGAACGCCACTACAACGCAGCAGTCCGAAGGCAACGACAACAGCAACAACCATCCTGCTGACTTGTATGCTCAGCGCCAGCCGACTCTCAGGATAAACTGGAAGCCCGATGTCCTGCGGATGCGTCCGGAAGTCGAGACGCAGCTGAGAGAGTATGTGGCGGCATATGTCGATCAACAGCATGATGATATGCGTGATGACGAGAGCCTGGCCGTCATCGGCGCACTGCTGGACCTCGTTGGACATAAACTACCGCGCGCTCGTGTTCTAGAACTCGGTGGGGACGCGCTCGGATACAAGGCCAAACAATGGCTGTCGATACTGGATAAGGAGACGGCTTTCCCACGTTGCCGGTCCTGGAATTCTGGCAATCTGACTGAAAGCGGAGATATCTCGGTTGAAGGGGAGGGCGGTGAAGGACCTTTCGATGTTCTAGTAACTCCTAGTGTAAGTCGTGACCCAGCCTCAAAGCAGCATTGTCGCAGTGTGCATACAGATATTGATTTCCAAACACCGAGAGACTGATACAATCTTGTATAGCACGCTACCTCCAAGCGAGTCTGGGATCAGGCGCCCGGCCATATCGCTGAATTGGTCTCTGACCAAGGCATCATCATCACCCGAAAGTCGAATGCCGCCATATCTGAGTTGAAAGCCGCCGGGTTTGATGTGTTGGATGTCGGAAAGCAGGTCCTCTTGGCACTACGGCCCGCTCAGACGAGCAGTCTTACAGGTCGAAATGCTCTCATTGTGGTAAGTCACGTCCCTCGGCCTCGAGCAACGGCTTTCGTGCAGCATAGACTATGCAATTGCTAATTGACCGAACAGCGAGCCGAGAACTCATCCTCCGCCGTGACACACTTCGCGAACACCTTAGCGACATACCTACAGAGCAGGGCTGGTGTGTCGCATGTAAGTATTATCGATCTCCACGAGCTAGATAGCAGGCAGATCGCGAAAACGGACATATGTATATCTCTTTTAGAAGTGGAAAATGAGTTCCTTGCGACGATGAGTCCGCAAAACATGAACCGCCTTCGTGCCATCACGGACGCGGCAACCGACTTGCTCTGGATTACCGGCGCGAACATGCTGGGCAGTGCGCCAGATCCCAACCTGACCCTTTCCAACGGCCTGTCGCGTGCCTTGATGCTGGAGCAGCCGACATTGCGATATTCAATCCTCGATGTGGGGGCCTTACAGCATCTCGACTTGGCCAAAGCCTGCGAAAACAGCCTTAATGCGTTGGTAGGCAGGTATGACAAGGACGATTGCGAGTTTATCGAGAAGAATGGTCTCCCCTACATCAGCAGATATGGTCCCGACTTTGAGGCTAATTCCTTGTTCCGACGACGACTGGAGCCCCAGAGCGAGAGGAAGCTGCAGGCATTCGCTGAGGTTAAGCCGGCGCGCCTAACCATCGGGCGTGTCGGCGTGATGGACACCTTATACTTCCAGCAGCAGTCGGAGCCAGGGCAGGGGGGGATGCCACCAGCTGATCATGTCGACATTGACGTCAAGGCGGTGAGCCTCAACGCCAAAGATGTGTATGCAATGAGTGGTCGCGTAGACACGCGCGACAAGACCACTGCTTTCGACTTCTCCGGCATCGTGACGGCCGTCGGTCGCGACGTCAATCATATCAAAGTGGGCGACCGGGCCGTCGCCTATGCACCCCACCACCTTGGGACGACAGTGCGTGTGCCGGCCGGGTCGGTGCACAGAATGTTGGACAAGGAAGAGTTCACCGTGGTGCCAACGCTGCTCCTAGTCTATGGCACGGCGCTGTACGCTATCAACGAGCGCGCGCGGCTACGTGCCGGCGAGTCCGTCCTCATTCACGCGGGCTCCGGTGGCCTGGGCATTGCGGCCATCACGCTAGCCCAACGGCTAGGCGCAGTCGTCTACACGACGGCTGGCTCGCAGACCAAGCGCGACTACCTCATCAATGAGCTGGGTGTTCCAGCGTCGCATGTCTTCAGCTCGCGTGACCCATCCTTTGTCCAAGCAGTCAAGCAAGCAACGGAAGGCCGTGGTGTTGACGTTGTCATCAACTCGCTAGTGGGCGATCTGATGCATGAAAGCTGGCGGTGTTTGGCTGAGTTTGGGCGCTTCGTCGAGATCGGTAAGCGCGAGCTCATCGATGCCGGCAAGCTGGACATGCGTGTTTTCCTACGCAATGCTACTTTCACGGCCTTCGATCTATCAGAGTTATTCTATGCTAAAGATCCTTTCCATCGTGCCATTTGGGACAGGCTCATGGCCGAAACACTGGAGCTCTATCGCGCCAATGAGATCTCGCCACTCCCCATGAAAGTTTTCGACGCCAGTCAAGTGGCCCAGGCTTATCGATATTTTGCCAACAAAGACCGAGTGGGCAAGGTTGTGATATCCATGGAGGACCCACACGTTGGCGTACCGGTAAGTCACAAAATATATGAGTTCAACTTACAATATGAATGTGATAGGCTAACATAACTGCAGGTCGCACCAGCTAGATATCTGAGTATCTTCAGTCCGGAGAAGGTATATCTCCTTGTTGGATGCCTTGGCGGTTTAGGTCGTAGTATCAGTCGATGGATGATGACTCGAGGAGCCCGCCATTTCGTCTTTTTGGGACGTTCCGGAGCCGACAAGTCCAGTGCCCGAGAGCTTGTATCACGCTTGGAAGAGGCAGGAGCCACTGTCGGAGTGGTTCGCGGTGACGTCTCGAAGGCAGCCGACGTGACCGCCGCAGTTTCGGCCTGCCTGAATACGGGACGGCGCATCGGTGGCGTTGTCCAAGCAGCTATGGGGCTGCACGAGGCTCTCTTTACCCGCATGCCCAATGAGGCCTGGCATACCGGTATCGAACCTAAGTGGCAAGGTTCATGGAACCTGCACAACGCTCTCCAGGTACACGTCGACAAAGATCCCCAGAACGAACCCGACTTCTTCTTGCTTACATCTTCGGTCTCGGGAACCGTGGGTACGGCAACCGAGAGTAACTATTGCTCTGCCAATGGCTTCCTTGATGCCTTTGCGCACTGGCGCCGGTCACGCGGTCAGGCTTGCGTCTCAGTTGGCCTCGGCATGATCTCGGAGGTGGGCTACCTGCACGAGAACCCCGAAATCGAGGCGCTCCTGCTCCGCAAGGGTATTCAACCTCTTAACGAGGAGGAATTCCTTCAAGTGGTTGACCTAGCGCTGGGTAGCGAGGCCGCCCGCAGCCCTAAGGAGGCACACCTTCTTACTGGTCTGGAGCCGGCCGCCATTCGCGAGCTGAGTGCCCGCGGCTTCGATGTGACCAGTCACGGTGTACTGGTCGAATCTCGCGCCTCCATCTTGCTGGCCTCACTGCTGGCCGAGAAGGAGGTTGCTGAAGTTCCCCAACAGGGCGGACACTCTACCACGGTAGTAGCAAAGCCATGGTTCAAGGATGTGCCTGCAGCACTCTCGGCCGCTCTTGCGCCCGAGGCCGACGCTGATACTCTACGCGATGCCATTCTGCGCCTTATCAAGAAACGCTTTTCTAACCTTATCTTGATGCCTGCTGATCAAATCGGCGAGGGCAAGGCGCTGCCCGACTTTGGCGTTGACAGTATGATCGCCTCCGAGTTCCGCTCCTGGTTCTGGTCCGTCTTCCGAGTCGATGTCCCGTTTTTAGATATCATGAGCGCGCAGACATCACTAGAAGCCCTTGCCGGATTTGTCGAATCGAAGGTGGCCGCCAATTAAGTTGAAACTTTTCGTGTAATATTGTTTACTTTGTTTTCTGAGCAGACGACTTTGGGCGTTATTTCGTAGCTTAGACAGAGGGCTTTTTATAGAATCTAGGCTCTATAGATTTGTCACCAGATAAATTATATTTACACTTCTATACTCCGTGGCCTAGAAATCTCTAGAATGATAGCTTGATCACTGCAAACACTTCCAAAGGAATCTTCAAGTGCGTAGCTTTTAAACTCGAAAATAAAAGTAAAAAGGATAATTATATCAAAGAGGTTTATTTACTCCTATTATTCTTATAATAAGTTTAAAGTTATATATAGTTATTTTTAACTTAATAATAATATTTCAAAAATAACGAGAATGGTTCGCTATCGTTAATTAATAATATTTAAGTTTTAAAGTTACCTTTTGTATTCTTTATTTATTAATTTATTTTTAAAGAGGCTTATAATTAAATGATAAAATATGAAACTTAATAATAAAGATTTATATTATTTATTAAATAACGTAATAAAATTTTAATAAGAAATTTGTTAATTATAATTTTAATATTATTTAATTTAAAGCTATTTTTACTTTTATTAATATTAAACCAGGGCTAGTGTCTTGTCCCTCAGTTATAGGCTATACGATGAGCTGGTAGGCTCTTTCGTAGACTGATTAATACGTAAAGAGTAAAAAGGATAAGTTCGACAACCAAAGTATGATTAATTATTAACAACGAGCCATTCTCGTTATCTTTAAATACACCGTTACAAAAACCAACGCCTAACTGTACCAAAAGTGTGAAAGCATGAGGAAGAAAACTATTTGCAATGCCTATCTCTTAGACCTTATAATGATCAGGCCGAGAACAACTCCGACAAAGGCCGACATGATCCACTTAGCCTTCCCCGCTGTGACAGTACAGCCAACACTCAATACTTCAATATGTAATGTGTATTTCATAGATAGAGATTCTGTGATTTGGATTCCGGTTAACTAAATCTTATATCAGGAATACTCACTACAGGTTATTCTGCTCGCGCTACCCATGCGATATTGATCCGTGCTTACCCTGCGCACTAAATTCTGCGTCGTTAAAAGCAGCCACGAGGGGTGAGCGCCACAGGAGCTGTGTGCACATTTTCTACCTTTCGAGGTGCCCAGTCGTGTTGTGTCGGGGTCATGATTGTCAACCGCGCCTTTCAAGCATCAGCTGAGTTATGATGCCTGCACCCTAAAATCTGCACCTGCGCACTTCAGACACGATGGACTAATCATCGATATATCATCACAAAAAGCTTTGCCATCGGCGTATGCTCAGAAATTACTGGTCCACGTATCAGGTAATGAACTTTTAAAATTGAAGTGGCGTTTCTGGCACTGCCCGCACCACACAGTAAATATGGTACGTTTGGGGGCCACCCGCGCATCTTCAGGCGGGCCATCAGCTGATCCCAAGCAGCAGCGAGGGCATCATCAGAACTCACCAAGTGCTGCAGGGTCTGCAGACCTGGCATTTGCAGCAGAACCCCTTCTCGTAAACTGTCAATGCGGCAGCATCAGTTTCCGGACACCCACAGCCCAATACCTCGACCTATTCCACTGCCACTGCACGGAATGCCAGAAGCAGTCAGCCACCGCCTACGGCACATCCGCCATATACACTGCTGAGGGGCTTTTCCCTCTCTCAAGGGAACTTAAATCAAGACTGCGCGTGTATACCCGCGCGACCGACAGTGGTGGCAGCATGGACTGCTACTTCTGTTCGACCTGTGGCTCGAGGTTGTTTCATCGCATCATTGATGAAGACGGTATGCCCAAGGAGACTGTCAGCATTAAGGGTGGCTGTATCAAGGGGCTAGACTGGACTGGTGGCAAGCACATCTACACTCGCTCGGCGGTCGTCGAGGTACCGAAGGAGTGTGAGCAGTATGATACCTTTCCAGACATGTCGAGGCAGGTCGAGAAGAATAAATAGAGCATTGAGCCTGATGTACAGAGGTTACCGGACTCGCGATCTACGCAGAGATCCTGACCGTCCGACTATTATTCAGTTTGTCAAGGAATGGATTACCAATATTGCAGTGGTGGAGTGGGATTATAAGTGAATGGCGAACTTTACAGAGCAGCATTGGCATGAAGCAAACAGACTGGACTGAATCAATGTTGTCAAAAAGAGGAGCACGGGCCTATGGTTGGAATTGTGTATAAAGCAATGATTGCATAATGTATGATTGCCTATATAGTTTTTCAAGTGCGATTCCGGAGCTTTGTACCTTCGCCCGTAATTCGAATATTAGGATACCTAGTACACATCCAAGGAGCCCAAGATGATGCATTGGTGCCCCGAAGGTCCCAAAGGAAACTTGACCAAGTATGACCACTGCGAACACAGTATCTGCCCGAGATCTCTCAATCGGTATTATGCCAAAAACCTCAAAACACCATCAAACGTCCCAGTTACAGACTAGGTACCCCAACTCTTCCAAAGTGGATTTCGCATTCAGGCCCCCCCTCTCTCTAACACACAAAACTATTAAAAGCTGAGATAGAGAGGTAAGATTAGCCGGCTGACATTCCAGCTAACACCCCACGCTACCATAGTACTAATCATTATGTCGCCGAGCCCATGGTTCGCCCCTTGCGCCGGCAGTGGTTTAAAATGTTAGTTCATAAATCGACAAATTCGAGTAGTGGATGGTAGTGTGTGTGTTCCATATATTAAGCTTCGACACCACTACAATCTCTAGGCTGTGAATCTTTCGTACACTAGAAGAAGATAAACGATCAGCCGACAAGCAGTTATTAAGGCACCTCCACACTAGATGAGCTCGAACCCCAGAAGGGATTAATCTGGGTTGATCTTGGCATGCAGCTACTTTATGGAGCGGCTATAGTGCGTTTGTCTCAGCTAGCGCAACGCTTGACTCTACTTGGTGGAGGCGAGAAGACTGCATCGACGGCTTGATGCCAATTTGGAGTACTCTTAGCTTATAATCCGTGATGCATATGGATGAATGCCTGTATGTGGTCGGCGACCATTAAGGCTGCCTTACAGAGTCTTCCATGCCCGCCTGCCAGTAGTACAATATTCATGCCATGGCATGGGCTGCGCCCACAGTGTCACGAGGAAGCAGTCGACCTACAACAATACATCGGTGTCTCTTTCTCCATTCGATCAAATGACGCCGATCTAAATGTTCTTACTTCCCGGGCTTGCCAATTCTCCCATCATACCCTTTGTCGCATATCCCTCGTTAGCGGGTGGACTTGGCGTCGGCGATATAGGGGACTAAGGCGAGCTGTTCGAATCATCATGCTCTTCATTGACCAGACAGTGTATGGGAAATGATGAAGGATCTATGGTGCTTGCATTGATGCTGATGGTCTCATCGTCAGTCAGAACGTCCGAAAGACTAGTTATGTCTTTCGTAGTGCTATCATGCTTTATTAATCGTAGCTGTTCTTGCTCGTGATGAACAATCTGTTGTTAGGTTAGATGGGACTTAGCTCCCGTCTAAGCCTGAAAACGACCTGCTACTCCAGAGATTAGAATGTAGTCTGCAGCCAAGTTTTTGGCGTTACTTACTATTGCCTTCAACCTCTGGCGGATCCGACATGGCTTTGGACGTGCCGGCGGAAACTGTTCGCACATCTACTGCGTTGTCGTGCTAGACATGATGCTCTTCTCTATTATCGTGCATTGTTAGTATCATGCCTCTGCGCATATATCGAAATGTTCGGCGGTCATTACGCTTAAAGATGAGCTGCGCCATCTTAATCAGACAGAAAGTAATAGCATGAACAATGATAAGTTAACTATGAGTGAGACGAAGTAAACTCTTTATAATGCTCAAACTTCTATCTTAATTGGAAAAAAAACTTGATATATACATACTATATATAGCGTCAGTTAACCTAAAACATATTTTCACATCTTTGTAATGAATAAGGTCCGGAACAGTGAATAGCTACACTAGTGTTACAGGCTCCCTAATTTGAACTTGTGCAATACAAACATAAATCGGTACCATGGTCACAAGTAAGGTCCTCGGTATGCTTCAAGACTCGCAAGAAACAGAATGACCTGGTAGTTTGGAGCAAATTCTATGCACGTTCTACCTCGAGTACGCTTTGATCTGGAACCATGTCTCCCCATATAATAGTAGGTTCTTGCAGCAACAGCTAGACCCACATAATCCTTGTAGCGACTGATGGGTATCTTGGACCATTTGTAGCTTCGTTCTTGTCCATGAATCATCTCGTCAAGCATTACAGCTGCACCGGTAGCGCTCGGTCGGTAGTCACCAATTCAGGACAGCTTTTAATGACATCATTACATATTTGTAGGCTATCCTGGCTCCCTCGGGTACTGACAACGTCTAACCACATGATGTCTTCACTCATGAATCTATCTACCGTACCTAGAAATCTTGTGGACGAATTTATTCCGGTTAAACTAGTGATTTTATCTCTGAAGTAACGCGTCATTATAATCAATAGGGCTCAGAATAATCACACAGACTTCGAAACATGTTCTGAATATTTTAGCCATTGCTACTATATAGCTAGTAGATATATCTAGGTAGACGTGGTGGCTTTTGTCACTCGGATGCTAATCACCTTGTAACTCCTCCGAACGTGAAACAGGGTATTCAATCTTTCAGGTGATCCTTTTGCTAGGGAGTTTGGCCCATATTCATGTTACTCTTGCCTGTGGGTAGCGGTATCGGCCGTGCTCTAGCCTTCCACGATCTGAGCGGCTCGAGCTGCTCTTATGGGTTTTAAAAGCCATGTACTATAGATTGTATACGCAACGATGGATATAAGTAAGCAAAAGCTAGTTACGGTTTTGGAAGCTATGGCGATGGCCGACCATATACCATCCAGCACAGCGTATACGTTTAGCAAGGTCGTGCTAAAGCCGAGTAGTGAGTTTGTGAGCAATGATCTAATCCAGTCGTTAGAAAGGTTACAATCTAACGTCAAAACGAACCTATAATGGACTTACGTGATGATGTTATTAAGACTCCAGATATAATTGCACTTCTAGGTCTACCATATACAAGTCAACCCTATCAGAGAAACAATAAACAAGCATAGCGCAAGTCCAAGTAAAGTAGTATTCTGAAATGCCTTTAGCGCAAGCTCATTGTCTTCCATCATGGTGTTGAAAGCTTCGGAGCGATTCATGGTCGTGAATGTAAAAGGGAGAACGATATAGCCTGCCAACAAAGTCCAGTTAAGCACCTTGGGTTAGATGGCGTAATAGCAATCCACAGATTGGCCGTTCTCGATCAGCATCTTGATACACAAGTTACGCCGTCTTCTGGGCGGCAAAGTAGCAATACCTGCAAGGCTTATTAGGCTGTCTGCCATTTGAGTTTAATGAGTTTTAACAGAAAGTTCTGGTCACAGACTCACGATTTGATAATCTTGTTCCGTCTGGTGGGTAGGTATCGTTGTAATCTTAGCCAATGCCGACTGACGCTAGTTCTCGGCACATCTCATACGTACAATGCTCTGATCCTGTGGAAAACAGGAACGTTTATTCAGTTGCTACTACTTGGTTGCTAAGAAAAGACAGAGGAGCACTCACTCTTTAATATTCCTCTTCAGAAGTTTCGTTTGGTTCATGGCCTTGAACGACTTCCAAACAATTATAATGACCTGATGGATCTGGATGCTTCGATGAACATTGGAATAGTCATCATAGAGAGAACTATCCTTACGTGAATCTTGCTAACCGAATGCGCAAAGACCAAGTTAAGGATGGCGGGATTCTACGTCCTTGTGCTCTAGGTTTCTTTGACGAGTAATCTGTCCGCATTTTCTTAGCTGCTGGAGACATGAAATCATAGGAACAAGCTGTATTCTTCAGCGAAGAAACTAGAACCCTCGCGAAGGTGCACATGTTCGATGTACTAACCGTTGTTCCGCTGACCTATCCCAAAGCTCTACCATACCGACGTGCTGAGAGCTATTGGGATGAAGTGGATAGGAAGAGGGTAATCAGAATCTGTGAGGCAGCAGATGGGCCCATCAATGTCTTTCATCCGGACGCTAAGGAGATGGCTCTTTTCAAGGACGAAGCCATGATAGAGATTAGCCACGTGCTTTCCCCTATCAAGAAAAATCAAGTAATGATGTCGTAGTTTTGTTTGGGCCTGGGAAATGGCTCGATACACCATGAGAAATCAATTATGGACACAACGTAAAAGAAATATTCGCAACGTTTCAATCAGTTAAGTTAACCCGCAATACTGCATTGATAAGTTGGTTGCAATCGGTTTTGTGAGGAACTGCCTATCATACCGATTTTGTTCTCGGTACATACCGTATCCTAGAAGCAGATGCCCGCCGCTTCTTCTGAGATTCAACTTTGGATGCTGTCGTGCTCACTTGAATTGTGATTCATTCCCCGCCAGAAAGACTGTCACTGTATCTTCTCTTCCTGCGTATCGATATCAGTCGGTCAAACCAGCCCGTCGGGAAATATCTGCGTATCCTTCATCATCAGAATACTCCAAATATGCGATGGATAAAGTCCAATCTAAGTGGCATTTGATGTGCTCTCTCGGTGGGGGTGCCTACTTAGATTTATCGGAGCCATTTACAACGAGATTTAATATAACGTCTTATACTATCGTACTCCCGGAATAGTTATTCTTCCTTTTTCGTAATTATAAATAAGCCTATACCGACCATCTCATTAATCAGATTATGAACGATTAACCTCTAAGGTTCTTTCGCGAAAACTGCTAACTTCCCTATCGTGTAACGTTCGCCACCCCACAACCGGCTATCCGAAATGGCCCGGAACATCCACACTGCCGCCGCCGCTGCTATCGCAAACGGCCAGTCAATCCGAAAGGCTGCCATAGAGCGGGGCGTTCCGCGAGCTACACTTGGATAAGACTTCCCGGGGCGGTATCGAAGCGTGAATCAAAGGTCGATCACCAGAGGCTCTCTCTCCAATACAAGAGCAACATCTTACAGACTAGATCTTGACACAAGAAGCACTTGGTCTTACGCCAATGCACGCGCAAATCAAGGAATAGCACAGCGCGTGCTAGCCCTTAAAGGGGATCACATCCCGCTAACTGACTAGAAGCATTTCTTCGAATGAATCCAGTTCTAAAGGCCAAAAAGCAGCGCCGAATTGATTCTCAGCGTCTTTAGCGGGCAAATGTAATAGTCGTTCAACTTTGTGTAAACTCGTCTATTTAAAACAATACTTGCCATAATATTGAGCCTATGAATGATAATATCGATCCCGTTTACTATACTTGGCCGTACATGGCAAGCGGTCTGGCTGGTGGCTGCGTTTGCTTGATACTGGGGAATCATGCCCCAAAATAACTGTATTTAGCAGTAGTAGACGTCTGAAATCCAAAATCTTATATTATCTATCCAAAACCGAGTGGTAGTACAGCGGCGATCGTGAGAACTAATGATCATTTCCTTGTACCCAGGGCGGTAAATTCTCGCATCACGACTTGATCTTCGAGGCCAGCTTGCCGGGCCTTGAACGCCAGATATGAACCTTCAATACGCCTTGCGAGCACAATTGACTGTTGGGTGCTGGGTTTAGCTAATGCCCACAGGCTTTTTTGTATACCTTGTAGCGGGTAGGTAGCTATCCCAATGGTTGCTAGAAACATGTTGATTATTAAAAATTTCAGGAGGCTGTTGCTGGACGTGGAAAAGTCTAACCTGTGAACAGCTTGCTTGTTATCCCGGCAAGTCCTTTGCCAACACCTTTGAGGGCTCCAACTACCCCCTGTTGCTGGGCACCTTTGTAGGGCAGTACGAAGACGTCTGTTACTCCATCCACGACCCCGAATACCAAAACCTTCGCACCGGCTGCTGTTCCAGATTTCCAGTCCCGGATTGTACCAATGTCGCGAACTTCTTCGCCGTAAAGCCTCGGTACATTTCGAAAACCTTCTGTGAAAGCATAGGGGATCGCCACAAGACTTCCTGTATAAGACTTGAACAAGTCAATAGCACCAGACGCTGACGCAGTTGTCATGAGCTTTACAGTACTCACACAGTCTCTTGCTTTCTCTCTCTTCACTGGACCAGCCAAAGTGGTTCGACCACCTAGGCTAACTGCAGTCCCCGCTGCCGTCTGGCCTGGATGTGATTCTTCTGGTGTTAATAGAGGCTCTTTGTGGCGTTCCTTGAAGACCTTCGCTGGCTTGGCTACGATGTCTGTAGCCGCTTTCACAATATCCCGACTTGCACCGATCGCTGCTGACACCGTACCGGTAATAGGTTCCCATCTGCGAGGCTCAATGACGATTGGACGGATCTCATTTCTAGATCGAGTATAGTGTGTGAGCCGAAAGTCGAAATCTACCACAGTTTCTCATCACTTCACATACATTTTTAGCCTTTTCTGGTCCACGACCAAGTGGCTTGCTAGAATCTCCGCCGCAGTCTTGCATAGCTTAAGTTTAATCCCTTCCTTGCGGTATGTCCACACAGCAGGCTGTCCCTTGATGATATCGCACTCGAGCGTACGTTCGGGCAGGTTGGAATGAAAGCAAGCTACTGCCGCCTTGACACCTGATTCCATTTTCATTCTTTTCGCTATTCCTTGAGCTGCTTCCTGAGCGTCTGGCGCCAGACAAAACCTAATCGCCGCTTCAAGATTATCTGCCGTGAGGGATTGTTGAGGAATGGGTTTTGGTCCAGCGCCGGCGGCGGCGACCATATCTCCCCAAAATGGTTGACTGTTCCCAAAGTAACTTTCTTTTAGCAATGAGACCATTCGGTGAAAGGCTGCGGGATTGCATACTCTCCGAAAAAGGGCACGATAGTGGTGGGCCGTCCATTCAAAAGTCCGCATGCCGTTGTGCCTGCCCCACCGTGGTGGATGACAGCGGCTACGTGCTGGAATAACCATTCGTGTGGACAGTCTCCTAGATACATTACGTTTCCCGTTGCAGCGCCACCAAGATTACTCCAACCCCTAGAGATCAAAGCGCGAACACCGGATCTGTGTATAGCGTCTAAAATCAGGCTAGTCATCCTCTCCGGATCGTCAATAACGATACTGCCAAAGCCGATATAAATCGGCGGCGGTCCGCTGTTGATAAACTGGACTAGTTCGGGTGGCGGGGAGTAATTGGGAGGTTCGCGGAAGAAAAATCCGCACACATCTGTTTCCCCATCAGAGTTACAAAGTCTCAGAAAATGGATCACACTTACCGATATGCGTGCCCCAATCACTTGGCTTAGGAACTAATGCCGGAGACCAACAATACGTGAATGGGATCTTCAGAGTCTCTGCTAGTTTAGGCCCTTCTGAAAACGCGATTGGCTCCATATCCAACTCGTCTCTCCAGTCGTTAATAACATCGCCAAGGCTGATTGTTACATTGTCAGTTTTGACGTAACACTTGGGCTACACCGAGATTGTTGCTTACCCTTGCCATGTCAGGAATTCTACGACGGAGTATGAGAGGGAGTTGGCCAACCGAGGCTCCGCGCCAGAGTTGCCAGCATTCTTAAGATTAGCTAGCGGGTGGGGGAAGGCCTTTGTTGTCGACCACGGCATTGTAAACATGAGATGCACAGGGATGCTTAACGCCTGCGCACAATGGACGTGTGCAAAACTTGGAGGGTTGGCAATGATCGCGTCAGCAACAAATGGAGCTGATGAGACAGGATCTGGTTCGATACACGATAACCAGCAGCCGTGTAGCATCTCATCCATCATCTTGCGCTTCTTCTGGATGTCGCTAGCTCGGAGGCTCTTCATGCTAGGAATGAGCGCCGGGTTACGCACCATGTAAGCCATGAGTTCGGCAGGATCACCTCCAATGGGGAAGAATTCGATCCCCGATCCACGCACAAACGAATCAAAGACGTCGTGAGTGGCCAGGCGTACGCGATGGCCATGCTTTTGCAGTTCATTGCCAAGAGCAATAAACGGCTGCACGTCGCCACGACTACCAACGACTTGGATAACGATATTGAGCTTAACGTGGAACTTTGTCGTTTCTGCTAGTTGGTAGGGCGAGTACGGAGGTAACGGGGCGGCAGCACAGTCTTGAAAATCATCAAGAGCGGGCTCTGACTGTCGCCGAATGAATGATAGGTATTTAACGACTGATGAGTTGAGATCAACATCGAGGCGGCCATCATCTAGTTCTCTGTCAGAACTCTGCGTTGTTCTCTGTGGGAATGATTCAAGGTGGGTACAGACCTTTGAGCACAGGATTCTTTTGGTCCAGCTCGACGGGTGGTGGGATGACATCGATTGGAGGGCTGTCGGAGGGATTACCAAAATCTTGATTAGGCATCTTTTGGCGCGAGATATACCGCGAGGACGAGGAGGTTGGTGGACTGAAAGCGCTTTTCAATTTATCTTCCGCGCATCAATCAATCTGCATTCTAAGTGCAAATGTTGTGCCAGGAGACAACGGCCTTATGAACTAAGCTGGTTGCGTCGATCACTGGGGCTTGTCATATGAGTCAACCCAGAAGAAGGCACAGTTTCCAGGTTCTCTTAATTCGCATCGGTGCAATGCGGAAAGGCAAAAGTTCAATCCAGGATAGTGTTGTAATGTGAGGCAGGCTGGCCTGATGTGGCCTGTGCCTTCTCTAAATGCCATCTCAAACGCGGTAGCCTAGGATCTACCAGAACGCTTCGATCCCCACCAGGGAGTGGCCAAAAGGATTACCGCAAAAATCCGCAATATGCGGATTCTTCACTCCACCTCTGCTTGTCAAACTCATTGGCTAACCAATGCAACTAATCAATGTAGCACCAAGAATCCAAGGATGGATGGCCAGGAGGTACTCTGGAACTGGCTAAAGCGCCTACAAATCTGTACAATGTATATCGTCCACTCCACCAATTCGGACGCCTCCTGGCGTCATCTATTTAATACTATAATACCCACCACCCCCACACGCGTCAGCAACTAATTTATACGCGTATTAAGTGGGGCAATGTATCGGCAGAGCCGCACTGAGGTACCCCACTCTTGGCCTGCCATTCCAGAAAGTCTACTCAGGCGTCAAGCCGCATGAGCCTGAACGGGCGTGTCGCTAGCACTGCAATACACGTATGAAACCACAGGAGCGAAACTGACTAACCTAAGGCTCCTGCCAATTATCCGAGGCGGACAAATACCACACTATTTACGGGTATATGGCACGGGCAGTGCTAAGTCGGCATGCCTGTGATGGCCTGCACAACAGGGACCACGACCACGTTTGCAACAGTAAGTGTGCTAGATGGTAGTTTTGATGTGCCAGTGAAAGGTCTAAAGCCAGAACCCCTTAATTTATAGATTCGTGAGTACATGCAGACGATGCTTCTGTGAGCTGAAGTATTTCTATAATGTTCCCGTCCAGTCTTTCTCGGTCGAATTTAAATTCGTTTTCTAGCAGCCTCTCTTTTCTATAACTACAAATCTGTGGAGTTTACCATAGTCTTTTACTTGTTTTTGTAGAGCTCGAACATCAAGGGCTAGATTACCGGGGATTGGCGGGCTCGATATCGAGATTGTGACTTTGGGTGTAAGACGTATATTGAGACAGGTATCGTAGGTTTGCTTTGCTCCCAGACACTAGGATTAGATTCTTGCGATTGTGGGCGGGATGGGTTGGTAAGTTGGTCACTTAAAAGGAGAGATCGAGTTGTAGATGTTGGCGATATACTCTCTTCGTATGACGGAGATGGGTCTTGCTCGCGCTGACTGGCACTAACAGATCTGGGAGAAGAGCTGTGCCATTCCTCTTCGATTATGGCACGTTGCACCTTTCTAAGCGTTCCGGAAGATTGGTACGAACTGCTCGTGCCGGGCCGTGATTGCGAGCTTTTGTCTGATAGAGAACATTGATCTGCTGGCTGCAAGTAATCGTGATGCGCTCTTTTGGTGGTCGATCTTGAATTGAGGTGTCGTTCATCGCGATTTTTTTAGTCCTACAAGAGGCGTTGGTTTTGACCGTCGTCATTAGTAATTGAGATTAGAGATGCCATGTTCAAATTGAATAGGCGGATAGGCAAACGCGATAAACCTATTCCAGTCGGCGGAGACTAACGTTAACGCGTCGGACGCGAATAACTTCTAAGTTAAAAATTGTATGAGCCAGCTGTCATAATTATGGCAGAATTCAGTGTACTAGCGCGGGGTGGTCTGGACCAATCAGATATATCATTTGCCATGCGCGGATAAGGGCCATGCGTGGATATCCATTTGCCATGCGCGGAAATCAATTCTCATCATAATGTAATTTGTATTCTCTCGGTGTGATTATAAGCTGCGTTAGCTCTTTGCAGATCATTCAAGTGTGATTAATCCGAAATCTTGGTGATATTGAAGATTGTCGAGGACTTCCCTTAATCAATTGGTCAGTTTTCTTAACATTCTGCACGTTCAGATCGACAAGAGCGGTATCTGTTATAATGCGGTTTGAGTAAAATTCTGTGTCGGATGATTCGATTTTAAACACTATAAGCTTACCATAAGATATGTTTTGAACTGTCAAATACTAGGAAATGTAAAGGCCATGAGCGACGGGTCCACGTGCGGTGCCTTCATATGTATGATCTAACTTCGATGCTAATATCGCATCAAATCTCCAACAAAAACGACAGATCGGCAGGCGAGGGCATGTACCGTCAATCCTCTCCTTCGTCATACACAGCCTATACCCGGAATTCAAACTTGTAGGATGTCGAGCCTGACAAATTCTTTTGGTATCTGCCAAATCTGAACACACCACTAGTTTGACGGGGCGCGCGGACAGTCACGTCCATGGTACCCGTCTCATCATGCGCCTGCCAATGCAGTTCTATGCTGCCTTTATACGCAGTGATAACCTTAGCTTTCATTTCCTTTAGGCCCATCTGTACCCCCAATATGGCTCGACCACTCATCTGCGGTACCCACAACCCTCCGGGCCTTGGACTATCTGGAGACCGGCTACCCACTCTGTCAATATATAGGTCGGGCACCACCCCAGGGGTGTGCAAGACTGGTAAAGAGTCCAAGTCCAGGGCCTCCTCGCTGATCGACATATTCCCAGAATGCGCCGGTGCTGGTTGTTTTGTTTGACAACATTGGAGTCCATAAGCTCATGATCAGGTCGAGAGCTAAAGTGGCGGATGCAGTGGTGCCCTGAGATAGAAGTGCTTTCAGGATGAAACCGTTGGTGTTGGCGAAATGGCATCCGACGCTGAAATCGATGCGCTTGAATCCCGGAGGCCAGGCCAAAGCAGGAGGTTCGCGGCTGCGACGACGAGCCGCGTGGCCTGTTCCAGTCTTGTAGTGCCTGATGTGACGCAAAATGCGATGCTATGGATGGAAAAGTTTTTTATGTCACCTATCGAAAGGCCGTAGATACCCACTTCTTCATTCCAGAGCTCGCGGTTGATGGCCAACGATAGAACGGCGGCCATCGCATTGTATTGCTCTGCATCCACATTCTCCTCAATTCGCATCGCTCCTTCGGCCATCTTCGTCACCGCTTCCACAAGAGCGCAGTTCACTGCTGAGCCAGCGCTCGCCGGTCCGAGGAAAGCAGATCGCAAGTTGAGGAGCCCCGTTGTCGAGTTGATGTTGCTGTTAATCCATTCCAAGTTGGCTTTCCAGTTGGCCCAAGTACTCGTCGCAAAGTTTACGTCACCTGACAGGCGTACATATTCTATGAACGCGAGGACGCCAAGAATCTGGTAATCAGCAAGAATGTAGCTGTAGACTTCAACCCCATGAAACCAAGCCCCGCCGCCTCTAGAAAACGAGAACCTGGCCAGTTCTGGAGTGTAGCCGGTAGGAGGAGCATGAGGCAATAGCCCTGTTGACGTTTGCCAGTCTACCAAGAACCGAAGGGTGCCTTTCGCAAGGTCGAATCTTGAGGTGCTCGCGGCAATGATGCGAACAGTATGGGGGGAGGTCGCCCAACCAAACGAGGTGGTCTGGTTGACGATGGATGAACCATAGCCGAATACGATTTTGCTCGGGGGAAGAAGAGATGTGTTACTATTGACATACAGTTGATCATGAGCGACCAGGTTAAGCTAAATGCCGCGTGCAGGCGATGCAAGTGGGAATGCCTGTCAACTGTAGCTGCCCCGTGTAGTAACCTGCCCAGCGTCGTTTCCAGGCCCGTGGCTATACTAAAGTACCTACGAGCCTAGAGCCTCCGGATACTCGTATATTGTGGAGTTAAGCACGTACCCCTCCAGCCCCGCCCCCCTCAAGCGCGCCGCTCGTTCAGCACCGGAACTCACTGATACGCGTATTTGAGAACGCTGTATAGTACAGAACCGTGGTAACCTTCTACCTCCCTCATTTACATGAATATGTCCATCATCAACTCTCTGAGTGGCAGTGCAGCACTAAGCAAATGGAGCGATCAGATTGTGGATCTTCAACCTCCTGGGTCAATATTTCGGTGAAAAGTATATAAGAGATGGCGAAGAGACATTTGTTGTTCTTGGCCACGATGCCACCCATATCCTGTCATTCACTGCCGATCTAGGTCATGTTGGGGACTATTTTTGCCGCTTTTACTCTTTCCATGGGGGTGCTTTCACAGGCGACCTGCAAGCTCACCTCGTCTGACGCAAGCTGGCCTAACACAGCGGATTGGCAGGCCCTTAATGACACCCTGGACGGTTCACTGATCGCAACGCGCCCGGCGGCCTCATCCTGCTACGACGGCAATCCCTTCAATTCCTCGTTTTCCTGCAACCTGGTTGAGGCCAACTGGACGCAGTCAGCCTTCCATGCATCCCTTCCGGAGTCGGTTGACTACCCCATTTTTGCCAACAACTCTTGCCTGCCTCCAGGTGCAAGCGGCTATAACGAAACCCTCTTAGGCTGTCATATCGGTGGACTACCCATCTTTGTTGTCAACACCACCAGCGCGGAACATATCGCCACCGCCCTGGCATGGGCTTCCGCCCGTCATATTCGCATTGTCGTTAAAGGCACAGGCCACGACTTGAATGGCAGGTGAGTAAAGCATCTCTAGAGATCAAATCCATATGAGAAGGCCAATGGCTAATGGAATAAAACTAATAGATCTGCTGGCGCTTATGCACTCTCCATCTGGACACACAGCCTCAAATCGATCAAGTATGAGCGCCAGTGGCAACTTCCAGCCGGCGGAATGGACGATGTCTTCATAGTTGGCAGTGGCGTCAACTGGGGCGAGGTTACTGCGGCAGCCGCCGCTGAGGGACGCGTTTGTATTAGCGGCCAGGACTCAACTGTAGGGCTAGGCGGGTTCATCCAGGCCGGTGGTCACGGCCCACTTTCCAGCCATTACGGGCTGTCCGCCGACAACATCTATCAGGCTACCGTTGTCACCACATCTGGCGAGATCTTGGTTGCGAATGATGCTCAAAACCAGGATCTCATATGGGCCATCCGCGGCGGCGGCCCTGGACTCTATGGTGTCGTTACCGAGTATGTCCTTAGATCTCATCCCATCCCGGAGACTGTGGTTGCTGCTACCTTGAGCATGCATCTGTCGACCAACAGCACGTCCTACAACGCGACTTGGGCTGGCCTTGCGGCTTTCATGAAGGGTTTGCCTGACTCCATGGATGCCGGCTTGACTGGTAACGGCAATGCCATCTCGTCAACAACGGGGGTTACCCTTACGATGAGCTATTTTGGGTACAACATGACAGCTGAGAATATCACTTCCCTTTTGGAGCCTGTCAGTGCTGCTATCTCGGCCCAGAGCGCGACAGGTGACTTGAACGTCACGATTACCGAGCCAGTCTTATACCCCAGTTACATGGATTTCTTCAACTACCTGCAAGCGGCCGGCAGCGGTGCCGGTGCCGCCAGTCTGGTTTCCAGCCGTGTGCTAGGCCGTGCTGATCTGTCCGATTTGTCTATTTGTCGCTTGCAATACCATCTGCAGCGAGTTATGCGAGCTGAGACCGCAGGCAGTGGTTCGAGACTCGTCATCGGCCTCCAAGGCGGCCTCGGGCCGGCCGGGGTGGAGACCAGCATGCGCGGTGCTCTAAACCCTGCCTGGCGGACCGGCTACGTGCACAGCATCGTGACTGGGTCTAACCTTGATTTGACAATTCCTCCACAGGATGCGTTATCTGCAGCTGCAACCTGGACGGAAGAAGTTAAGGAGGCCGCTTGGCGGGAATGGGCACCTACCGCTGGAGCATACATCAACGAGGCAAACCCTTATACTTCGTCTTGGAAACAAGACTTCTACGGCGAGAACTACGATCGTCTGCTGGAATTGAAGATGAAGTATGACCCTACTGGCAGCCTTTATGTTCTCTCCGGTGTCAACAGCGACGCTTGGGATTATAACCTTACAACGGGAAAGTTGTGCCGGGTAGCTTAGGCTTCTTGCACCACTATCAGTAAATAATTACGCCGCTGACTAGATAGGAAGAGATTCGCATGTCGCTTGTAGATAAATCTGGGCTATCAATTTGTAAATGTTTTAGTATTCGACGTCTGGTAAATAGAAGTGCACTTTCGCTCGAGCCCGCAGAAACAAATTTCTTTCACATAGTGCTTGCGCAACTTTAGATCATGTAAGGCGGAGCTTATACTGTGGCTACAGCCGTTTTTTGATTGCCTCCGTCAGGTAGCTACAGTATATATCGACTCTGACAGTGTGTTTCGCAGGTAGAAGTCCCCTAAATCACTTCGCGGGGGCAGCCAAAACATCCTTTCCAACTAAGTACTAGGCAAATTAACTTGAGCGGTTGCAGCCGCGGAGCTAAAGTATTGGTGGAACGTAAATATGCCTCACTCTTATGGGTGGAAATCGAGTCTTAATTATCATCCCCAAGATTGACATTGTGTGCCATGGCAGAGAGGGTGTCTAAGTACAAAGGGCCAAATACATACCATAGTACTCAGAAATGGAATGTTTGGAAGCGCTGATTGACTCGACGCAAAGGACAATTTTGAGGAACATAGGCCGAATTGTTTAGTGAAAGACCCAAACCAATGTTTCTGGAGGCAATACTTGCCCGAAAAGCGCATTTGTCCCTCCCGGCGAAAATACCATTCGCAGCGTAGTTTTTAGGGTTGTTAGTGTGATAGCGTTTTCATGCCCTTGCACTCTCCGATGTCAATTTGATTCAATAAGAGCTTGTCTAACGTAGGTCGTGGATCTAGATCAGGACCGGAGACAAGACGCGGTTCATGACACGGCCTCTGTACTACATTGAGCCGTTTCTCTTCGCGAGAGTTCGTATCGGCGGTCGTCTTTGCGAAAATGTAGTTGGCCCTCATTGGATCGGTATGATATGCAGATGGAGACAAGATTGAGAGAGGGAGTCCATGGCTGTGAACGGCACAGTTGTAACAGTTGTTAAAATGTTTTTGGTTCATAGTACCGACGTAGCTGTCAGCAGGGGAACCTAGGTTTACTTAACTCGTTTGACGGGAATGCCCCCACTAGGCCGTTGGGGGATACCATTGAAAAGCTGGCTGCCAAGCGGATACGCACATACGTATCAACCCAATGGGCTAGCTAATACATATTACAAAGTGCTGCAACCAAAGTATCAATGATTGAAACTTAGCGTAACCATCGTCCATCTTTGCAGATCACTTTCCATTGAAGCTACTGTGGCACGGCATACGCGTATCGAGTGGAACCCCAGCATGCTTCGCATTGACTACATTCACCACACGCTGAGCTGCTCACAAGCTGCTATGGTAGCAGGCTATTTTGAACTACCCATGCTAAGTAGCTACATATTGCATCTCGCACCAGGCTTTACAGGCAGCCGACCCCCTGCACCACCTAGTGGGGGCAAGCCAGGGACAGGTTTTACTAGAGTATCCGCCTCTCGGAGGAACTTACTACTCTGGATTAAATGATTTGCTATTATTTTGAACTGGTAAAGCTGAGTCCCCTTAAGCGTAACACATAAATTAGCTTCCTGCTGGGCCCTTTGGATAAGGGGTGCTATTTAATGCCGTCTGCTCGGCTGACTATCCACCAGACAGCAATATACGCGTACCTACCTATCACTATACGGCGTATAGTCTAACACAGTATGGGACCCAAACCATTTTCAGGCCATAAATATTCTCTTGCTGCCGTGGGAACACTTGTCGTCTACAGGGATTCCTTCAAAGAGACAAGATAATGATCACCAACGACAGCAAACGTTTGCAGTCAGGCCAACGGTCTGATTCCGACTCACAGAAAAATTGCAGGCTGTGCAAACAGCATCATGAAGACTGCATAGACGAGGGCCCGGCATGTATGAATGGTTCTGCGGGAGACCGGCACTGCTCATTCTTGATCGACAGCGTTCCTAGGCGGCTGGCCTCCCTGACATGGCACACTGGCCTTCCATCCGAAAGCTGTTCCTCCGCGCCGTCATGGCACTCCACAATCCGTGAAGCCTTTGCCCCCGAACATATCCTTCTGTTCCATCACTTCGAGACCCGATTATGGAGGCTGCCAAATACACATCTTGTCGCTTCCGAAGGACAAACTAGCCGTATAATCGACATGATGTTCAGGTGCGCCACGGCCGCACCTTACCTCATGGACGAGCTGCTGGCATTTTCTGCTCTACATTTGAGTGTACTGACTCCAGCGACACATGAAGTTGCTCGTTATCGCCATTATGCGATGCAACTTCAAACCCGCGCCGTTGTCAAATTTCACGCGGCCGACCCTCAATGGCTCGGGCACAACAGCTTAGCTTTATTTCTTTTCTCATCACTCCTCGGCATGCATTTACTTTTTACTGCCACGATGGATGGAAATCGCCACGCCAAGCTTTTGAATCAAATTGCACAGTCCATCCACATTCTTCATGGTGTGGGTACCGTTACAAAATCGAACTGGGGCGCCATCCGTGAAACAGAGATAAAATCTATCATCAACCAGATAGAGCTCGCCGAACCCACTGGACTGCACATCAACCCTTACAAAGAACAGTGCGAAAAGTTGTTTGAACAACTGAATGCATGCAAAGAGAAGTTTGTGCCGGAATCTTTCAACGCATGCTCTGCAGCTATTCATGCATTATTGTGGGTTTTCGGTCGGCATGGAGAACTTCCTAAACCGATCAGTACACATATTCCCCTGGCTTGGCCAGTTCTCATCTCGACAGAATTCGTCGCACTGTTGCAGCAGCGAGAACCAGTAGCACTAGTAATTCTTGCGCATTGGGCGGTTCTTTTACACTACAACCGAGACTTCTGGGTTTTTGGCAACTGTGGTCAAGGCATAATAGAAGCTATCGGTGATCATCTTGGTCCATTGTGGGGTCCGCAGCTAGCATGGGCAAGAAATATTTTGAAGTCTCTCTAATGTAAGAGATGTCTGCTCAAAAAGCGGTCATCTAAAGTTTCAGACGGAGAGGGGAGCAGGTGGACATAGTAGGGCAGCATACCCAGGATGCTTGTAGATGCTGTAGTAACAAGTAGTGGTGTTAAACAGTTGATATGGTACCTGATACGGGGGCATTGGGTGACCTTGCTAGTATTTCCGCCATATGGCCTGTGTTAATGCATGATCAATGATATGCGAATCTGTAGCATGATCCTGTAGGAATGTCGGGCTGCTGTAAATCATCCCAAAAACGTGCGACTTTCTGATTACCCTCGCGCAGGAATGTGGAGCATGCGGAAACACACACTAGCTTTGAGGGGCCTTAGATATCGGGCGTTGAAGCAATCAAAAATCGTGGTTGGCATTCCAATCGAGACTCGGAGCTTGGTAGTATTTTCAGCGTGATAGAAGCCGTCGACAAGTTCAACCCACCCGGCGGGGGCAGTTGTGATAGGCTTGTAGTTCTTCTTGAGCGAGCCGAGGAGCGACTCGGCCCTTTGCCGTACAAAGCATGCTATGCGACAGTCCAAGCACTGCAATAGATATTCAATCGATATACCGCGCAGCTTGACCGGTCAATCGATACATCATATTGACATGGCCAGTACGTATACGCATTGGATTTGTAGATCTATTCCAGCGCCAACAGCCGGAAGCAGTAGCAATAATGGCTTATTGGGCCCAACTTTTACACCATGGGCCAAACTTCTGGACCTAGCGCGAAGGATGCTGATTTTTAATTGAGACCATATTTTCTGGGACCTTCTTGAGACGAGTGGTTGGCATAGTCGAGGCAATCTTTAGCACCAACTCGGCGACTTTCATCCTCGCACCATACTTGCGTTCGACGATGCAACCGAGGTTTGAGAATATTCTAAATTATGCTTACCCCATCCTCCTTTGCATGATTGGCATATGCTGGTCGATAATGCTCGACGGTTGCACGGAACTCCGCTTTCGGGAGCTGCTGCGAAGTTGTTGCCCTATTCGGGCAACGGCCCCTATGAGATTTGTTCCTGAATTGGAAAGATATCCGTCTGACTCATGGCAGTGTAATGACAATACTATGCAAACCAATGCGAGCAACCAAGAGATTACAAGAAGGACAAACTATTCTAATTACATAGCATCGGCAATCGCAATTACACTTTACCCGCCAGCATAATAGAAACACTGGTATTCAGTGATTACGGTCGACACGTGCTGAATCCAAACACTTCATCACAACATTCGGCTAGGCACGATACTACACACCCTAATAAATAGATAACCTGTGGGAGCAAGGCAAACAATGACCACAGCTAGTTCAAAGTATGCCTCAGGCTCAAATAAATATTCCTGCTGCCCTGGTTGTGACTCCATCTTTTGTGAATGCCTGGTCGTGATTAGGCTTTAGTGAGGCTTCGTATCTCCAATTTCGTTAGCGCCCACCGATAGTCTACATGTTCCACCTTCTCTCGCATTAGCTGGCTAGATACGCGTATACAGTGCCTGGCTCTCCCGAGTGCCCGGGAGCGAGAAGCCTCAGATTTCGTACCACGGATCGTGATATTCTAAGCCCCCCTACTAGCTAGGGCTAGGGTTGTAGAGACCTGCTGACTGTAAGACTTAAGCGAGCATCATCTCTATATCTTGACGTCGCCATTTCTTTGTCCATGCACCGCTTTTGACAATATATACAGGATCGTAAGGACTCGTGCCTATTAGATCGGTGCTATTGTCCCTAAATAATTACTGAACGGAAGATCTCGCTCCTTTCAAGCAAAAGAGAAAAAGAAATGTATTGCGTTAGTTTCATGAATATTGTGGCGATCGGTGCTCTTTATGCACGAGCAGCAATCGCCGCCGTCCCCAACCCACCAACGCCTGAGCCAATCGAGGTTGTTGAGTTGCCATTGCCGCCAGTAACTACGGGACTTTGTACGGCGGACATCAATCCGCGGGGCACAGGGTGCATTGGTCTAGGTCTATATGGTGTAGGCTTTCAAGCTGGTAGTTTTCTGCCGGACGGCACCCACATTGTGGCGTTTGTTACATTCACCGGCGCGCCCGAGGCCCCCAATCCTGCTAGCATCTACGACGGCGAACAGATCATTCTCATCAAGACGGACGGTACTTTGTTTCCCAATGGGGATTCGTGGAAATGCGTTACATGCGGCATACCCACGGAAAATACAATTGGCCAGACTGACACGTTCGACTACCCTAACGCATTCCAAGACGGCAAACGTCTCCTCGTGGGCACCAACATCGTTGATTGTAGCGGAAGTCTTCTCACAAGCACGGACTGTAGTCCAGAGCGCACTTTCATCTACCCTATCCGGTGGAACGTGACCCCCGATGGATCAGGCGCTAGTGGAGCGATACGCGAGCTGCGTTTACATCCCGATGATGTACATCTAGGGTTCAGCTCTCTCTCAGTATTCGATGATGCGGTATTGCAGTACGGGTTTTTTTCGCGTCTGCAATTTAATCCATCACCTACCACAGGCGAACCCCTCGCCCCTCGGTACGACTTAGTGAACGTGACCATGCTCTACAGCCCTGACAACACGCCACCATTTATAGTGAATGGGTCTCAGTTGTCCTTCCACCCCCTATCGAATACTGTTGGCGAGCTACGAGGCTTCAGCGGGCGTGGCACGGAGGTCTCTTACATCGGCTATTCGGTTGAGTCTTGCAACATCGACGTGTTTGCTGCCGATCTAACAACGGGCGCAGTTCGGCGGCTCACAGCTCATCCCGAGTACGTTGATCCTGTAGATATCTCTGCTGATGACCAGTGGACCGCGGTCATGGATACACGAGGTAGCAACCGTCAAATGTTCATGGCAGCTATGCGTGGCGTTCCACCTTTGATTGATATGATCGCTACAACAGTGGCCTCGACGACCCGAAACAATCACCAACGACGTTTCTTTCAACCGTATCTGATTGACCGTTATGGTGACCGGGGTAACTACTTTGGCCAGAAGATAAACGCGGCTGGCAGCGGGGTTCCTGGCAGTGGTGCGATAAATGACCCCGAATGGAACGGGAGGGCAGACCCAAAATGGTCCCCCAATGGTACACAGATCGTGTACTGGCAAGACATGACGGCTTCGCCAGCTTGTGGTGGGGTCAACCCGCTTCCATGCTACAACTCGACAGAACCAGGGGGTCGTCACGTCCGTTTTATGCTTGCGACATTAACGAATCGTGAGCCCTATAGTCTGCCGAAGGTAGAAACAGTATCTGATGTTGTGCCCTGGGGCACGCCTTATGTTCCTGGTAGCGTAGCACTCGCTCCTTTTCTTCCTACACAGGGTGTGTATACACTCAATGGCAATGTGTCAGGGTCTGCGGAAGTAGTGATTACAGACAATACTGACACTTTATCGATCAAATCTGTAGCGGTTCGGTACTCCAACTACTCTGATGATGGCATTAGCTTTTTAAACGGATACGAGAACTTCACGCGGACGAACCCATCGCCCAGTGTCGAACTTGCTGACTGGTATTCTGACTTGACCCAGACTGGTGAGACCCACAACACGAAAAAGACGAGTCCAGGGGGATTTCACCTGTCCATTGACACCTTCACCAATATCCTCGAGGCAAATGGAACACTGACAACTACTATTGATGGAACGGAATACCTTCAACCAACAAATGATAGTTGAGCAGCTTACATAAATTACTTGGCCATCCTAGTTATGATATTCTAGCGAAAACCGCTAAAGTAACTACCGGAATCCCGTTCAACGAATTAAATAAACGGGATTGACTTGATAAAAGCACGCTTACCACCGGGAGGGAATATACGTGACGACAGTGTAGCCAATGTCTTGCAAAACATGCTAGACTATTTGAGACGCATACGGTAAGCGGATATCTCCGTAATACGATACTCATGAGGAATACGCGTAATGAGTGGGGTATATGCCTTTCACAATAGATTTGGGTAACAAGGGTCTACTTGAGACTTCCCTGTAGTCACTGATGGAGCTGTGTCGTCCCCGCTCCAGGTTGGTAACGACAGGGAATGTCTAAACCACATCGCATCAACGACTTCAAGTACACATGACAGGTGGAAACAAAAGCAGAGAGCTTACGATGGGAGAACAATTTAGCTGAGAAGTTCCGTGCATGTTTTTATTTCTTAATTCGGATTTCCTAATGGGATGGCGCATATTGTGCTTGTGCTAAGGCCGAGCTTGGATGCGTCGAAGTTTATGAAATTTCGAGCCCAGAGAGCTGGGTGGGGCTGACTGCTTCAAGAGGCTAGGACGCGCATCTAGTCTAGCAGAAAGTTAGTGTAGCAATACCTTGGGACCACATCGGCCAATAACTACCACAAGTGGTTATAAAGCAACTTTTGCATCCCTTTCCTTGCCCAGGTTTCTTACTTTGTTCACGATGTTGCACCTTTCTGGCACTGCCCTGCAGCAATCCAGTCGTCGTTCACAGTCACGTCGAATTTATTTTTTGGAAGGCAAACCTCAAGAATCAAAAGATGGCCGAGCTTAAGCCATACAGGGGCAACTATTACCTCTGGCAATATATACCCTCCACTGAAGCTGCTAGCGTATTTGCAGCTTTCTTCATCTTAGGAACTTTGTACCTCATTTGGAAGGTCGTCAGAACTCGGGCGTACTTCTGTATAGTTTTCATCATCGGTGGCATTTGTTAGTACCTCTTCCTTATTTTAAGCATCGAACAGGACCTTGTGACTAATGACTTTTTATACAGTTGAGATTATTGGTTATTGTGCCAGAGCGGGCGCAAAAAACCGGACCGATGTCCTCATGCCATACGTTATTCAAAGCACTCTTATCCTAATCGCACCTGCCCTCTTCGCAGCATCTATCTATATGGTTTTGGGCCGCGTCATTCGCGGGGTTGGCGCAGAGTACCGATCGGTGATTCCTGTCAAGTGGCTTACCCCTATCTTTGTATGCGGTGACATCGTGTCTTTCGTCGTACAGGCGAGCGGTGCCGGCATCATGGTCACAGGAGACAGTATGAAGACAGGCGAGAACATTATTCTTGGAGGCTTGATCGTTCAAATTGTCATGTTCGGACTATTTATTGTCATTGCCAGCATCTTCCACTCACGACTCCGTCGATGGCCCACAGCACTCTTTTTGGAGAATCGTACCAAGTGGGAGAGCATCATGGCGATGCTCTACACAGTGAGCGTATTTGTCTTCGTGAGATCCATATTTCGTGTTATAGAATATGCAATGGGACAAGACGGATATCCACTCAAGCATGAGTGGACGCTCTATGTCTTCGATGCGGCGTTGATGTTTGGTGTTGTGGCTGCATTCGCCTTTAGATTTCCGAGTGGGTTGGTCGTTGACGCGGCAAAAGACGAGGAAACAGTTGGGCAAGAGCTCACGAATCGTAACTGGGCGTCACCAACCTTAGTATCTTCATAAAGAAAGTGGCATGAAAAATGGAGCTGCCTGATGTAAATATGGCAAAATTGACAAAGATGTTTTCATTTTCTCATATATTTAATGATTAATAGCGTACAGGCTTTGGATAGAACATTGTGGTTCGTGCTAGTGAAAATGGACATAGATTTTTAATGTCTTACTGTAATTCTCCTGCTGCAAATAAGTTCGCTTGACCTGTTGTATTTATGGACAAGAGTCTAATGCACAAGTAGGTAAACACCTTGCGATGAGGCCATGCTACTTTATTACTCTCGAATGAACCTGGGGATCAGCTTCCATACGAGATCAAACTTGGCTCAATTTGTTTAACCTGTTTGACTAGACGATAAAGTGCGGGAGCTCGTTACGAGGCTTGATGTGGACGCTCACGAACCTTTATGCATAAGCCAGCCCCAAAGCAATGATAAAAACTGCTCATATACCAAGCAGGGTTGCTTCACAAGCTTGCCTGCCCGACTTAGCATCGGTGCAAATATTATAGCAATTGTTGTGTGTGGGTACAGTCATGAGGCAACTTCGGCTATGGGGACAATCCCGGTATTGAATTTCAGACAAAGGGGTAATTCACTTGGAACATGCGCAGCGCGAGATTACGAACTGTGGAGTTTATTTTTTATTTTTTTATTTTTATGAAAATTAATCAAACTATCCTTTCTATACCCAGTCCGAGTAACCAATAACCACCCCTTCTAAACACCCGTACACCAGGTCAATTCTTTGGCCCTTGCTGCTAATTCCTCCTACATCGTGTTTTAAAAACTCTCTATTGATTTTTATTCGTGGCTCGCTTTATGGGATTCCTCGAACTATAAGCCCTCAGATCCTCGTAAATCCGTTTTTCTTAGACATGAGATATTCATCTCCACTTCCCTGAAAGCTGACGTCTTCATGAGTGATTTGATCTTTTTTCAGGACTCTGCTGGGGTGAAAGAAAGCGAAGCATGCGGTCACAGCAAGCATTAACAAAGCATCCAAGACATACGAATATGCTTCTTTCTGGAGTAAAGAGCCGTCATTTCCCTGTGCGTATTCGGCCATACGGAATATCGACCGTATCATGATCAGGAAGCTGGTCAGATAGAGTACCCAGAGGAACTTCTGCCATGGAGCCACAGTAGCGAGTGACTTCGGGGTTGCGCCCCTAGTGATGCGTGTGTGAAATACCAGTGTAACGATAATGAAGAGGCCAAAGAAGACGACCTGAATGCCGAGTCCGAGGAGAATAACCTTGTTACCCATACTTTGGGATGACTCGGTCTTAGCTGTGGCCAGTATACCACCCCCTATATATTCTGTTAGCCACTCTCCCATAAGCTGTAACGACAGCATTGTATATCACATACCACCGCCCTGGCCGAAAAAGGATAAGATATCGCCGAGCAGAAAGAATTTTGTAAGCCATCGCGGCCGGATCATGGAATATGCGTCCGCGTCAAGGAAATGAACTAGGCGACCCAAGATCATGTATATGGAAGCGGCAAAAAATGTTGGTCCGAGGAGCGTCAGCAGACTTTGGATAATATATGGCATCAGCGTCCAGTTTGGCGTTTGCCGTGCCGACATGGCACGCGCAATGTATCCTCCAGCCTCAACTGTTCAAGATGACTTTTGTCAGCGAAAGGCAATAACGGGAAATTTATAAGGTCGTCTCACATAGACATCCGATTATAAATGGCAAGAAGTACCAAGTCTTATTTTTTGACAGAAGTTGAATATGACGGACTGTCGCGACGCAAAATAGAATCGCAAAAATGACCGCTGCTGCAAATGAAGGTTCGTAGTGATAATATTTGAACCCCGCCATAACGTAGTTGTACTTGCAAACTACGTGGGATTAAAGCCGGTAGTGGACAAGCGAATGAAGCGAGTGGACGATCGACTGGAGTTGAAGCTGTATGTAAGACGTAAGGATTTGGCAAATACTGCAAGCAATCATTGAATATGAATTTAAGACAGGGACGATCGCATTCACCATGCTGTTATATATAAGAGCCATGCTTATATACCTTGGCAGGGGTATCGGGGCTGAGCAACGGGTTCCACACCCATGTGTTTACCCAAGTGGTATGTTACAAGAACATGTCAATGCTCCTGGCGGTAAGCGAGACATTCCTCCGCTGGAGGGTCTAGACAACCCAGCCGCAGATGCGACGCGTTGTTCTGAAATTGACCGGGCGTAACTTTCGAATCGTTTTCAAGATTATTAACTAGAAGGGGCTAACTTTCAAATACGCGTAGAAAGTGGAGCAGAGGGTTCCATCAGACGATGCCGGCCGCGCTGACCGGCCTGTTCCTCTCAGCCACCACGGAACTAGTGCATACTCTTGTGGATCTCTACTGGCATATTGTAGGCTATCAGCATCGAAAGAATAGGCTCGTCCCATTTCAAACACGGTTTCCGGGTCGATCATCTGAGAGCTGCTGCCATTGGTTTGCTACATACCGGGCATCCCAGCACTACCGCCCCTTTGCTTGCGCAGATTGCACACACATGCCATGATACGAACTAATCACCCTAATCACCTCAGAGTTTGAGCGCCTCGGTTCCACATCGCGCAATGCTGTCGTTTGAGATTCAAAGCTCAAGACTGCGATGCCTGTATGAAGGAATATTTTCCCCCTTAGAACTCAGTCGTTCCCAGGCATAATTAACATATCTCTGGTTAGAGCAGGATGCATGATCAGAACTCAAATATAAAATCTACCACGATAGACGCTGGACAGGCACTATAGGAGGAGGCAACAAAACTCACAGCGGAGGCAGGTGATTGTGTAAATGAGATACATATAATTTAAATTAAGTCCAGCCAGCCAGCGCCTCGAAGCATTTGAAATTGAATCCGTTCCTGTCACCCTCGACTCGCTCCGCGAATGCGACTCTGTCAAGTTAACCTTGCCACATCTATCAAAACGACCGTCTTTCAGGGCCATCGGAAACCTCTCGATAGTTGACAAGTTTGTGCCAATTATGTTCAACATTTTTATGCGGACGATTTGCCATGCTGGTCGCATCAAGACGTTTGGATGAGACATCTCACCATACACTTGGTCAGTATCATCGTGGAATATCCTGTTGGCCTGTCAGTCACGCAGGATTTTTTTCTGGCAAGAAAAATGCTTCTTGGTCTGAGAGCTGCCTCCTGCAGAGTGTAGTCTGGTCGATTAGCGGGACAGCCGCTATTAAAGAGTATATGCTAGAAAGCAGTAGTGTTGTATGAGTCGGGGACTGTGATCAGACCTTGTGACCACATTGGTTCTTGCCTCGAATATGGCAGACATGATAAAAATCCAGTTCCTCATACAGACAGTCTAAATCGGCTTCCGCCTTTTGTAACTGTTCTCTTTTCTCTGAGCACAGACTGCGCAGTTTGGCTCTGACCCGAAGTATCTTTTCGAACCTTGAGGTACAATACCATGATGAAGTGATACTTCCCTATTCCAACCTGAAATCTAGAACTAGCGAGGCTCTTATAATAACGCTTAGGTCGTATCTCGTGGTTAACTTGTCCTCCTTATAAAATAAGCAAAAGACTATATAGTACGGCCTTTAGTCTCATCTTATTCTAACCGTATAGTTTATTCCCTTATAATATTTGTTAGTTATGTTCGGATTATTACGATAACTTTGTAATAGCTTTAAAGCATGCTAGAATAGGATATTAAGCATTTAGTATACTTAATTAGAGACTTATTTAATAATCTTATCGGCCTCGAGTAAATATTATTAATATATATAACCTTTAATTTATAACCTAGTTACTTATATTATACGATTAATCTAGTACTAATGCTTCCTCTAACTATATTCTAGATTTGCTATCTCCTCTAAGATCTCGTTCTGCCTTCTAAAACTATATTATAAAAATAAGCATTTTAGCATATCCTTAAGGACATTACCATAGACCACAGGCTTACCCTTTGTGAACGTCGAATGCCTTACCCGTGAGCCATAGTTAGATTCTCTATGATTTGATAGGGAATCGAACACTTTACAATACTTGCATTCTGCAAATTTGATATTAGTGAAGTCATTCAAGGGAGCTTTTCCGCCAGCGCCTACGATTTAATAATCGACTTGAGGAGCTTGCACTCGTTTCCGAGCTTGGCAGACATCTCGTTCAATTTCCGTAGCACGGCCTGTTCGTGGAGGACAAGCCCGTACCTGGTCAGCATACGTCTTTGGCAAACAGAACAATCTGACAATACTCGAGACTGTGGAGCTCATCCTGATTTGTATAATGTAAATTCATGTGAAGATGATAGCACTATGATGAACACAAGGGTGTTGACGTGCTGATTTGTTGCAGTGATGATGATGATGATGATGATGGTGATTAAATAGGATGAACAACGTCAAGACAAGAACTGAGGAAATTGAAAACGAAATCGGTTATACGAGCGCATTATGAAACGTCAGTCCAATGAGCATCGAGACCCGTAGACTGCGTGGGCTATACCATAATCATGATCCATGCTTCATAATGACAAGGTCCGTCGCTCGCCTATACCAGATACAAATATGTACGAACAGCGGCAAAATCGGTTACCGGTCCTCGAGACAAGAGTTATACTCTCAAAATCCATCACCAGGTCTTCGTTCCGTGCATCGTCCCCCCCTCCTCCCCACCACCACAACAACAACAACAAACGTGGAGACGTCGATTTCTGGCCAAGAACCTTATTCTGTACCTTGATGTTGACCCACCTGAGAGACACAAAGTGGTGTGGTTCACATCCAGTTTGGAGATATGTCATTTCATACACCACTCCCCAGTGACCGTTCTCGAGCACTCAATGTCTAGATTATAGCACAAGAAGAGGATTAGACCTTGTAACCATCTTGGTTTCAGCTTCCACCTAAATACTTGAAATCGGTGGCTTAGAATTAGAGCCTACACGGAACGATGTCATGTCTTATAGGGACCGAATATGTGTCGACGAACAGTTTTACTAACAACCTATTCCTCCTTCTTATAGTACAGGCATAATTTCGTGCAATTTGCGGATTGTAATTTCAATCGTAACTACTATTCAAGTACAACGCAGGCACTTGGTCAATGTTGGTCTCCCAGATGGTGGACATGCAACTAGCTTATACGCTAATAGGCGAGAATAATGCCCTCTTCTTGATTAACGCTATTGCGAACATTTCTATATATAACCTTCTCAAAACATATCTTTGCCTTCGGTAACATTTAAATTTCCTTCTCCTTGTTTCTCCCATTAATTAATATATATATACGAGAAATCGCGTTATTATAGTTAAATGCCCTTACTTATGGTTCGGAGGGTCGGCGATAACGTGTTTTAACCTAGCATTTATTTATACCTTATTAAATTAGCTAGCTTAATCGGCATTTTTAGAATAGATTAACATGGTCTTAACTATATATTTACTTAATTTAAGGGCCGGCTAGTTGTAGCCTCGTTGACTTAAAATCTATATAGCCGAGATCAAACAAGAATGCCTTAAGTAAGTGGCTAGTTTCGGGGCTTTAACCTTATAATTATAACAAGCCTTCGACAAATATAACTTTAGTAAGTGCCACGCCGTACATAGCTAAGTAATAGTCTTGTGTTATGCTAATATAAGCTTTTTAAAGATTTGTTAGTGGGTCTTATATACTTACGATTGACTAAAGAGCAGCTAAGGTGCGCGTGTGACGTTATAAACCTCTTCTTCATCTTTAACGAGCATGCCGATCGATCCGAACCGGCCGATGTATGGAATTAAGTCGACGTCCTAATGGACGCTCTACGTAATTCCGAAACACCTCGACCGGCCGGAGAATGGGTCGGCGGTGAGACTACACGACAATAAGTCGTCCTTTTCCTAAGTTATCTACACTTGTTATAAGAAATAATTAGCTTACGGGACATGTAAATAGGTTTTGGATTCGAGCGTTTATGATCTCCACAAAATCATTCTAGTAACGGTTCCTTACAAGCTAAGAACACTACTTGAAGGGAATTATATAACAAGCGGAAGATAGGTCGCGCTTATACATTTGTACCGTCTCTAATTATCTTGAGGTTCGGCTGCAAACCATCGGAGTAATGCCCTCTCTAGCCTTCTTCCAAATGGAAATGGACTTAATAGATAAGGTGCTAACGCATCGCACTATTAGAGCATTGGAAATGCTCGCGGTGGATCTTACCATCATTGCTAATGTAAGTTCTCTGTCAGCGTAGTTGATCTCGCGAAAAATCGCCAGACATGAAAAACCAGACAGTTAGCTCACACCACCGGCGCTTTAGGATGTGCTGTCATATGACAAAGAGCAAGCCTCTGGCAAGGAGCTTAGTGGAGTGAAAGCGGTTTTTAATTCATCTTCTGCGCATTAATCAGACTGCATTCTAAAGGCAATGTTTATATTAGAAGACAACGGCCTTGTGAACTAAGCTGGATGTGTCGATCACTGGGACTAGTCAAGCGATTCAACCCATAAGAAGGCGCAGGTTCTCTTAATTCGCATTCGTCCAATGCGGAAAGGTAGAAGTTCATACCAGGATAGTTTGTGTTGTGAAGCAGGACGGCCTGATCTGGCTCTGAATGTGATCACACGCGGTAGCGACCAGGATCTACCAGAACGCTTTGATCCCCACCGGGTAGTGACCAAAAAGATTACTGCAATATCCAGGATCTTGACTTCACCTACACTTGTCAAACTTGTTGCCTAGCCAATACGACTAGTCAATGTAGCACCAAAGGACCCAAGGATGGATAAGCAGGAGGTGCTCTGGAACTAGCAGAAGCGTCTACAAATCTGTACATCATCTTCTCATTAATAGTGGTTACATCGCCGATTCGAACGCTTCCTAGCATCATCCATTTATTACCCACCCCCACACGAGTCAGTTACCGGATGCCCCACCCAGAGCCACTAGTTCCAAGCCGGTTATTAATTCATACGCGTATTCAGTGGGGCACTATACCCCCCGTCACTTCTGCACATTGCCTTGATCATCAAGCTAGATCGCATGACACCGCAATTTGGATTGCCAGTATTTAATCATAAACTGGGGAATGGCTACTCAGTGATATATTACGGTTAACAGCGCAAAATCTTCAGGAGCGTACGACCCGCTTTAACATGATAAGCGGTCAATTACCTACGCCAAGCTACTCCAAGCTTTGTGCGAAACAGTAAACAGCTTCCGGAACGCCCGAACAAGAGCGAGGCACAACATATATTTAATTGTACATATACCTCTTACTTTTTGAACTGTTCAATAAGAGATGGGGTTATCAGTTCGCACTTCGTACTCGAGTTAAATACCCGCTATAAAAATGCGCGTTTTCGATGCGTTAACCGTCGTTTCGACATGGCAATTGGCCCTAGGTTCCTATATCTCTCCGCGAGCCGAAAATTGTAGGTACGCAGCTGTTCAACATTCTGAAGCCATATTAATCAGCCTATAGCTTGGTCTGAGGCATCGTCAAAGGCCAAAGACTTCGTGTCAAAGTTGACACTGACTGAAAAGATTGGTATTGTGTCTGGAGGATACGTCAGCCCGGCACCGGCTTGTGTAGGATCCATAGGTCCTATCTCGCGTCTTGACTTTCTTGGCCTCTGTTTCTCAGATGGACCCACTGGCTACGCACGCTCTGAGGGCGTTAGTGTATTCCCATCCGGTATAACCATTGCTGCGACATGGGATCGTGATCTTTCATATCGGCGAGCAGTAGCGCTGGGAGAGGAATTCCGAGCCAAGGGCGCTCATGTTTTCTTAGGGTGTGTTACTCCTTTTCTATCTCGAATCACGTCACTGACTATCCTGCGGGCCGTCCACGGGAGCGATGGGCCGTCACGCCCGTGGTGGACGAAACTGGGAAGGTTTCGGTCCAGATCCTTACCTTGCAGGCGTGTTCACGAATACCTCTGTTATCGGCATCCAATCTACCGGCGTTCAGGCATGCTCTAAGCACCTGGTCGGCAATGAGCAAGAAACTCAACGGACTTCAACAACCGATGATAACGGCACAGTCACGGATGCGATCTCAGCGAATATCGACGACCGAACTCTCCATGAACTTTACCTGTGGCCATTCGCAAATGCGGTCAAAGCAGGCACATCTTCAGTCATGTGTTCTTACAATCGTCTCAATGGGAACTATACGTGCGCGAACTCGGACTTGCTTACCACCTTTCTCAAAGATGAATTGGCATTCCCTGGTTATGTTACTTCTGATTGGTATGCCACCCACGGGACTGACAACTTTGCCAATGCTGGTCTTGACATGGAGCAGCCCGGAAATGTCAGTGCTCTGGCCGGCTCTGCGTATTTCGGCGATTTGCTTCTCGAGTCGATTCATAACAGCACTGTAACAGAGGATCGTCTGGATGAGATGGCTAAAAGGGTGATGACACCGTACTTCCGTCTTGGCCAGGATCAGAACTTCCCAACAATTGACCCGTCTAATGGCGCTGTATTTTTGACGTATCAATATGGCCACGTCTCCCCGCTATTTGCCTATTACCCGGTAGTCGATGCTCGGGATGTGCGAGGGGACCATGCTAGTCTTATTCGCAAAATCGCCGCGGCAGGGACTGTGCTTTTGAAGAATGTCAACAATACGCTGCCTCTCAAGACTGCATCAAATGTTGGGGTTTTCGGAAATGGCGCTGGTTACCCTGTTGACGGCTCGGCTTTCCTCGACTATGGTGATGAACCAGAAGGCTCCGAGTACGGCACATTTGACATTGGTGGAGGATCCGGTACGGTACGGCATATGAACCTTGTCACGCCTCTGGAAGCTGTGCAAAGCTATGTCAGATCTCTCGGTGGTCGCACACAGGTCATCCTGAATAATGATATACTGGCGGAAGGACTCTTCAAGACTATTTATCCTGTTCCCGAAACATGTCTCGTCTTCCTCAAGGCATTCGCCACTGAAGGGACAGACAGAGCTTCTATCGATCTGTCGTGGAACTCCACGGCTGTAGTGGAGAAGACGGCTGCCATATGTCCAAATACGGTAGTAATCATACATGGACCTGGTGTGGTTACGATGCCCTGGGCTGATAACGAGAACGTCACGGCCATCCTATCTGCTCACTACCCCGGAGAGGAGACTGGAAATTCTCTCGTGGATGTTCTCTGGGGAGCTACCGAGCCCTCCGGAAGGCTTCCATACACTATCCCAAGAAACATTTCAGATTATGGACCAGACATCGTAGAGTCCCCAGCGACTGATGGTACATGGCAAGCTGATTTTGACGAGGGTCAGCTGATCGACTATCGTCATTTTGATGCCGACAACGTCGAGCCGCATTTCGAATTTGGCTTTGGACTCTCATACTCCTCGTTTGAGATGGGTGATGGACTCACAGTTGACGTGACTAATAATCTATCTGCACTTGCAGACGAGTCAATTGGAACCGAGCCTGGTGGCCTCATCGATTTGTGGACTCATGTAGCCCAAGCTTCTGTCGATGTCACCAACACCGGCAGCAATACGGCGTCCACAGTCCCGCAACTGTACATTTCCTTTCCCCAGGACACCACACCAGAAGGTACACCCGTCAAGGTTCTCAGGGGCTTTAGTAAAGTTTCCTTGGACGCTGGAGAGACTACTACTATACAGTTCGAGCTGACTAGAAGGGAGCTGAGTTTCTGGGATTCTGACACAAAGCAGTGGGTCATACCTCAAGGAGACTTCACCTTCTCTGCGGGTTTTAGTTCGAGGGACATTAAAAGTATGGTACAAACGGCGGTATTGGCCTAGTTACCACTACACCGTATGTTTTTCCAGAGTCACATAGCCTATAGTTCTCGAACCATCGTATGCTTAGTCTGGATGGCTCTGTATTAATAACAGTTTGTATATTGAGAAGGGGCCAAGGGAGTCATCGGTGAATCGGCTTTTTCACTACCTTCTGTAGCCATGTTTGGGTCCCTGTCAGCCCCGTTCTAACAGAGCAGCGTAGGCGCTATGTTGAGGATATCGTTAGAGGGTGAATCTGGCTTAAGATCGGATGAAAGGCACTGTCGTAACAGGACACTGGGCACTATATAGGCGTTGGTTGTATTAATAGGGAGAGAACTCCCCCGGAAGAGGAGAGGGACAGACTTCAGTCTCGCAACCAACATCTGCTGTAGAACTGATTTGACAGTCCCATACTATAAAATAAAGCAAGGAAAAAAATCAGAAAAAGCGGCTTAACGTGGGGACCAATAGGCTTAGCGCCTAACCAGACTTTAGAATTCGGCATTATGGCTTGAATCGACTCTAATAACGTGATAAAAACATAGAAATCTACTTACGGGCAGAGCATTCGATATCCACGAAGGTTTAGCCTATAGTCTAATATAATGTCTTTAAAGATATGTTAACCTGTTTATTGTTATAATATAATTTCAAAAGGCAGAACAAGATCTTAAAGAAGATAGCAAAGCGTATAATATAATTAGAAAAAGCATTAATACTAGATTAATTATATAGTATAAATAACTAAGTTATGAATTAAAGGTTATATATATAACAATAATTACTCGAGGCCGATAAGATTATTAAATAAGTCTTTAATTAAATACTGTGGAATGGCTTCTCCATTCATTTCTTTCCGTACAGTTTGGGCGACAAATAGATCTATTCAGCGCTATCGTACGAAGGAGAAGAAGGGATTCTTCCCCTCGTACGTGGTCTATAGATAGGGGTTTGGGGTTCACCTGTACGGCTGCTGGCTGCCGACAGCCACATCGTGGCTGTGGTGGCTTACTGCCAGCACGCCGTGTGACTATCTATACTACGTAGTCAACCGTCGTACGAGACCGCGAATAATATATTCCAACAGTAATAAAATTTTAATAAGAAATTTGTTAATTATTATTTTAATATTATTTAATTTAAAGCTATTTTTACTTCCACTATTCAAGACAGGATCAACCAATATCACGGTGCTATGTCCTTAGAAGTGGTGCTGCTTCAGAATTTCTAGTCGCTGAGGATGCAGGAATGAAGCGAGAGGAAAGGCATCGTTCACTCCGAGAGCCATCGGTTCTCCGCCGCGCATTAGGGCCCCAATGATGGTTTTTGACTCATCGTGAAGCCGAAAGCCGTTGGTTTGATAACCTTGCACGTGTAAGATAGGGTGATCCTGTATGCCAAGTACCCTCACTAAGAACTCGATCGCAAGATACCAACCCACTCGACGATGTGCTTTTCTCAAGTGAGGACCGGCAAATGGCGCATCCCGCAGTGGAGTCATGGGCAATTTTGCTGCTTCCCTTTAAGTTGCCTGGAGTACATTGAGACTTCCCTGGCGGGACTCGAATCGGCCGGTGTTGCATCGACGTGAAATACTGTCTAGGAAACTCTCCGCCCGTGATTTGTATGATTGGTAACCTGTTTTAATCTAGCCGTGGTCTAGCAGTACTTGGTAGTAGAATCTGTCTTGCTTAGAGTCCGTCAAGCTCGACGGCATCCACAAGTGCTGAATCCGTGGTTTTGCAATGTGCGTGCAATGGAAATCCATCTGGGTTTCGCGTTGGGGGCGCGCCTTTGGAGACGACCCCATGGCTGGTAAGCATCCGCCTTGTCAAACATTTAGGCTGGCTAGTAGGAAGTGCTGGTACGCATTTCATGCCGGCGGACGGGGTAGATCTCAGCGTGCATGGGTGCTATGAACATGAACACCAGAAATAGTGAGAAAACCTAAGCTTCATGTTTATTCGTTGCATGCTTTTGCTCTCATCTTCCCACTACTTTGTTTGTCTTGTTACCCTTTTTTCAGACTACTGCTTGGTATTCTTTCCTTGAGGGAAGACAGATTATTTCCTGTAAGCGTTGCACACGTGCGTGTGACGGTTCTAAAAGCTCGTATAGCCCACTATGAGCTTTGAGATATAGGTCCCGAGCATTAGCGGGTCTTCCTGTAATCATAGAGATGGTCTAGTATTCTGCATCGTACTAAGCACAAGATGGTAATTGTTGACTTTGTTGGTACCTACAGCATTCTTGCATTCTCAAAGCATATCCAAGTGTGTATCTCTTCCGCTTCTTGCAGCTTAAGGGAGCCATAGTTTACTTTCATTACATTACCGCCACCGGCGGCGCTGTCACCGTCTCCTCGTGAAAAGGTTTGAATGCGGATTCCACGATTCCACCAACCTGCCTGAAAGAGTGACCGGGTGAAAGGCAGTTTGTGCTGCCTGTGTTCACCCCGTCAAATTCGGAAACCAGATGTCAACAACATGGAGGGATATGTTAGCACTGCGGGTACCTTGTAAGTGGAACCCGCTAGTTTGGACTGTTAACCATTGCGAGCCCTCGATTTGAAAAACAGGAACCGGATACCGATTGAGAGTATTTGCCCAAACGATCGAGCATAAGGGATGAATCAATAAGTTACGGATATGTTCAGATAAACCGCGTTTGTTCTGCTTTGTTACTCTTATGCAGCGAAGCTAAATATAATAACGGCTATTTAATGCTATCTCAGCCTCCAGATACCCCGTTAGCTCTCCTTATATCAGTAGGCGACTTTCTTTAGCAGCTATTTAGGTCCGGTTTCGTCTTTCGTCTTCAACATCTCCTCCACTCATGTCACTAGGGAATCCGCGTTTCTCTCCAGCACGAATGTCGCTCCGTGGTTGCAGTTCAGCCATGGACTTATTGTATTGACTGCAGCAATCTTCGATTGCCTGGATGATTCCGTCCATATTTCTGGCACAAGTGGACGTTTGGTGAATTTCGATAGCTTGTAGGTATGGTTGAATGGTCGCGTGTTTATGTAGAACTTGAGCAAATTTCAGGGTAACTTGGTCCGCCTGCACAGCGTGGCACATGAATCGGCAAAGATATGCTGGACCTAAAACCCTCCCCTCGGAACTTATGTGAAACACTAAGTCTGAGTGCCTGCAAAGTTATTCCAGCCAACAAAGTGTCTTCGTTAAATAGCGGATCCACAACCTGCAGACATAGAAGATTCCAAACTGCCGGCTCATTAAGGAAGTCAAAGACGGTGCGGTGAAGAAAAGTGATTTTGCCATCAATGATCTGGTCATGTTCGTCGTTGTGAACCTACCCTGTCATGTTACAGAAGCAGCAGAACTTTCATCTCTCCTCCTTGGTCAGACCTCGACGAGACCATAACAGCAACTTCTCAACCTTCCTTCGAATATTTTGCACTTGGCGCACTTTTCCCTGTCTGGGGAGTCCTTGGAGAGCGAAACATCAGAAGGATCATGGCTGAGGCATTGAAAATCGCGAAGCAGACTAACTCAAGCGGACCGTTGTTGATCTGGTTCCAGTAGCACAGCCTGAGGATCCCGGCAGCTTCACTCTGGTAGCGTGGCTCGATTCTACCGAGCATGTGATGAAACAGACTCTCAAGCTCGGGGGGAAGTTCGTCAACTCGTTCTTGTAATTTGGTTACATTATCATTCGCCGCAAAGCCTTCCATCAGTGAGCGACAGGCCAGTAAAACCCACAGGAACACCCCAGACGACTTCTTCGCGAGATCTTAGAGAATTCCATTTGCCTTTTGCCCCTCGAGAGAACTGAGGACCTGATAGTACGGGTCGGCACCGATAGCATCGTTTACATGGGTGAAAATATCTTGTAAAGTAAGCTCTTGTAGTTGAAGTGTGGGATTATGTGAAAATGCCTGGACACATGCAGAAAGTAACCAACTGGAGACGAGAACTTTAATATTCTCGTTCAACACAAGTCGCTCAATACACAGAACGGCGTGCACGGGATTTCCTGCGAACTCGTCTAGGCCATCAATGAAGAAATTAAATTTGCGTGATATTCCCAGCGCTTTGTGTAGAATGGAGAATGCTCCTGCTGATTCTCCTATAGATGGGAGCGACAGTTGTATGTACTCTGATATTTGTGCCTCCTGCCACATGTTGGGGAGTAATGTTGGGATGAGGGTGGGTTCAGCAGTAATAATTTGGTACAAAAGAGCTCGAACAAGGCCCTCTTGAGATTTTTGCTCATCAACACCAAGAGCGTAAAAAAGAACTTGACCACAGACGGCGGGATGTTTCCAGATCATTGAGTAAGTAGTTCCTTGGTTTTCTTTTGCTCGTACAATAACTTCACCAGCGTCGATTTCCCACTCCCCGTCTTGCCCGAGCCATGCTCTAGCCATTGAATTAAGTCGTCTCATTTACAGTCAGAATCTGCGTCACGAGGCTCCAAGGCCCACCGCAGCGTACTGGCACGCGGGTTAGCCGAACTAGAGCGAATATCGTCAATTGCTTGGTAGCAGAAACGTTTTATTAACCGTCAGTGCAGCTATCGTTTATCGCACGCTCGGTTGTGCTTGCCATCAGTGGCTCTCGGCCAACAGACGCCTCATAGACCACTTTCAGCCGCTCAAGGTAGAGTTTGCTGAGGTCTTGCTCAGTCACGGGACCAAGCACTCCTTGGTGGTCTAGGACTATTTCGTTGAGTTTGGAAATGAAATATGACAGCTGGTCTATCAGACCCTTGAACTTCTCTTTGTCGTGTATCACTCAGCGGACCCTGCGAAGGGCGCAAACTGGTTCGCGAATGCGAGCGCGAAGTATGAGGTCTCTGAAGTCGGAGAAGAGTCGCTGCATCCGTGGGTCGCTGCGCGTGGCTCCTGCTGCAGTCATTGACGACCCGGCAACTGGACTGATGCTGGAACCCACGGATATGGAGGGATCGGCTGCTGGACGGGCGCCATAGCGATTCTGCAGATTTGCGCTATCGCTCAACAGCAACTAGATACTCGACAGGATGCGATAAATCGCGGTTTTGATGTGCGCGTCTTCAAGCCTGGGGTCGTGATGTTGAGAAAGGAGCCTTAACCGCTCTGCCTGCTGGAAAAACAAGGTCTTCCCGACGTCCAACTTAGTATCCAGAGGTCGTAGTCGTTCTTAAATTGGCGCGAGGCTGATATATAGCTAAAAAGATCGATAAAATCCTTGAAGGTTCCCGCGAGTGCTATGACTCCAATGACCAGACCGGCAGCCTCAGCCATTTCACTGTGTTTCGAGCAGGAGCCCACCTCAGGATAATGGACAAGTTGTAGTTTAAGAACACTAGGTTGAATCGGCAGGGGAATTGATGTATTATTTAGCCTCCATGGCCTGTTGTCTGTTGTTCAGTCGGGCGTGAATGCGCAGCTGACGCGGCGCCAACTCCCACGATAGAGGTATTGACTAGCCGACAACTCTGCCAACGGTCTCAATACCTATGCAGTATCTCCCCAGGCGGATTGAAGTGGAGTGGTGTGGTACAAAGTACGGTACAATGTGCCGCCATACAGTGCCACCAATATGCATCGCCACAATGGTTTCACAACACCAACGGGGCGCAGGCACACTTTTGCCCCGAGGAAGAAAATGTTCTCTTACTCTAGCCGTCCACCCTAGAGTTCACTACACATGCTCTTGCGCCTCGTACGGGCATAATCACTTGTCTAAACAAGCACTGCCAAAGGCGTGCATTGGAGAAAAAAATAAATTGTTCTCCAAAGCACCGGTTCGGGAACTCATAACATGTTAAGTATTAAATGCAGGCTTTTGATGGCGTAAGAGGTTGCCTTCACTCTCTAAAAATAAAAATAAAAGATTTAAGGTTAAGATTTCCTTTACGATTTGGATCGCATACTATTAAAGAAATATACACCGCAATGACCGGTCTCTCCCAATCCAAGGCTGCGGTACCTTTTCATTATACCTATAAACTAAGCCAACTCAAATCACATGTCATAGCTGGAATCAATCGACTTTGTCCTGCTTTAGTACATGACTTGAAAAATTGGGATTGCCAGCACTGCAAAGATCCGTCGGGGCTCGCAGGATAGTGTCTTTTCTGACATAGCATCTTCAAACTGCCTTCTTGTATTTTTGCTGTCATTGCACGAAAGGCATTCCTCGCAGACGTTGTAATCGAATAGTCCGGATAGGTGTTAGAATCTATGCCAAGTCGACCGCCGATTTGGGCTCGTCTACGCCCAAATATCAGACTTCTACTACTAAACTACCCACGCCGCCGCTACAAGCCAGAACCACACCTCTTCTTGTATGGGCAGTGCCACGTTGATTACCCTCATGGATGACTAGGGATATTTTGATAACGTTACCGATACTGGAAAATCTACGAACGATGATTATTGAACACCCACATACATAATGATGCAAAACGACCTTTACGAAGGAAATTACTGAATCCGTGATCTCCACATCCTGTTTCACGCTCTTACTCAGTAATAATTGCAACAGATAGGCCATTCCTCAACTGCTTGAGTTTAGCAGGCCGCCGTATACTCACGACTCTTGGCTTTCTTTCTAGCTGCGGGACTATACCAGCGTGCACTTTCCTTCCATATACTTCTACCGCGCTGTTGGTGTACACTATAGCGAGAGAATAGCACAGAGCGTAAAATAGAGTGTCGAGTGACAAAAAAGTATGGAACGATGGATCGATCAAAGAGCGGCGTGATGTGGTTCTGGACGCAGTGTAGCTCACAGGATGAACACCAATCGTCTTGGCCTGATCGACACACTCTTGATGCTACTCGACTAGTTGGTTGTCACTGTGATTCTTCAGCGCAAGAAGTGCGACGCCGTTTCCCCTAGGCCGTATTGGAACTGAAAGGAAGAGGTGCGGAAAGAAAAAGGACCTCACCGAAACGGAAGCTGCGATACGAAGTCTTTTGTCCGCGCCAAAACACGCTCCACCACCGGAGTCGCTCCTGGGGCACGATAAGGGTGTGGTGGATATTTTACGTTTTCTTCAAGTGGTTAGAAATATGGCACAAGAGCTTCCATGCAGCAATACCAGTTTTATCGTTATTCATTCAAAGGAATTCACATTGAGAATCAAGACCATCTCTGTACGGATCAAAGAACTTGGTCCGATCTAGACCAAGTACCGATCTCCAAACACGGCGGTTTAGATGGCCTGTGTGTTCATCCGTTCGAACATGCGCCATAATGTGGAATTTGTGTAAGATTACGGGTGTCGCCGAGAAAGATGAAGATTTGGACTCATCCCAGTGAATCCTTCCATAACAGCGAATCAATAACTACTTCGTTCAGGCACGGGTAAGCAAAGCCGTAACTGTGACATCCCAACATTGCCTTGCAAGACAACAATAACTTAAAGCTTGTAAAACAACACAGGCCCATTGCACAAGGGTGGTGATGTGGTAGTGGTCAAGCTACCGCGATAGAAACTTGATCGTAGTCACTCTGAGTTTCTGTAGGGGCCGCTTGCTGGGTGTTGCCTTTTCAATCTACATTTTATCAAGGTCACGCATTAATTGTCTGCCTTGTGTGGTATTAGGTCGACCAAATCAGGACCTACGTAGCGGTTACCCCGAAATGAGAAGATAGGAGAAGGTACCGCTGGGCAAAATCGTAGACCGCAACATAGAATTCTGCACTGTGACGTCGAAGGGGGTGTCATCACGACAAACATCTGGCCACTGTTTATGTAGGTAGAGTGAGCGCACAGAAAACTTGTTGCTTGATTACCCACTGCTCGTATTTAATGTGAAACTGGTAACATTGAAAGCTAATCATCTATTTATCTGCTCATCTTCAATTTCAACATGAGCAAAGGGAAGGATATACGTGAATTCAAGTGATTGGAACACCAGCTAATAAAGAAATGCACGGGTATCAAATATCAGCTCGTCTCATCCGCCCATCCGCCAAAGCAAGCCCGCGCGGCCCTAAAACCCATTGGCGTTTTTGATCTCATATAGCCCGTTCAGTAGAGACCTGCCCAGAAAATTTCGAAAGAGAAGCCTGTATCCCAGGTCTGTTCAGTGAAATGGGTATATTTGAACCAAAACCCAGCATTAATCCTCCCTGCTTATCTCGCGTAACCCGTCATCTCAGAATGAAGGGGTATCTGAATTCATTCAATCGTAACCAAGGAAAAAGCTAAGGCGGTCCTAACCATGACACCAAAGCACTTCTAGCAAACCAGAAAAAAATCAAGCCATGCCGCCCAAAGATATATCCCAAACCATGTGCAAGGAAAATTCGTGAGATGAGATGTCCGAGCTATGCAGCGAATGTGGAGGTGGGTATATCGCAAGACCCAACCTGTAGATGCAATCCTGAACGCCTTCGCATAAAAGTCAATCGTGGGTCAAGAGCATAAATTCCAAAGTCGTGGGCGAGAAGAAAATGTTTCGTTGTCATAAAATCGCAATCGTATATCGTGAGTTAAACCAGGCCGATTTCGCCTAAAAGATGTATAATGTGGGACTAGCCGAGTTGTACCGCCCAGTCATGTCCGATAAAGCTTTAATATGCAGTGGTAGCGCTGTTCTCGCTAGTGGCAACAGCTACCAAAGCTTGCAAGCGCAGCATGTTGTCTCTGTCGCCTGTGGCTTCGGCTCGAGGCTGCTCCTGAGGTGGAGGCTGGTTCCTGGCGGGAAAGCCAGAGAAGTGGCTGATATTAGGGTGCACCATTCGCTCAACCCTTGCCATCTTCTCGGGTCGGGCCTCACTGTGCACAGTTACTGGGCCGTGGTACCATCCGTGCCGTTTGTTCTCCCTCGAATAGGACACCATAGGAGCTGACATTGTGTGCTGGTGGAATATTCGAGGAGCGGACACACTAGGTGGACCTGTTACTGTCACGTGCTCGTTGAATCTGACGGTAGGCGGGTTGAGCTTAACGCGGTTGGCTTCTGCCTCGACAGCTTGCTGGACCTCTTGAGCCCAGGCACCGGCGCTATCTCTCGGCGGAGTGGTGTTTGAGGCCAAGTCCAAGCGAGTCAGGCCACGGTGCAGCCCCATATCCCAGTTGGCAGTTGTTGGCCTCTCCTCGACATGTTCTCGCACCGGCTGTAGTGCTGTCTGCCGCAAAGGTTCCGAGTCGATCATCATTGGAGACGGGTTACGCTTCAAGGGTGACGGCTGCCGAAGAGGCAACGGGTCGAACGATTCGATACCTGGCAGTCTTACATTGTTACTCTGCGAGGTCGGATCTGCTATTGGCAAAGGCCCCGAAACAGGACTTTGAAACTGGGATGGTGTGATCACATTGCTGAGACGACTGCTTGCATTAGTCGCTGCGAAGTTGCTTGAATCGGGATGCCAGGTTCTTCGCCGCCACGCCTCGTCTGCGGCACTTGTGATGGAGTCGCGTCTAGAGAATATAGATGAAGTGGGCGAGGCTACCACACTGATTGAGGGTGATAGTGCACCAGGGCCTGAGCCACTAATGGGGCCGGGCCCAAAGAGGGGCCGCCCGGTGTTTGCGCCATGGGGAGACTGGAAGGGGTTGCCGGCCGAGGACGGCACGCTCAACCGACGCCCAGGAGTACGTGACCCGGCATACATGCTGTGAGAGCGAGCATGGGCAGTTGTGGGGGAAGCAATACCCGAACCCCACTTCGGACTACTCTGTCCCGTCGAGAAAGTCGCAGACGTTGGCGTGCTGAAATCGCTCGGCGATACAGGTCGATACGAGTACTGGCTGTTTGTACTCTGGTACGACTCAAACGACAGCCTAGACTGCGGGTCTGCCATGACCAGAGGAGGAGGCCGGCGCCGGATGTCCTCGCGTGGGGCACCGAAATTCGAGTTGATGGAAGTGATACTTGAGGTTGATAGTGACTTTCCATGACCACGACCGGGCCCTATACTGCTAGCGGTCGAAGAGCGGGCTCTACCGGGTTGGCGGACTCTGTCTGTCCTGATCTGGCGCTGGAATCTGGTACCAGTGGCGGCGAGAGAGTCGATGGGAATATCCTCGTTGACGTGAACAGTTTGTGCGTGCTGCCGCAAATTGTCTAGTCGTGAGAAGCGTCTTGAACAGTGGCATTGGAACGGACGTTCTCCAGTATGTTTTCTAGCCTTGTCAGTTGTCCAGCGTCCCGCGTAAGCAGAGATTAGGAGCAAGAAGATACCTTATGTGCCTGGCCAGATGTTCACTTCTCGTAAAGCTCAGGTTGCACGGCGGATAGTCGGTACAGTAGAATCTCTGCGACTTCTTCTTCTTATTCGATTTTGTGCCATCAGCGTTCACACTTTCGTCGTCGGAGCCATCCTCGCCATTATCGTCTCCGTCCGAGTCGTCCATGCCGACATCCTCTGATTCTGCCCTCGTCCTTTTTGAGCGCTGAGAATCCTCACGCTGAGGGAGAGTTTTGTTCTCATCTATACTTTCGGGTATCTGGACAGTCTGCGGAAACGGCGATGTGGGCAAGGGTCGTTGCTGAGCATGGTTTTGGCTGAAGGTAGCCCTTGTCGGAGTGGGTGTCGTCGGCGACGTGGCCATCGATTCCTCCTTATGCACCTCGATATTGACTGGCTTGAATGTCGCCATTTTCGATAAATGGTGCTCCGAGCACACCGGGCGTAGCAATGAGTAGTTGATAGGCGAGATAGTCGCAAGTAGCTCGCAGCCTCGCCGTACGCGCACTCAAGGCGCTGCGCTGCGTGGAGTTGAGTTGCGGACTGTGATACGGCGTCACGAAACGGGGTAGAGGCGGAGTCAGGAAGAAGGAAAGCGGCCAATCTGCTGTTTCAACTCATTCGTAAGCGTGTTCCGTCAAGAGGCACTTGTGCTGGTCGATGATGATTCCTGATGGGCGCCGGCACTATGCCTCCGGGAAGTGTTGGCGGGGCAATGCTCCTATCCTGGCGCAGTCTTGTGCTGCTACGCTACGCTATGCTATGGCACAGCACTCACTGGGCCTCTCTCAGAGCGATCAATTTGAGCTGACAGCACGATGCACGGCCGACGAGACAAATGGAAAGTATTTGCCGGTATGACAGTGATGGAATCAAGTAGGGACGGGCATGAAAGATGAAATGCTGTAGAGGCTGAGGGGGGCGTGACGGTATTAGTGTCTGGCCCAGTTCATGTCGAAGACCAACCACCGGAAAGCCTGGGTCCAGGTGCGGTCGCAATGGGTGCGATGACGACAAATCAGATCCTGGCGAGCGGTGCGAAAGTGCAGAGGTCACCGGAAAGTTGGAGTCCCCTCTGCGTCGATGTGTCTCAATATGACAATGGAAGCAGCAGGAGGAGGAAATAAGAGACGACGGACTCGTGTCTAGAATGGAATTGTATATTACTTTTTGCCAGGTATGCCGGGGTGGCAAGAGGGATGATGGGGAGGAGGTGGTGGAAAGAGACGGGGGGGCTCTCGGAGTAGGTTCAGGTTCAGGTTCAGGTTCAGATTCAGGATCAGGTTCAGGATAATGGAGATGGGATGGGACGGTGGAGGGGGATGGATGGGACGGATTGCCAATGATGGATGACTTATGGCTCGCCCTGGGGCATTGGGCCTGGGGCTAGGTTGGTAAAGGCCGAGTCCCAGTACAGAGTTACCTCGACAGACGACAGAAGGTTACCTCGACAGGGGCACAGCTACGGTGCTTGGCAGGACCAGGACCAGGACCAGGACCAGGACCGCAGGACCTGGATCCAGATGTGGGTGTGTGCTGCTTCTGATCCATTCTGTGGCTCCACCCTCGACATACTGCTAGGTTAGTCTACATAAGTTACTCCCAAGTTACTGCCTACCGTACTTCCCTTCCTTACAGGGCCTGCCCGACGTGCGTCTACTGGTGCTGCTGCTGCGGCTGCGTCTGCGTCTGCGTCTGCGTGGTTCGTGTGCCTGACCGAACAAAAACTTAGAACACCATGTGTAACTGCATTTGACATGACATGTTCAAACACTAAACCTTCTCAACTCGACCTGACTCACTTTTCCCTTGTGAACTCACCCGGAGAACCTTAGTATCCGCAAACTCAGCAATTATTCATCAAGGACTGCAAAGTACTGCATACACAGTACCGCGCCCGCCCACGGCCTGCGCCAAGGACCACCGTTTTTGACTTCGGGTCCAAAGAATAAATATGCAGTAGAAGGATCTCTAGTGCGCAAAGTATAAAGTGCAGTAGCGAAAGAGGTTGAGCCTCATTGAAGTCAGAGCCAGCGCTGCACTAGAATGTCACGGCACAGGGCACACTCGGCTTCGCCTTTTCAATGATGGATGCAACGTGTCCAGACCCCCGGTAATACTCACAAGCATCATTCAATCGTCTTTCGTGTTCCTGTAACTTATTGGTGTTCTTCTATTGTCATCTTGAGTGGCTGGAAAGGGCTGGTTGGGTTCCCAGAATACGACTCGACTGTCCTGATATTAACGCATTGACAAAGAGGTTGGCTTTTCAGGGCGCCAAGACAATTGCTGAGGATCCTCTACAGGGCGCTAGCTAGAAAAGCCAACAGCAGGCACATAATTTTTTTCTTCTTCTTGAAAGATATGTGTGATTGGTTTGTGGCCAAGGTGCCTGGCTGGGTTTTTGCTTGCTATTGTTGTTTGCGTTCTGATCTTGCTAGGATCGGCCTGGCTTGTTGAGGCTTTCTCTAAGTCAGGATCACTGAATCTTGCTATTCACTCGCTACTTCGGGGCTTGTGTCCACTATCGTTGGCGCCTCTTGTGGAGCTTGTCGCAAGCTGCAGGGCCATGTGGAGCTCAATTCTGACACTTTGGAGGGGCTGAAGGAGGGGCAATACCGCAAATGTCAGCACGAAGCAAGGCACCGGAAAAGGTGGACTATATGTACATCATCGATCTTTAATTATCGCTGCAAGAGTCCAATCCGTTTCATTTGGCCGACAGCTGATCACCTACTGTATGGTGCGTTGCCTCTTGTTTTCATCCCGAACCAGGTCTCTAGTCCATCAGTACGGTGAACAGAAGTCACCGCGATAGCACAATGAGATAATCATTCTATTTTGAGTGGCAGAGTTCGGTATTCGTAAAGCTTATGCGTCTTACCCCCTGAATCAAATCCCAGAGGATGTCCTGTGAAACCAGGACGGCAGGGTCACGCTACCCACAAATTGTACTGTCATATTTTTTTCTCGACGGTGAGCCCCAACAGCGGGTACCGCTTTCTTGCTCCATCGCATGTTAAGTACCCGTATATCCTCCTGTGTGAACTAGCAAGGCGGGATTTTCAGTCTAGAATCCGACTTCTAGAGGCACGAACGAACAAGTCTCGCGTTTTATAGATGTTACCATCTCGAGAGGATCTACTTGGGATCTGCGAAACTCGGCCGGCCCTGACACAAAGCCATGGAACGGTTCATGGCCGATCGAATCTATATTTGACAATAGACTCCACCGCGGGGTATCCTATATGTGGGAGCAAGTCGTGGACCTTGTGTCGGTGATTGTCGCACCGAGATATACTTTTGAACTCATTCATTCTGACATCGTAATCGTGCTTGATTACCAGCCATGCATTCTTCACAGCAGACTACCCTAAGAGATACTGCTCGCAAATGGTCGTCGGCGCTTATACTGGACCGTTTCAACCCATCTCTCATGCAGATTGATTTCTTCTGCGTTAAGTAAGCAATATCCATCAAGCTCCTACCCTTTTCTACCGTTACTGGCAACCTTCTACAAATGGCCCTAATAAGAGCCTTGCTCCCAGCGCAGGCCATCACTCATGACAGCAGATCAAGAGCGGGCACCTCTCCCGCTCGAGATCCGGCCTCCCGGTTTGTTGGTTTCGTGCGATGATACTGTTTCCAACCTGCAGCTTGCGCTGATGTTGGCCTGCATTAGCTGGGCACCAAAAAGCGCCCAGCTGACGATGGAAAACATCCACCCCCCACCATTGGCCGTTCGGGCATATTCAATTTCATTGTTTCAGTCCTCGATGGTGCCTTTTCTCATGACCGAGCAAGGATGCATGTAGCAACTACAGCTTGGTCCTTGTTCGCTAGACACGTTCCTTAACAACAACAGAACCAAACACATCCAAAGTTCCGCCTACTAAGCTTAAACATAGTTCATGGTTATGTCGCTGAATCGAGTCTCTACACAACCTTCCTCTTCGTGCTATATCACCCGAAGGACACACAAACGGTTCTTCGTGTACTTTTACTTCGTGCCTCGTGAGCTATCATTCATGTCGCGAAAAAGCCTCAATCTCTCTGCAGTGCTTGCGCGGGGTACAACGACTTAAATTACTGTACACATTCTTCAGGCTGGCCAGTATTTGGACAACCTTCATCACTTCGAGGAACTTGCCGTAGCAATAGAAATATGCTTGCGTTTATTACAATAAGTCCGACGCTTTGACAGACAGCCTTCGCCACAAAGACTTTCGTCGAGAACATGTGCGATGTCCTCACAGAACTACTGATGGTGACATTCCGCCTTCACTTTCTACCGGGTTAGATAGGCCCGGGCCCAATCACAAGGGGGTATTCCATGGTTTCAAATAAAGAATATCACACGGCTTATGCACAGGCATGCCGAGACGAACGGAAGGAGGGATCCTAGTTTACCCAGTCTACGGAAGAAGAGATGCAGGCTGCGAACCCCTCACCAAGCGGCCTGCAACTACCGTTGGTAGATTCGTATCGATAAACTATCCATTCGTAGCAGGTTGACGGGCACCGTTGCAGTCCAATGTTAAAAGTGGGCCGCTGCATTTCGCTATAGCACGGCTTGTTATTGTTACACCACACATAAGCCCTCTCCGGGTGCATGAACGAAGAGGAACAGTTGTCTATTGTCGCAGAAACCCAAACTTATCTGAAGGGTCGGATGATAGACAGGCTACGGGCGCAACGATAGTTAGTTGCTACCATTGGCATCTTGTAGGTTTACTATGACGAGTAACAGCTAAGATCCTACTTGAGTCAGACCAGCCGGCGCCTAGCTTATCGGGACCGATGATAAAAGTCTCGGTAGTCATTCGCTCACTCACTCTCAGCAATGCCCCCTCTTGAAACGAGCACCAAGACACAGTTGGTACAGGTACAGAAAGACTGGCACAGGCAAAGCACCACCACCACATTGAACGATCAACGCGTCGATTTTGCGTCTTGGTTCCTGGCGCCTATCAGACCTTACAGATGGACCCCAACTGCATCCTTCGCTGGCTGTCATCGGTTTCTTTCCTACTGTCTACAGTCCCGAACAACGCAGCCCGCCGCCGCGAAGTCAAAGTCGTTTCCTTTCCTGGCGACTTGCTTGCATCCTCCCAAAGTTGCGATAGTGGACACGGCACCAATCATGCCGTGAAATGCAAGGCACAAGACCGCACTAGAACATGCATCAAATCCTATTTTCCCGCTTATCGCCGGTGCCTTTCTTCTCTCCTTCGCACCAGCTTGCGCGTACTAGCAAGTATAAACCGGGGGCGAAACGCATAATGAGCGGCAGTGCAAGCACGGTGCTTGCGTGCATTTCTTACCAAAGCAAGGGACATTTGACTTTCGACTGGATCATGGACT